ACACCCAATCCCAAAGGCGCCCGGCAGTTGGCTGTCGCCGTCATGGGCGTTGAGTCTGCCCTCACTCAAGCCCGTGGAGTCAGCTGTCGGACGCTCTTAGCCAGGTCTTCCTGGCCAAGTCTTCCTGGCCAAGTCTTCCTGGCCAAGATACCGGGAGGATGTGGCCAGCGCTACCGCAGCATTCAAAGATGCTGGTGCTACAGTTCTCATGGGGGTTATGTCCCTTAGCAACGCCCCGCTGACAATTCCGGCTCCTCCTCTGGAAGCTCCTCCAGAAGCTGTCTCGTAGCCGGCGACTATGGGATATCAACAAGAAGAGACAATACCGCAGAAGATGCTCGCATTTGCAGCAGCTGCGCCAAATGTGGACATACTTTCGAGCGACGTATTAGAGGCTAATCTTAAGTCATGAAAACTTAGTGTAGGGGAACAAGTGCTGTGTGGCGATGAAAGCCGCGTCAAGGTCCGTCATAATTTTGCACACTTCGGCCCTGTATGCCAATGATTCGGAGATGTTGTTAAGTTGGAAACTTGTCGTGATTCGTACTAAATTACTAATCCTTCCTTGAACATGATTCAAAACCAATTACGACTTTCAGTACCGAGTGTGCTTGAGTGCCGCTCAATGACCATCTGCTCCAACTGCTGTATGATTTCAAGCAGCCATACAAAGTCGACTAGAAACGGGTTCCGAACGATTCCATCAACGAACATCCTCAACTTCTTTTGTCTGACCACACTACGCGGCTTGTGCTACTCTCGCTCCGAATAACCAGAGTCTCCCTTTTGCCAGATCGCCGACCTTTCACGAAACGACTCCTGCATTTCTTGCCACTCTTGATCGGTGTATTGAAACCTCACGCCCTCCGAGGGACCCTTGGATATCTCGAGGATATAGTCTCTCCCAACTCGACTCCATTGTCAAAGTACATAAGCGCGGTTTCCTGGTCAGCCGTTATCCTAAATCATCAAAGCCTCGGCAAGTGGTAATCCTGTGTGAGCAACGTCCCACGCCTCATACGGCCCCTTGGCGACGTCTTCTTTGCTCTTGTGCCCCGGCATCAGGAGCTGTTATATCTCCTCAGTGCGGGCTTCAAGGAGACTTCGCGGATGTCCCCACGGTTCTGTAGCACATCATATAATGCTGATGGGAGGCTTGCATTGCTGATATCAAAACGCAACTGTGATAGCTCTCTTTTTGTCCGAGGAGGTTTCGAAGGTCAGCCGATGAAGGAAGTCGATCCATTAAGACAGATGTCTCGTCAGACAGCGAGGGACAATGTGAAATGCTTTCTTTTAGTAGGGGGCTCACCCAGAGCTGCCTATAATGGCTTTTGTCTCTGTCAGTGAGATAGTTGATCGAACATTCACCAAGGTCGACGCCATGTGCGAAGACTTCCAAAGATGCTAGACGGCATAGTCGGATACTTTGTTGATAGGCTGGGAGAGTTTGTGGGCAAATTTGTTTACCATTGGGAATTTCTACTCCGAGAAAGCCTTGAACCCAACCGAGATGCTCGTTCTTCATGACGTATGCTCTTCGAAAGACCAAGGATTCATGCCTTCACTGAGAAACGTACTTTGTATTACGTTATCGATAATGTGCATGCTATCGCTGAAGAGGTTATAAAACAGCTCGACGCGGTAGAAGGCAAAGAAAAAGAGGACGCACACGGTACTCAACAGCGCAATGCTGGTGGGTATGCTTTCTTCCTCGTCTCTCTGGAAACGAAGCCAAGCTTTCGTCGCAAATTTGTAGGCAGCATTATGAATCAAGTCGTGTGTGCGTGTCATCTTTTGCAAAAGAGAAGTCGAGATTGATGACAGGTGAGCCGTGAGTTACGCTGGCTCGTCATAGACGGTCTCGAGCAAAACCCGGACGGCGGCACCCTCGCGCGGTCGTGATAGATAAGATGCTTCGACTGCAGTGGCAGTACAAGGATTCAACGCTGGTGTCACACGGCGACGAACAATTTCTGCTCTGATGCCTAGGCTTTGCTTGAAAGACGAAGAGATATGTCGGCAAGAGAGGAAAGTGGGTGCGAATGAGTGAATGTCATGGAGACTTCCTAAGATACAAGCGACCATTTCGCAAGGAAAGCCTACAATGAGAGTCATTATAGATGTTGGTAACGATTTGTCTTGTCGAGGAGGTTGGACAACACAATCAATTTGAGAATGAATTGCCTACTCATCCCGTCCAACATGAAGTGCCCAGCTTAAGCGCCCAAAAGCTCCAAGAGCATTGTTACATGTTTTCAACGTAGCCCATGTATCATGACCAAACAGAGTAGAGTTGAGCATCATCTCTAACAGACCTGACGGTTGTATTAACTTCGGCCTCAAACGACACAGCTCTCCGAGCACTTGCATCAATCCTTGGTAGTAACTGTTAGACGTGAGGCAGAAAAATCAGTTTCTGGACTGTATTACGCTGGCCCGACATGATACAATCAAGCGCATAACACGGCCAAGATGGAGTTTTCTCAAGCGCCATGAGGGTGGTTGATACAGCCCAAGACTTGAGATAAAGTCGCATTCTATGAACAGGAGTATACTGTGGTTGTTAAACATGAGTAACGGGATATGTAGCAACAGTTATAATTATTGTGATTATTGAATCACACAAGTCCCTCCATTGTTTCCGTATACGACAGGTGCTACGAAACTCGACGAATTATTGTTTTGTTGAAAACCGCAGGGCTGATATCACCCTATTCGTTGGAACATCAATGTCACATGATCGTACGACACCCAACGGTTCAGCACATCTGGAACGAAGGGGGCACAGACTGGACACTTCTCTCTTGGTTATCCCAAGAAAGGGACCAATGTACGCTTGGACCGAAACTGACACACAAACGTACTGGACAGAGTATATTCGTTCTTACGACAGCCAGGTCTTATGGTTTGAAGGTTAATCATGGGCATTCCTTTGATTCACCCTCTCTTTTGAAGTACGATCGTGCTAGAGTCTATTTAATACTAGTGTTATTTCTCTTTCCGCGTGCTGGTCACCGTTCCCAATCCCGCCATATTCAACCCTGATACTGTTCAAGTAGCCGCGCTACAAAGAAAATACACAGGACTCAATGCCAAGTTGGAGTATATTGCTAGCCATAGCATCGATAACAAGTACAGAGCACGAGAAGTTGCTGCTGCTGCGGCGGGAGCCTCGAACACCACGCACAAGCAAACAGCTGAAACACTCAAGAAGAAAGCCCTCTAAGACCCAAGAAGCCGAGCCCTCGGACCTGTGAGTGTTGGAGGTGTGTATATTAGAGGCGGTTATCAGATTCTATTACCTCTGGCTGGTACTGCATCCTCGACTGCAGTGTTTCGAGTAGCACGAAAGTCATGTCCCTCCTTCCGTGTTACGAAATGTAGCTAATGGCCTGTTGGCAGCCATGCCGATCGCCGCGACTCGTTCAAGAGCCGATACTAAGACGTGCTGGAAGCCAAGGGGAGCTACGGAAACCATGTAGGACAAGCAGATAAGTCGAGGCATGCGGCGCTATGTATACAATTAATACGGCCCACCTGGCCGTCCAATTGGGTGTTAGCGCAACGGCAACCTGTGCCGTGACAAGCTCTTGTCATGGACTAATTGCGGATCGTCGCAATGCGGCCAGCTTTTGAGGCCAGGGGGGGCTGTGACAGTTGGCGGCCTCAAACATGTTTTGTGCATATCGCCTCAGTGGCTTCCACCACTGTGTGGAATTTGTGAGGCAAATTCGGGCCGGACCTTTTAGTCTATGCCGGGATAAGGATTTTGGAGAGAGATAAAAAAACACTGTTGGTCTGGAACGCAAATAACCAGCCCTTCTCTCGATGCGGAAGAATGCATGGGGAAGACGCAAGATTGACCGGCCGCCGGCGACGTTCCAACGACCAAAATCCACTCTTGCGTTTGCTCAGAAGGCTATGAGTATTTGGGTGAACATTCACATACCATCCAAGGCTGTCCATTCCGTGAGACAATCAGAATTTGGCTTGCGGGTTTGTTTCGATAAAGTCATTCAACCTCATATTGCGTCTGCCCAGTCGTCCCAAATAGAAGCAAGACACTAATACTAGCTCTATTAAGATGCTCGGGAGTGTCTTCGGGGCTTGCCGCCGTTGCAGTGACAGGGTTGTCGCCCTCAATTTCGGCTCTGAACCCGCCCCCTTTAGCACATGAGTCGTAGGCCGGGACTTTCTGCACTACCTAATACGGAGGGTCCCAAACACTCCAGGAACTGTTTCTGTTCCTGGGACACGAACAGTGACCACCGATAGCATATTCGCTGTCCATCTCACTTCACTTGTGGCTGTTTAGGTTTTGTTGGGTTTGAGGTACAAATGGAGGCCGAGTGCGGCTGCACAGGGGGTCTTATACTTGTCCTGACTTGTCTCAGCTTGCGCGGCCAACGCATATCCCGTGAATGCCATGACCTTGTTGGGAGCATCTGGGCGTGCGTAGTGGGGCTCCTCCTCGTGGCCTCACGCCGCCAGGTGAGCGGGAGTCCTCGTTGCGTTATGTTCAGGAATCCAAAGCTCGGGCTAAGGTGGTCCAGCCGTGGTCTCCATGTTGGGGTTGCATCCATATTCCGCAGGGCCCTGAACGGAGCGTTAAAGATTATCTTCCTCCCTGCGTAGTTTTTAAAAGTGACAACGTATCAATCTCTGTTATTTCGTGGTCTTTTACAGTGCCTTATCTTGGCCTAGGCGCCTTATAGTCGTCACACTTAGAGAAGAAGATACCGTGACGCGGTCTTCGGCGGTAGACGACGCCAGTACTCAGGCGTCTTCACGTTCAATAGAATGCCCTACCCACTCAAGATGGCAAAGAGAAAGTCACCCATCCGCCCGCTGAGGCATGTCATCGTTGAGAAATACTGACTAGTGGTACAGCAGGGCCAACGCTAACGGCACAAGACGAATCAGAAGATGCCTCGATCCTCCGCAACGATGCCGACAATGGCCACTTCCGAGGCCTGCCCGCCAGACGAAAGCCGCGTATGAAGGTACTGATGAGGGTGTTTTCGAGATGGGCCATCACTATGGTCATCATCGTCTCGATTTACGCCGTCATCTTGGTCTACTCGAACAAGGCGGTCATGGACCAGACGACCAAGCGTCAGTACAACGCCCTCATCACCGGTCTCTCGATTGCGCTGGGTCTGGCGGTGGCCAGCAGTCTGAACCATATGGTTGCCGAATTGCGGTGGTGGATATTGAGCCGCCGGTACAGATCGAAGCGCAAGGTTGAGCTGATTCTGCAGGCCGACAACCTGAAACATACCATCATGTTGGCAGCCAGATCGAAGCGTTGGTCGATTCATCTTGCAGCCTTGGGCTGGCTAATACTGACAATCGTACGGCATTCTTATGTCTCCTCTTCTCGAAGGCATCAGCTCACCGATATGTTAGGGCTCCCAAGTCGGCCTCGCCGCCATTGGTCTATGCTACGCAACGGACACGGCCGACAGGCAAGCGTTGTTAGTACCTGGGAACGTCTCAATCGCAAACATGAACACGATAGAGACATCCAAACTTGTAAAGTCGAGTTCCAAGGAGCTGGGTGCCAAGCAGTACACTGCAAACAGGTCAGTACTTATGAAAAGAACTCATCACTGCACCGCCATTGCTGATCTGAAGAGTGTAGCTATGGCACACTTTCACTGGCTTATGATGTAGACACACTCGAGAAGGCTTCCTCGGCTCAAGCCATCTTTGTGCCGAGCGATCCTTTGATGTTTTGCTCAGAAAGCCTCTGCAAATACGTGTTTTACGAGACATCACAGCTGTCCATCACAGACAAGAACATCAACCCCGTCACCGTCGCCACAGACCGTAGCATCAACTCTACCTCCATATGCGCCGCGTGGCCCATAACGAGCGGCGGGAACGGGACGAGTCCCAACATCACTATTGCGCTCGCAAACAACGGCCGCTTCGTATTCAATCTCCCCGTGCAAGGAGGTACCGACCAGACGACCTTCATGACTAATACCGGGTCCAACTGCGGTCCAGGATGCGCCGTGGTTGCTGCCTTCGAAGCATCAGACACCTCTCCGTGGTACTACTCTTGCAACGTGACGGTCGGACAGGTCGCCAACGCCACGCGTCCGGAACACCAAGTCGGCTCGAACCTGACGGCGTTGGCTGCCGCGGCTATCGCGCTCCAGGGGTACGCTGCCTCCTCCCTGGCCACCGACGACAATTTCCAGTACCAGATATATCCTGCGGAATCCATCTTCGGCACGCCAATCAACGGCACGACGGAATCGATGCAAAAACTGCTTTCAAGATTCGCCATTGGGGTGATCGCCGTCGCAGCAGAGACCAACGACAAGTACGTCGTGGAAGGGACCATGCCCCTGAAAGGCACCAAGCTCAACGTCTCACACTGGAACTTGATCAACATGATTCTGATCCTCACCGCAACGCTCCAGTTGTCACTCGGTATCTCTGCTGCGCTGGTTGCCAACCGGGTGGTGGTGCCTGATGGGGGTGCAGTTGAGATGGCGCAGGTAATGAGGACGATGGCGATTCGGGATCGAACAGCGGTCAGTGACGCGAGTGAGAAGGGCCCGACTGGGGGGCCCAAAGCGACTTCATTGTGGATATACAGGGATCATTTGGTATCGGACGACAGGGTGTACGATTTGCACATGGAGGAACAACGAATCCACCCCAGGAGCGAGCATGGCATGATTGAGATGAATCCTCAACGGCCAAATACTGGTTCTACCAGTCGTGGGTCGACGCCACCAAAACAGTAGTTGACATTTTGCTACATGTGGTGAGTGGAAAGGTATGGCCGTTTCTCAAACTTCTCAAAACAGTAAAACTATCGATGCCTTTCGTACTCCCTTGTGCTGATGGGCATGGACAAACGGCTATGCCGGTCAAATCCACATTGAATGGGGGGTCTGCGTGAACGCATATAGGGGCAGTGGCAAGATTCCTAAGGATCTAGCTCGTCCCTCTGGTATATCTTGAATTTCGACCACACGATGGAGCATAGGATATTTCTTTGTTGCTTCCATCCCTTCACGTCGTCACTCAAATGGAGAGCTCAAGTGGAGCATCAAACGTAGGTAGCAAGAGAAAACGTTCCTGTGCGTGGCGAAACCTCAGGAGACCAGACATCAAAGGGTCACGGAGCGGACGAATACCGTATGAGAACCACCTATGAGGAAATTTACGGAAGTATGAAAGATTCAAGGTAGTGGGGGGAGCATTGGCAACAATGGCTCTAGAAGATAGGAAATTGAAAATGGATATCCTCAAATGAGGAGGACTGTATATTAGCCCCGCCCTGCTGGCTACCTTCTGGGCGTGATAGATTACAAGACTTGACTGGAGCCTCTTTATGTTTGGGTGCAATGAAGTCCTGGCTTTACCTCACTGCAATCTTCGGCGGAAACCAGTGCCATCAGATATAGAAAAGTGTAGGTCTCAGAATACCTCAAGACTACATTGCACATGCATTCTGTCCATAGTTGCAAAAGTGTGTAACCTCATGATTAAACGGCCAACGTCGGCCCAAGCCGGTTGTGCTCGGGTTTGGGCCGGAGAGTATGACCTTTCACTAGGTTCCGATCCCAGAGTCAATGGCCATGCACGGCACGGAGCAGGCCAACAAGGAAAAGTTCAAAAATGAGCCATTTTCACATTGCGTTACGTCCTAAAACTATGTTTTGTGGATACGAATCCTCAATACGCTGGCCGCCTAACCTCTGGAAGACATATGTGAACTTTGAGATGGGCCGATCGTGGCCGGTCATATCACATCCTGGAAAGTAGAATGTAGGCCAGAAGCAACATCCTCGCGCTTTTCCCTGCTGAAAGAGCCCTCATTGGGCAAACTTGCTGATCAGACCGAAAGATCAGACCACTGCGGTCGTCTCACATCGACATCGAGGTTGTCAATCGTGTGCGACTTGTCCGAAAGCTACCCGCTATGAATGAGAAATGACGAAGATTGGTGGAGTCTGAATACTAGAATCCAGGCCGAGATGCATGATTGGCTTCATCCAAGTGAGGGGGTTATGCAGAGCTATAAGCTATCGGGAAGTTACCCCTCCCAACGCCAGATATTTGAACGAGCCATTTCCCAATACAAACAATCGCACGAAGCTTACTTCTCACTGTACTCTGACTATCTTGTTTTCGGGATCCATCAACTACCTAATATCCAAACAACCAGACCTGGTACGGCGCTCGCGTCAAAGAGCCATGGCATCTATCGCAATGGAAACATCTACAGATCGAGGTAAAGTAGTAGAGGAACGCATCCGGGTGTTCGACTCATCTGCTGCGCCCCGAAATTCATCCAAACCTTCTCGATATCTCGATCGATCGAGAGGGGACACTGGGTCGGAAGGGGGGGCACAGCAGGGAGTTGTTCTGAGAAATACCGGCGAACTTGATCTGGATAATACCAGCGAAAGGACATGCTTCTTTGGCCCCCCCACCCCTTGCATGAGTGACCAAGGGCCGTGATGTACTAACATGTGCAGCACCACGCTTGATCTGTCAAAATGTCGACTGATAAGATCACCTTCCTCACCAACTGGTAGGATTGCTCGCGTGATGACCGTTGCCGACGTAATCTGACACTGAACCAGGCACGCTACGCCATACCACGCTCCGCTCTACCTTGCTCAGGCCAAGGGGTACTTCAAGGAAGAGGGCATCAAGGTCGCTCTGCTTGAGCCCAATGACCCCAGCGTACGGCAACTCTGGCAATACTCTCATTGTCTCGGTCGCTAATCCCTCAATAGGATGTTACCGAGATCATTGGCACCGGCAAGGTCGATCTCGGCTTCAAAGCCATGATCCACACCCTCGCCGTGAGTCTCTCTAGTTTGTTCCTACTTAGCTCCGTGCTGACGTTACTCTCAGGCCAAGGCCCGCAACTTCCCTGTTCTCTCTGTCGGCAGCCTCCTCGACGAGCCCTTTACGGGCGTCGTCTATCTCAAAGACTCGGGCATCACCACCGACTTTCGCTCCCTGAAGGGAAAGCGGATCGGCTACGTGGGCGAGTTTGGTAAGATCCAGATCGACGAGCTGACGTCTCACTACGGCATGACGCCCGACGAGTACACGGCCGTACGCTGCGGCATGAACGTCTCCAAGGCGATAATCGAAGGCACCATAGACGCCGGCATCGGCCTGGAGAACGTGCAGATGGTTGAGCTCGAGGAGTGGCTCGCCGGCCAGGGCCGCCCCAAGACGGACGTGCAGATGCTCCGCATCGACGAGCTCGCCGAGCTCGGGTGCTGCTGCTTCTGCACCATCCTGTACATCGGCAACGAGTCCTTCATCGCCGAGAACCCGGACAAGGTCCGCAAGTTCATGAAGGCCGTCAAGAAGGCCACCGACTACGTGCTGGAGCAGCCCGAGGAGGCCTGGAAGGAGTACGTCGGCTTCAAGCCCGTCATGGGCTCGGACCTGAACCGCAAGATCTTTGAGCGCAGCTTCGCCTACTTCTCGCACGACCTGAAGAACGTCGAGCGCGACTGGGCCAAGGTCACCAAGTACGGCAAGAGGCTGGGCGTCCTGGACGAGAGCTTCAAGCCGAACTACACCAACGAGTTCCTCGACTGGGCCCTCGACGAGGACTCTCCGGACCCTACCGGCGACCAGAAGAGGATGGTCGAGCTGCAGAACGAGGTTTCCTGCAAGGGCGGCTTCCGTCGCCTGAAGCTGCAGTCCGCCGTCAAGGCCTAGGATAAGGACTAGGAGACTCTGCAAGAATCGCGGATTATGTTGGTCTGAGAGAGGGCTTCACTCATTTTTGCCTCGCATGACCTCTTTACCCCGGGAATTGTCGGTCACTTATGATAGAGTTGAGTCGGTCAACGTCTTTTTGGATACAATACAAACCATTCCCGGGCGCACATGCAGCATCTGAAACCTCGGTGAGCCATGGTTGAAGTTACTCGCCAGCCCCATCATGTCGGTCAACGATATCCAGCGCTGGGCTTCTCGTGATGATTCGAGTGTACGAAGACGAATCCGGTGAGCGGCTTGTGCGAATGCCTTGTTCTGAGACTCTTCAAGGCGCTAAAAATAAAGATAGAAATCAATAACGGTTGCAGTTATTGGAATCAACGTTTACACGCAAGCGCATTCATTGTCTTACCCAGGTTTATTCCAAGTGTGACAAATCATGATAGTCGAAACCATTGCTTGGCAACCCCCAACCCAACCAATTCTGGTCTTCGCGGATGACTGCACGGCTGCGTACTACAAAGCAGCTATCCGTGTCGTGTTTGTCGCGACGCGCGTGTGTGTACGGTAGGTATGTATGTATGTATGTCGGCTTTGATCAACTGACGGCTTCTCGATGGCGAATGGAATCGCCAAGCTCTTATCAAAGCTGGGCCACAACCTTGATTTTCCATGGCACCCGTCTTAGCCGTCAACTTAGTAACACAGTGTGTCATCGAGCCACATGGGAGCATCGTCACTGGATTGGCCGCACCTAAAAAAAAAAACGCACGTTTGACCGGTCTCACAGCTCATGGGGATTCTTTCAAAAGTCCCGATAACGACCGCGGCCAAGCCATGGTTAATCGCAATAAACATGCCGGTGACAGCGGTGCAATCATATCCCAACATCCCAACATCCCCCAACACATCCCGGCTCCAGTACGGACACCCCTCTCCTCTCCTCTCCTCGCCGTCCGATAACATCATGCTTCTTTCTGCCATCGCAGAACGTTTGGGCTTGTGCCAGCTTGATGAGGAGCAAGCAATATTGGTTGGCTACACAAAGAAGTGAGACATGAAGATCGCATATCGGGCCATTTCTCGGCGGCGGCTGGCGCGGGGCGAATCAGCTCATCCAGGGCCCCTGGAATGGCTGCCCTCCTAGATGCCATACCCCTGATGGGAAATGGTTCGCCTTCGACACCCGCAGACCCGCAAGCTCATGCTTAAATCTAAGTTGATATGACCCAATCACTGGGCCTCGTCGGTTATATGTGGTGTTGATATTGGGGCCTGCTGGGCCTCCCAGACGCATTTGCCTCCATCACCTCCCTTTGTTTGCTTCCTCTCGACAGTGAGCCTCTCCAATTCGATTCGTTCTCAGTGCTTCGAGGTTTCCTTGCCCCAGGCTTGGATCCGCATACCTATTGCCGTGTCAGGGACGTGCGGACAAGGTTCCCGGACGGGATCAGCGCTCTCCCCCCCCCATGCAACGTGTTCCCTCCTCACCACATCACAGACCTGGCCTGGTAGTAAGTAAGGTAGGTTGCCAAGGCGGTGTCTCTTAAGGTATCGCAAACCCGGACCAACGCATCAATGCCTCCTCGTGCTAGGCCGCGCTCTATTGGTTTGCTTCCAACTCCAAGATGTGTGTTCCCTTCCCAGTCCCCTGACCTGGGGGTGGAGATTGTGCGTCACGGCTTGAGGTTCCCTCACTGGTTGGCTCTCGGCACTTGTCGTCTTGTGTTCCTTTAATTCAAACCGGTCAAGGGGACCCACGATACGCTGCTCCAACGAGAGCGTCGGACACGTCTTGTACTGTCGAGCCACCGTGGAATGCATCTACCCTCCTGCCCGAATGGGTAATACTGGAGACCGATATACTCGAGAGTGGGAAGAAGCAACGGTTCCAAAACTCTTGCATCATTTTCTTGCAATTTGATCATGCAGATTGAAGATAGAAGTGAGTATAAGACCGGCCTGTTTGCAGCGTCCTGGATGCCTCGTTCATCACACAGCTAACCACTAGACAGCAACGATCTCAGTCATTCTTTTCAACACCAAGGCGCTCGCTATCTAAAGGAGCCTGTTCACTCTTTCGAGCACATCGGTTTTTTGTCATAATCACAGTCAAGATGCACGCCGCAACGCTTCTCGCCCTCTTGCCCCTCGCGGCCGTTGCCGCCCCCTCCAAGCGTGCCCAGCCCGCCCCCCTCATCAAGCCCCGCGGCTCGACCCTCGTCGCCGACAAGTACATTGTCCGTCTCAAGAACGAGGCCAAGACGGGAGCCCTGCAGAGCCTCATGAGCACCTTCTCGGCCGACGCTGACCACGTCTATAACTTTGGTAACGCCCTCCGCGGCTTCTCGTCGACCCTGAACGCCACCGAGATCGAGAAGCTCCAGAACAGCCCCGACGTCGACTTCATCGAGCAGGACGCCATTGTGACAATCAAGGCCACGCAGCGGAACGCTCCATGGGGCCTTGCCAGAATCTCGAGCCCCGAACCCCGGTCCACCACATACAGCTACGACGAGAGCGCTGGAGAGGGCACCTGTGCGTACATTGTCGATACCGGCATCGACATCGACCACCCTGTAAGTCTACGACTCCCTCACCGCCCCTTCGGGCCATTGAACTATGCCTCTGACATTGCCCCGACAGGAATTCGAGGGCCGCGCAAGCTTCCTCGCCAACTTTGCCGACGAATCCAACGTCGACGGCCAGGGCCACGGCACACATGTCGCGGGCACGGTGGGCTCGGCGACGTACGGGGTGGCCAAGAAGACGACGCTCTTCGCCGTCAAGGTGCTCGACTCCAACGGCGAGGGCACCAACTCGGGCGTCATCGCCGGCATGGACTTCGTCGCCGCCGACGCGGCGGGCCAGAAGGGCTGCACCAAGGGCGTCGTCGTCAACATGTCGCTCGGCGGGCAGAGCTCCGAGGTCGTGAACCAGGCGGCCGCCGCCATCGTCAAGGCCGGACACTTCTTGGCCGTCGCGGCGGGCAACGAGGCCGCCGACGCCTCGACCTCGTCGCCCGCGAGCGAGGAAAGCGCCTGCACCGTCGGCGCGACCGACATTGACGACGCGCTGGCCGAGTACTCCAACTTTGGCACCAGCGTCGACATTCTCGCCCCCGGAACCGACATCAAGAGCACATGGCCTGGCGACAGCACCGTAAGACAACTCCGGAACCCCCTCCCCCCGGTCGCTCGCTCCTTTGTTTGTAAGAGAGAACGCTGACGTGAAGCCGTTTACAGAACACCATCTCTGGCACTTCCATGGCCAGCCCCCACGTCGCCGGCCTTGCCGCCTACTTCCTCGGCCTCGGCTCCGCGCCTTCGAACCCCGTCGAGCTGTGCAACTACATCGCCGAGATCGCCCTCGACGGCGTCGTCGGCCAGGTGCCCCGCAGCACCGCCAACAAGCTCGCCAACAACGGCTTCGCCGGAAACGGCACCGCCAAGCGCACGGATGGTCCCGTTATTAGCAGGAAGCTGAACAAGAAGTTCTCCATCCGCGCATAAATAAACAAAGCGGGCGGGGGACGGAACGTGGGAAGATCTTCTCAGGTCGTTCCCTGGTAGAACTGGGTAGAACTGGGTGGTACAGTCCAATGGGTATGATGACGCGGTATGAGGTTCTTCCGAAGACTTCAGCATATGACTTCCAATCTTGTACAAATTAGATTTCACTTCCGATATGTATACATGACCTTTTTGATCATCTCACTTCCTTGTGTGGTATAGTGCGCTACCGGGCCATCTTTCGACTGACGCTTCATACGGTTCATGAGCAGGACTATCCTTAATATAGTACATCAAGAGGCTGTCGCCGCTTTTGCCGCTTGCCGACCGGCTATCCTTCCATAAACCACACACTCCAACAACGACGAGCCGCCCAGGCGGTTATCTCCATGGACGCCACCGGTGATCTCACCCGCCGCCCACAGGCCATCGATGGCGGTTCCGTCTTCTCTGAGGACCTGAGACTTGTCATTGAACGCCGCACCACCCATCGTGAAGTGCGAGATGGGCGTGACGCGGCCGATGCAGACCTCTTCCTCGCGGTTGGCTTCTCCGGCCGCAAGGTTCCAGCGCCCAAACGTCCGCCTCCCGAAAGCCGAGTCGGTTCCCGAAGCCACCACCGCCGCGTACTCGTCGACCGTCTTGATGGTTGCCGGGCTCAGTTCCTTCACCCTCTTCTTCTCCATCAGGCCTTTCCACAGGTAGAAGCCCAGGTGTCCCGCCGCGGCATCGCACGCGCCGGGGTCCATGAGCAGCGTCACGTCCCACTGCCTGACGGCGCCGTCCTCCTTGGGCGGCAGCTGCATGATGGCCCCGCTGACATGCTCTCTCGTCTCCATCTCGTTGACGAACCTCTCTCCGCTGCCCGAGAGCAGGATGCCGCCTTCTCCCCTGAGGACCTCCGCCGCGAGGAACTTGTACCGCGCCGAGGGGTCCTTGGGGTCGACGAAGCCGGTCGGGTGCACCTGCACGCTGTCCATGTCGACAAAAGCGGCGCCGACGGCCTCTAAGATGCCATGAGAAGCTGGCCGGGCCTCGTTCGTCGACGGCAGACCTGCCAGGTCCGGGCGGTGCTTGGCCAAGAGACCGTTCGCGTCGCCGGCAAATCCGCCCACGGCGAACACAACGGCGCCCCTGAGGTCGTGTTCCTGGCCATCCTGAACGTAGCGCACGCCCCGGACAGCTCCGTCGGCCACGTCGAGGGAGGTCACCTCGGCGGAGCTGCTGAGTCGGAAACCGGGGTCCTCTCCGAGCTTCTTCAGCAACGCCGTGACGATTGCTGCGCCCGGCGGGGTCGTCCCGGCCCCTCGATGGGTCCGAGGAAGCGAATGCCCGCCCAGGGGGGCCACGACGCTCAGGTCGACGCCGACGTCGTCCGCGAGCCACGTGACGGCGTCCGCGGAGTTGCTCGTCAGGAGACTGACGAGCCTGGGGCGGTCAACCACGCCCTTGGCCTCGGCGAAGCGCTTGCCGCCCGAGCGCGCCGTGTCGTCGTAGAACAGGACGTCCTTTTCCACGCCGGCGGCCTTCTGGAACCGCGTCCCGGCGCCGTTGATGCCGGACGACGCCTTGATGCTGTTGCCGCCGGGCTTCGGCGCGCGGTCGAGCATGTGGACCGAGGCGCCGGCTTTGAGGGCCTCGTGCGCGGCCGACAGGCCGGCAAGGCCGGAGCCGACGACGATGACGGACCCGCGTGGTGCCTTGGCCATGGATGCCGATGAGAGACGAGTGCTGCTGTGGGTTATGAAGCTCAATTTGTTGGTGATGCGTTGATGGTAAAGCATGCCCAGGATGGCCGCGAGGATGCCGAAGACGAGTGTTATGACGAAGCGGCGTACGGGACGGATGAACATTCTGACTCCAGGTGGGAGATGGGGCGAAGCCGTCCTCCAAGTGACGCGAGGCCTATATAGTCGTGCATTCCGGCCGCGGTGTTCGGTAGTTGTGGGCGAGCGAAGTCAGGCGATTTCGAGTCGTACGATGCGATCGGAAGAGGGACGCGATAGTGGTCTTATTGACAGGGGAGCTTTGTCAGGTCAGCATATGTGCCTCTAAATTCACGTAACACGGAGTTGCTGAGTTACAAGAAGGCATAATAAGACATTGCTAGACTCTATTTGATGTCATTATTTTTTATTTTTTATTTTTATACTATACTTTGCGATAGTTTTACGGTACATTTCGCGGCCGTTCAATACGTCTGACAGAGCATGCCCGACGTTTCCGAGTACCCATTCAACTTCATAGCGTCTCATCCTTCATGACATATTCTATTAGACGTATATCCTGCCTAGGCCCGAATCTAAAGGGCCTCGAGGAACATCAGGCAGCGTTGGTCACTATGGAGCACGCGGAATGCTTCGCATTGGGCGCCTTCGCACCTTTCGATCGATCCGCCAGGTCTTTTAGGAAACAGTGATGGAGAACAGGTCCTGAGAGCGGCGTCTCTTGGTCCTTTGGGGGATTGCTCTAGACCCGAGGCTGGAACTCTGGGTTTTCGATGATTGCCTAGGTTAGAACTTTGCAGAGGAACCCAAGAGCAGGTCGTTCCTAGACAGGCCGGCCGGGTCTATGTCCTTCACCTTGCCGAAGCTGGCAAGACTTTCAAGTAGGCGGGCTTGAATAAAGAGTGGTAAAACTACTGCTGATAGGAATGACCGTATCGGGTTTCAATAAGAAGCAATGTTGCACAATCCCTTCACATGGTCTTATTATGATCCTGGGCAGCGAAAAGCACATTTTCAGTTGCATTGATCGCCGTTGATGCTATTTCTGAAGATTGCCGTGCACCAAACAGTTCGTTCGACTCTGCTGTGGTTGCAGTCATCAGGTGTCACTATGCGGCCATCACCATCGAAGCACCGGTCAAGGTGCCAGAGTGGTTAATGGGCTGCCCTGCTATCGGACCTTCTGGTATCAGCATAGGCAGTGGCTTCGGTCGCGCAGGTTCGAATCCTGTCCTTGACGTTGATTTTTGATGCCTTTGGCTACTTACTACGCTTGCCATGCCCAGGTCAGTCAAACAGCATCGACTTTTGCTCTCGTGCACGCGGGACGCCCCGAATCGCGCCTCTTTGAGACGAAAGCACTAGTAAGTAGTCAATGCTGTGTAAACGAAGCAGGGGATGCTTGGCTTCGACGCCGTTTTGGTGGTGGGTCGAGCTCGGGAGAGTTGGACGCAAACCGGCCCCCGTCGCTTATTTGCTTCTCACCGACATTGATCTATGCCATGGTTCGAAATGTTGTGTCTGGGAGTCGTTGTCTACGCAGTAATTACGGTATGTAAAGTTGAGCTGCGAAACCATGAGGGTGATGGGCAGGCATCCGGTCACCATCATTTTCGATGAGTGACTAACCCACCATCCCCCAGGCACAACAACTGTGGTCCAGACCGAATCAGGGCTAGCCGACCGCATTTCATTCGGATGGCACTCGTGGCAGACGGCTCATCTGAGTTCTCGGGGTTAGAGAGCGGCATCATCCGGAACCAATCATGTAGATACCCTCCTCGACGATATTCTCTTCACTCGGAGGGCAAGGGCAAGCTCCTCCCCCAATTGTCGTCGAGGGGGGCCCTGTTCGTCTACCTACAGGTAGGTATGCGTGGGTACGAACAGTAACACGGAACTTTGGCTTCTGCCGAGCTATCCGATAGTGCATCCATCGTGTGCGCGTCTCCCTTCTTGGCATCGGCTTCCGCTCCTTGTCCTGCAGGCAACGACCGGGGGAGCAAAGGCAACTGGACGAAGACGACGCCAGGGTCACCCGGAGCTTGTCTGCCTTTGGAAGGCAGCAAAAGGAATTTCAGAAGGCTCCGCTCGCTCTCCTTCAAATCATGGCCGTCAGTAAGCAAGCCACACATGCAGCAGATGACACAGGACTCTATGCCGTCTGTCATCCCGTCGCCCGCAGCTCCGTTCGTCCAAGGCCCTCGGCAAGTCGCTCCAGGCGACAACAGAGAACCGGCAGGGTTTATGAAAGAGAAGACGGGCTCGCTACGGCCCTCAACAGCGACAAAAGGTTGAGAACCCATCCCCATCCCTCAACGGGCTGACAGAAGCCGCCAAGCTAGGAGTGGAACGACTCTTGACCTGCTCGGAGAAATGGAACTTGTTTAGCTCTCTCCTCTCTCTCTCTCTCTCTCTCTCTCTCTCTCTCTCTCTCTCTCTCTCTCTCTCTCTCTCTCTCTCTCTCTCTCTCTCTCTTTTCAGGTGGTGGTGCAGGGTCCTGCAGCCAGCGGCGGGTGCACGCACAATGTAACGTGTTGCCGGGGCCCCCAACGCATGTCTCTCCCAGGGAAACGCGGACCAAAACGGCCGTCGTTGTGTTCTTGGCGGATCGGGCAGCCGGATGTGTGTATGTGTCTACCTAGGTATCTGCCTTTACGACTACTTGCTATAGTATTACCTGCCGTCGAGGTCGGCTCTTGGTCGAGCCTCAATCATTGGCATTACGGGCCAAGGGGCTGGGCATCGGAGATCGATCCACGGGCGAGTTTCCTCGGTTGAAGGCAGCCATAGAATTAGAGAGCCGCGGGCAATCGTATGTCTTCTCGTTCCATTCCAGCCTACGTGCACACCATAGAGCCGTTCGCCCGTCCGTCTAACCCAAAAGGCCTGGCGGGTGAAGAGGACAAAACAGCCTCTAGCTATGCTTTTAACGTAAGCAGGAGCCCGATGCGGGGAAAGCTACGGTAGTTGGTAGTGCGCCAACAACAGTTTGCTGCCCAGGACTATGGATACCTATACAGAATGTAACTCGAGGCTCTTCAAGGCCAGGGTCCAACGGACCTTTTTGTCCAGGTGACGGTTCGCTAACTAGTGGCCTGACAGCCACCTCGGCGGAGCCGGACAGAAAGGGGCAGTGATGGGCGTGCTGGCGTCATGTCAACATGGCGCGAAGTGTATGACAGCCCCCCAAGAGTTGCGTGACGAGGCTTCTTGCTGGGCGCGGCATTTCATCAAAACAGGAGACCATCTCGACTGCTGGCAAGTTCGGTGCCGGTTCAGAGTACTAACATAGGATGCATGCCTGCGAATGACACACCACTGTGGCATATCGGTCGCCCTTTTCCCACCGTTTGCAGAACGGGGACCGAGGCGTGGTTGCTCTATTTCATCACCGGGGCAGACATACGATTTATTACCCTTTTTTCGGGAAAATAGCGGCGGCAACATTGGCATTGGTTCCACCTGCGGACGACAGGAGCGCCGCAGAGAAGGTTGTGGACGAATACAAGCGCAGGACGAACCACGAACTCTGGGGGTGGTCTGGGGAAATATACTTGAGAGCGTGCACGAGATCTGGGGAAGAAAGACAACTTCGCGCCCGTATCGAATCGACGCTGCGCTACGAAGTATACCTAGGCGTCTCCGAGGTCCAGGTCCGGGGGCCAACCTTGAACCCACCGTCACCATCACGAGAGACAACGGCACGCTCAATGTATCGAAGGGTGTGTGTGTGTAACGTTTGGCCTCGGTAGAAGCATAACATGGAAGAAATGGAATTTGGATTCCAGAGGGGTGTGTAGGAAACGCACCCCAAGCTTCCCCCGCAGGCCAGCGCCATGTGGCCATTTGTCTCTTCCCACGCCTCTGACGGAGGCGTCATTGTCACCGCGGCCATTGGCGCGGTCATAATGACGCCTGGTGCGCACTTGGCCCCGGCATGCCGACGATGAAGACATTTCAGAGGGCATACGACGCCAATGGAAGCCCAGGGGGGGCAGCCTTTGAAAGAGCCGCCTACGGACGATATCGTAGACGCTCGAAGGAGGACAGCCGGCCGGCCCATTGGTAACCATCGTTGACTAGGTAGGCCTACTGACTGGCAGCAACAGGCTTCATATTTGTCTCGAACGGCCTAGGACGTTGTCAGCGCACCCCGTCTCCCCCGCAACCCAAGCTCGGGGATGCGAATTGGAGGGGAATAGGGGTGGACAGGGACCGGCTGAACCGGACGGGCGTAACAGAACGAATCGCGGGCAGCAGGCAAGATGGGGTGTCTCATCCGACGAGCCGGGAGCGTCGAGACGCGCGATGCCATGCAAGGACCCAAACAGTGGTGCTGTGTTCCCACCGTATAAACTACAAACTGGAGAGAGAGTGGGTGGGAATAGATAGGCAATCCCACTCCGTGGTCTATGCTGTCGACCAGCCCCGTCGCGGTCCCGTGATAGGATACTCGCTGCGATGGTTGGAGAAATGCGTCTCCTGGATGGCCTTGATGGACCAAGTAGTAGCCGCGTCGCCAGATACCGACCTGATGCCGTGACACCGAGTGCCGGTGGGAGCTCGCCCGGTCACGATCCGCCGCCAAGACGGGGAAGAGGCCGTCACTTGTAACCCTATGCGTAGAGCATTCCAAACCAGCGGCCCTATTTCTGTGCTGTATTCGGCTTGTGTTCCTCTCTTCAGAGGATCACTCAGTTCCTTTCGAAGCTCGTTTGAATGACAAACGGTAACACTGACTGACCTTCACGCATCGACTGCGATTTTGGGCTATCGAGGGACCACCCAAAGCTGAACGGATGGCAGAAAGAATGATCTCAATCGGACGCCGCCAAACTGGAAACGTTCAGACGACAGACGCACTCCAGACTCCGATCCCGCAGCGGCGACAACACCGGATGCACTAGATAATTGCCGTGATACCAAGGCGCTAACAATCTATCACCACGCCCCCTCCGTGTTCGACCAGCGCAAATCTATCACTACGTAGCATGTTTACCCACAGCTTGAGGCATCATGAACCCCAAATAGAGGATGCATTTTGCTTTTCGAGCCGAGAGATGACAAGCTGTAAGCACGTGTACCTGTTATCCATAAGACAATAGGTGATACCGCTTCCGTATTGCCACTCTAATGCCTTGGTGAAAGATGACATGGAGGGTATCTGGCGAGGCGGAGCAGAAGAATCGATTGCCGCCGCATGCCTTGGCCGCCTAATACAATAATGATCCGCGTTCCCCAAAAGCCCATCCCGCCCCCCGTTATTCGCCTAGCCGCGGAAGGGCGAGAGAACGCAGCGGCCACCTGACAAAGAAAGAATTGGAGAAAGTCGAGCTATGCTCGTGACGGAAAGGGATGGGAATGACATCAGCTCATGGTCTGATCTGCCCAGCCCAGTGGCCCCAAGGCGGTGTTCTTCTTGGCTCACCCAGCTTTCCCCCTCCTTGTCATTGGCATTGCCTGTTTTCAAATCTCCTTTCCGTCCGGCAGCCCGAATTCCAATTGAGTTGCTGGATGACTTTTGGGGGGGCCTCGTCGGCCCTCGCGCAGAATTTCACGGCGCCAAACATTGCATTGTCCATGTTCTTGCAACGCTACTGTATCCGTACATATGCATCAAAGGGCCGCCGGTTGGCCGGGGTCTCTGTTAGCAGCAGCCCTTTCTCCTCACCCCGGGCTGCGCATCACTTCCCGCTAGGAGGAGGGTCTCCTCCGTTTCTTCTGGAGAGGGGACGCTGCCAGCCGATCTCTGGGTCGTTCATTGGCGGTGTGTGTATGGATACTGTCTTCCCTTCGTCCTGTTCTGTAGAGTCCGTTCTAGTTACGGGTGTTTCCCTCCAAGTTCTAACTGCTCTCTCCCTCATCCAAAGGCGGACTCCGACCAAGTATGTTGATGGGTAGTCACTCCACCGTCCAGGTGCCAGGCCAGGCCACTAAACATCATCCGACTTTACGTTGGAAATAATGAATTCGGCATGGAACTCTTATCAACCCATTCCCCTTTGGAACCCCCCGGCTCAGTGTTCTCTGGACCTTTTAAAGATCGGCCCTTGGGACCCAGACGCGGCTCGTCCAGTGCTGTCCTTACTTACAACCTTGGGTCCGCACGCTACGCGACCTTTGCTTGATCCACTCCCTCCTCTTCCCGCAGACGAGACGCCTCCTCCTTGCAACCCTCCTCCCTCGTTGGTGTTGTTCGTCCGTGTCATCCACCATCTCCAGTTCTCCGCGCCGGGTGTGGCCCACACATCTGTGCATACCCCAGACGTTGTTCACATACAGGTACGTTGGCGAAACTACACTACCACCAGCCCATCAACCATTTCCGTTTTGCCTTGACTCTTGGACCCCCCCCCCCCCCCCCGACATCCTTTCGTCCCGATTCGAGTGTCCTCTCAACCCTTTCCTCCTCCTCCCCGCCCCATTACTTAAAGAAACCCCTCCCCACCCTCCTGCTCTGAGCTTAAAGGAAGCCTTCTCTTATCAAACTGTGCGCCTTCTTCCCTGCAGCCTGACTACGCTGTCCTCCTCCTGTAGAGATACATTGTACTTGGCCATCCTTTGTTGCTCGTTTCCATCACCCTCCTCTCCCACGCCCGCAAGATCGCAACACACAATAGACACGATGGCCACGCACGAGACCCTCAACCACAACGCCGTCCCTCCAGCGGACGTGGAGAAGGATGTGCACACGTCCGGCGCTGACCACTACAACGGCGTTCAAGCAGACCAAAACGCAGCATACGCGCGACAGACCGGGCCCTTCACCCGCGTTGCCGACTACCAGAATATGACTGAAGGTCAAGCGCAGGCGTTCGGCGGCACCCTCCAGCCCGGCCTCTGGAAGCCGTACGAGCACAGAAAGTTCGCCAACCCGGCGCCCCTCGGCCTCTCGGCCTTCGCCCTCACCACCTTTGTCCTCTCCTGCGTCAACCTGCAGGCCCGCGGCGTCAAGGCGCCCAACATTGCCGTCCCCCTCGCCTTTGGCTACGGCGGTCTCGTTCAGCTCCTCGCGGGCATGTGGTACGTCTCCCCCGGTCTTTAACTCCGTCTCCACGTTTCGACCTTTTCTCTCCCCTTCCTTTCTCTTTTTACCCGGTGCCAGGGGGGGGGGATAGTGTGTCCCCCTCCCCTCCAAGTTCCCCAACATCTCATCTCAACTCGTCTCCACGAATCCGCCTACTACCCTCCCCATCCCCACCCGCGAATGGAATCTCCCCCGTCGTTGCCTGTATGGAGCATGGATGCGCCCGCTCTAATTGCACTGGAGTGTGGGCCGTGAGCCAAACAAAAGCATGGATGAGACGGTCGGTCAGACGGAGACGACGGGGGTTCTTTATATGGTCCACTCCTATGTGTCAGGGGGGGAACCTGTGGAGAAGAAACCCGCATGTGCGGTGTGCGATACGAGCGTCATCTAGCCGTCACACAGACAAGACTCTATCAAACCATCTCTCAAACGCGCCAATGGCCGACTGACACTGACATTTTCTGGTCCACCACAGGGAGATGGCGGTCGGCAACACTTTTGGCGCCACCGCCCTGTCGTCCTACGGCGGCTTCTGGATCGCGTACGGCATCCTCCTGACCCCGGCCTGGGGCATCATCGCGCCGGACGGCCCGTACGCGGCCGACTACTCGGACCACTACTCGGCCGTCGGCTTCTTCCTGACCGGCTGGTTCATCTTCACGACGCTGCTGCTCCTCTGCACCCTGCGCTCGACCGTCGTCTTCTTCTCCCTCTTCTTCACCCTCGACCTCGCCTTCCTCTTCCTCGCCTGCGAGAACTACGCCGCCAACAACGGCGCCCTGACGGCGAGCCGCAACCTCCAGATCTGCGGCGGCACCTTTGGCATGCTGGCCGCCTTCCTGGCGTGGTACTGCGCCCTGGCCGGTCTGCAAGACGACAGGTGAGTTTCACGCCCCCCTCCCCCTCTTTTACATCTCTCTGTTCCCCTCTGGAGACAGAGTGCCGCGTCGCGCGCCATGTGGATTCCATTTGCTAATGGGCGTTTATTTGCAGCAACTCCTTCTTCCAGGTCCCCGTCTTCCATCTCCCTTGGTCCGACAAGGGTAAGGAGCTTCGCAAGGCCAAGAGCAACCGCTCTGTCGCTTAAGCCCGCAAGGTTCTTCCATGTTTACTTTCTCTCTCTCTTTTTTTTTCTTCTTCGCAAAAGAGTTTTCTTTTTGATGACGATGCGCGCCATGTGCGATGGAGCAACCCCCCGGTCCACGAGGGCTGCGGTGGAATGGATATGTTGATGGAGAGAGGATACCCAAATGGTGAGGGTGTCATGCCCAGCGACGACCTAGCTATTATTAAAAACGCGAAGCCAAGGATGAGAGTATTCTCTTCTGTTTCGTGGTTTACCTTGTAAATATTTATAGAGGCTCTGCAAAAGTGCGGCAGGGAACAGGAACAGAGATGGACTTGACGAGGCCCCTATTCCAAAGGCCTTTACATAGTTAATGGATGCCATGATTTTCTACAGGCTAGTTTCCGCTAGACCACCTCACGTTGCTTGGTATGGTTCTGCATCGCGTATGAGCCACACTTGTGAACCGTGGCACATGTTTGAAGAAAATCGTCCCTCAACGGCTGCAAGCACGCTCGGCGGATGAGCTGACGTCGAGGAACCCTTGATGATGCGGCGATTTTGGAGATGTCTTGGCACCGGAATCTGCTTTTGGTTTTTGGTTTTATTTTTGGTTTTCTGCCTCGTAGGGCGGCTCAATGTGTCGCACGTCCGCTCTCGCGCGCGCGCAATTACGGGAGATGCGTTCCGCGGGAAAGGATTTGGGGGCGGCACTTGGGGCCTTGGCATATCTCACCATTTCCTTTTGAGTCTTGCTGGAGTCGCCCAGGTGCGGAGAAAACAGAGAGAGAGAGAGAAGAAGAGGTGAGGCGTATGGTGTGGTGTGAAGTCGCAGTTGAAGGGTTGGCGCCACGGCTGGGCTGATGACATTGCTACGAGGGTTCACGACTTCGGGGACTAAGGGTTTGTCTCTTTGTCGACGACATCATTTTCCGCGAGGTGGCTTTACTGGGTAACTTGTCGGTGTTGCTGCGAGCTGACGGTGCCGAGGCTGGTATCGAAGCCATCCCCACGCGGCTTGGCTTTACTTACTTATCCTTCGGCTTCGATGCAGCAGCGCGGGTATTATTCCAAGGAGTCTCACGGATCGCCTATAATCTTTCAAGGAATAATATCGTCAGCGTTGCAAGTCTTGCTTCACATCTCATTATGCATAGTGCAACCGAGATTGTGCATGATCTGCTCCAACAAACATATTTTTTTCCGATGCTTTTATCGAGCATGGCAGTTTTCGGTGTACGAGTCATACACGCGCTGGTTTTGTTTTTCCCAGAAACACTTTGTCCGGCAGATGACCGAAGATAGTCAGAACATGGTAAAGGAGGGGAGAGTAAACTGTGCAGACTACCTGTAGAGGTTCCCGAGCAAACTTTGGTAGGATTCAAACCGCCGAGAGTGGAAAACTCTACCCAGCTCGGTGATTTCTAATATCCACAAACCCTACTACGTACTGCCGCTTGCGTACGAAAGTTGAGCGAAACCACGGTACGCTACCAAGGCTATTGCCAATACTAAGTCATAAACGGAGAGCAAACATAAGCCTGCCCCGGATGTTCTGCGAGGGACATCGTGAAAAGCATGATCGACATGCAGTTCAACCACCCATTGACGTGGCTGTCGTCTGCTGAAGAGTCTTGATCTGCGAATTGCGCAAGGAGCATGTGGATTCAGTCCATCTCTCCACAATCATATCAGCACAATAGCTCAGGGGTAGAGCGCTGGGCTCATAACCCAGAGGTCCCTGGATCGAAACCAGGTTGTGCTAACGATAAACAAACCTTTTGTCGAATGAAGCTTCGTTAGGAGACGGCTCAATGTTTGCTGGTATCTACACGTCTGGTAGTTGGTTTCAAGATTTTCGGATAGACCCGTCCGTCGTAGCTTAGTGTGAATGCCAACATGAAGTGAGGGCTGCACCGGCGATGGTTTTTCGCCAATTCGGCCCGTCCTCGAATGCAAATCCACTCGACGACACCTACCAGAGCGTGCATCATCATGGCGCAGGATGATGGGGTTGACTTCGCCGGCGCAGCGCCGGGTGCCGTCCACGGAGCCTACAAGACTAACGGCGAGCGTGTCGTGATCAAGAGCCCGTTTCCCTGCCTGGGCAACGAACCCGAACTTCTATCAACATGGCATCAGGTTGTTCCTTGCGTACGTTCACACCTTGGTTATCGAGGGTATCGGCATGGTCTCCTTCAATCGCATCTTCCATCTCGTAGCCGAGCATACGCAGGGCGCCAAGAACACGATTTCGGAGGTCATGCACAAGCTCGGCCACGCCAAAACTGGGACGGTACTGGTGCTCGTGCCCGTTCCCTGCCGCCAAGGCCTGGGCCGAGACCAACTTCGATGCCGACATCTTTGCCGTTCCGGCCGGCGATGTCAATTTCACAGCCGTTGCCCTAAAACCCTGGCTCCATTAGCCTTTGGCAAGGTGCAGTCCACGTTCTCACTATCTCTAAATACGTAGTACTACGTAGGGTTGCTTGTTATCTGTTCCAGAAGTAATCATCAGCTGCAACAACTTCACACGGCTTCCAGTCTTTTGTGGCATGATGCTTTTTTGGACATTATTTGTCCAACCAGTCCATTGATACCCCCGCTGACCCAGCACCCGCCCAAACCCACTCAAAGGGCGGTGGTTGGGGAATATGCTGCCAGCATGCATTGGCGCCCTGACAGAGAGTGGTCCGGAATACAACATGGGGCTGTTCCGCACGCTAAATACGATATCAATATATTAAAGGAACGTCCGGCCTTTTAAGTTTTGGCGAGTAATACAAGGAATAGCGCTCCCGGAGGCACGCGGCCTCGGTAATTACCGGCCAGCCGGCTCGAGTCGCACGACAGCAGTATAAAGCCAGCGCAACGTGCTCATGTCAGATTGCAGTCTCACTTTCCAGCTTGAGCAACTCTGGACGCTCCTTATTGACCTTTCCGTAGCCGTCATGCGACACCTCACGGCCGGGCTTCTCGCCCTTGGCGGCCTTGCCGCGGCGACATCCGACTACCGCCCGTACTCGACATGGATGCTCGACAGCATCAAGGCGCGGAAGCAAGGCATCATCTCGTCGGGCGCAGCGAGCAGCTACTTGGAGACTGGCGTTCTTTCCATCGCCCTCGAAGCCGCCATCGCGCAGTACCCGGATCTCAAGGATCAGTACGCCCCCTACCTGGAGAACGTCCTTGAATCAGGCACACCAACCCTCACGAACGCCACCTATGTGGCGACGCGGCCCTTGGATCGCTTCTCGATCGCAAATGCCGTCACAGGAGCCTCCCAGGCGGGCGTCATTTCAATCTCGACTGCCGTCTCGGCAGCGACGAACGCCATCAATGAGTCTCTATCGCTTCAGACACGGAACCCCGAGGGCGGGCTGTGGTACTATGTCTACCCGCAATGGAGCTACCTCGATGGCATGTTCTCGGTGCTGCCTTTCATGGCATCCCTGCCGCAGCCTGACTACACGGACATCAGCTTGCAGATAAATCTTCTCTACGAGCACTGCTTCCAGACGAACACATCGCTGTTAGTGCACGGGTATGACTACTCCAAGAAGGCCGTCTGGGCAAACAAGGAAACAGGCGCGAGCCCGTACGTCTGGGGTCGCTCGCTGGGCTGGTTCGTCGCCGGACTGGTACAGACTTGGGAGTCTCTGGACTGTCTCACGTGCAAGCCCGAGGCGGAACCGGTTTGCGGGCGTCTCCGCACGGTCATGACCCAGCTCGCCACGTCGCTGGTCAGGTACGCCGACCCGGAGACCGGGGCATGGTGGCAGCTCACGACGTTCCCCGGGCGAAGCGGCAACTATCTCGAAAGCTCCAGCACGGCCCTCTTCATCTTCTCCCTGTTGAAGGGCGGGAGACTCGGCATGCTCGCGGACGCCGAGGTCGACTTCAGGAAGGCAGCCCTGAAGGCCTACGACTACACCACGCGCAACTTCGTCGTGGACACTGGGAACGGAACCATTGGCTACAACAAGACGGTGGCCGTCTGCAGCCTCAACTCTACGGCGTCATACGAGTATTACACCAACCAGCCGTTGTTGCCCAACAGCCTTTTGGGAGAGTCTGCGTTCGTTTTGGCTTCACTGGAGGTCGAGAGATGAGGGAACGATGTCTGTGGAAATGGGGGGGGGGGGGGGGGCGTCGGACGGTAGATGTAGAGGCTGAATGCCAAACCAATTCGTAATCGTGCATGATGCCTATATCACTTTGAAAGAAATCCTCAAGATATGGTTAACGGATGATGTGCGACTCCTGGCAGCTGGGATTCATCTTTTCCAGTCGGACGGTCCGCTGCCAACAGACTCGGGGGCCGGGAGAACAGCTTGCCTGTCTCGAGGCTCCGGGTCCACACTTGAAAACCGTCACAGTGACTGGGGTTGTTCTTGATCCTAGATCCCAGCGTTAGCAAAGATGCTGAGGGATCCGGTCATACGGCTATGGGGAGGAGTGTGCAAATGGGACTGGCTTACAGATGTTTCCGACAGACCCCTACCTTCAGTAGTTGAAGGTGGGCGGGCTCTCAGGGTTGACGGGTGTAATGGGATCGGATCAATGGCACCAACTGATGATATACCTCGCTACACCAAGCAGTCCGTGTAACCAACTTTCTAGCCAAATACGCATCGCTTTTGTGGAGTGAATATCTCATTTTGACACAAGTCGTTAGGTTATGCAGGTGACAGGTTAACCCGTAGCGGAACTTAAACTGCAGTGGCACAGTAGATACAAGATATGTAAGTAAGTAGAAGACGGTTTACCCAGACCAAGCTTAAAACCGGACACCGGTTTTGTTGCTCTGGTCTGGTGATGTGCCTTGGGTATAGGCACTTAGTCGAAGGGTTCGTAGAGGTAGAGATGTATTCCAGATAGGAGTAGTGATGTAGTATCGACTTATTCACATGCTTCATACCTGCTCTAATCTCCTACCCAAACTAGTGTTTCAATCATCCATGAAGAAAAAGGCAAGACTTCCCCAACAGGGCTTAGTATGGTTGACCCAAACTTTTGACAAATGATCCAAAGCACCATACATATTAGCTATGTACAGGTATAATAGACGGTTCTGACAGCGCATCTTTGCTCTTAAGCTTTTCGAAAGCAACGATGGTGGGGTTCACACAAGGTTGATTATGATTTCGTTTCGTCGTTTCATGTGAGTGCCAGTGTCCAAGCAACTTCCTCTCAGATTAATGATCTGTAACTTCGCTGTCCCGCCCCCGGTGAGGCAACAGGATCGTATTTTTCTGCCCGTAGAATCACTGGAGAGGCCAATGCGGACTTCATTCCATCAGTGTGGCTACTTTCTCGCTAGCTAATTTCCATGTTTCCAGTCTCCAAATCTAAGATGGCATGTCTGTTATGGCCATTCTTCTCAGATGTCTCAACAGGCCTCATCAGCTGCCTAAAACAGCACAGCAACGCCAGATATTTTCAACATGGTGGAATAATAGCAAGTAAAGTAACCGGCCCTAGACAACTGAGTTTGCACCACTGGGTCGCCAAATTGTCCAGAGCCGGATCATGGAATTAGGATCTATGTAGAGCCATCATATCTGCGATTCGCACAAAGCGAATAGCTCCATGACGAGATGGCATCTTTTGCTCTGGACAACTCCAGTTGCGCAACCAGTGCCAAGCCACACACACACACACACACACACGCACGGAAGGCGCGGGCTGTTAATCACCGCAGGCTCCGTCATCCGGTTCTTCTGACAGAGCATTGCCGATAGGGGACTTCACCTTTACTATACACAAGTCGTTTCATTGGCTCTAGCTTAACTGGTTCCGAAGAACAAGACAGTCTGAGCCACTCGTTGTCGTCTGAACAAATACAATAAGAGGATTTACAGTGTGCGGGGCTTCGCTCACCGACTCCAAGGTTACAGCTCGCGGCAGTGGCTCCCGTACATAGGAGATATTTCGGGGAGGTCTCTTGGGCAATCCACACGCCTTTTGTCTATGAAATGGCACGACCCTTGCATGGTCCATGGTCCGATTGAGTGTGAGTTGAGACAGAAGGCATTGATTGGCTCCGAAATCTTCAATCATATTGACAAACACCAATACCGGACGGAGTAAAACAGCAGACTAGTTCATATTCACATCATGGGATCCCTGACGCCGTGAGCCTCACTATCGATGACAATGCTTGAAGATTCTTCCAACAAACAAAAAAAGCATAGTAGTAGGAAGAAGAGAGATCAGAAGACACACGTACCTGGTATTACAGACAATACGACGGGCGGTCTGTAACAATTGGTATCATTATAGTCTATGGACGACGCCAAATGAGATAGACAACGTGATCGTATGCCCTCCTCCACAGAACAGCCTACCTACCCCTTGAGAGACATGTCTACCCGACGAGAATAGGCCCAGAAAAACTTTCGACAGGGAGAGAGATGGCACAGTGCCGGCATAACCTTATTGTACAGAAAACCTTCACACCAACATGGTATAGAAGATGGTAGGGGGAAGAAAGGTTGAATGAATGATTGGCTAGCATGCGGATTGGCATTTTGCATAAATGCACAGTGATAAGCCATGCCTGTCAATTCACAGATTGCTCATCCCTTTCATCTCAAGTGCTGTTGGACCTGTCATAACCGCTAGAGACAGGTTCTGCCTTTCCCTACAGTTCTACCGAAAACTTATGATCCCGGCCTATCTATGTTAAGTTTGCGGGTGGATAGTATCTGCCGGCAACCAATACGTCTATACCCCAGGCGGGGACCCCACGCTACGTTCATCTGCTTATTTGATATTGAGAGAGTGTTGATGTGACAGGCCCCTCACAAAGTCCCATCATTCCACCTCCAGAGCATGTCCATGATCCCCGGACAAGTCGTCATAGTGCCAGGAGGGAGGCGTGTATTCACATGCCCTCGATCCATCTTCCCATCATCTAAAGCCTTTCTAGCAGCTCAAATCTCGACACATGGGTCGTAGTAACAGAAAACAACCTCTGCACCACGCCTCCATCGTGCCAGTCATGGCTACACGGGTGAATCCGCCCAAGAAGGTCCGATTGGCCTGTCGACGTTGTCGCACAAGACGCATCAAGGTAGGGCTGTCTCTCGTTTCCCGCCCCACGGATCGCCTGCCCTCCCCATACAGCCGGCGCTTACTCTTGGCCTGATCTGACTGGGGTCGATCCGCCGCGTCATTCCGGTCTGGTTGTTTTGCGTTGCTCATTTCTTTCTAGTGTGACGGAGAAGTCCCTGCGTGTACCAACTGCGCAAAAGCTGGCGAAACTTGCCTAGACGTCGACAGCCAGAATTCCGGTTTACTGGTTCCTCGCAAGTAAGCATGACACCTCTATTCTTGATCTAATACGTCCACAAAGCGGTCCTATACCTAGCGGTCGGAGCCATCCCCGCTGCATGGTTGGGCTGATCCAAAAGTCCCTCGCTGACAGGTCTGGTCGACCTCCCCGGGCACAGTTTCGCCAGTGCTGCCCGTGCTAGGATTCAATGGCTCGAAAACATTATCAAACAACGCTTCCCTGACGTCGACGTCTCACAAGGCCCACAGATTGACGCCTTTCCCGACCCGAAAGGATCGGCCAACGTCGCAGGCGCGGACCCGGACGACGACGCCGTCTCGACCTCTTCGTTTCGGTCCGGTCCCGGAAGCTGCCAGCCCACCCAACAAACCCTGAGTCTTGGGCCCCAACGGATGGGAATCAAGCGGCCTGCGGAAACCATGAGTTCCTACGAACAAGACGAGAAATTCCCCGATCCTGCACACTCAGTCGCGATGAACCCGGTGTTTTCCTCCCTGGGTTCGGACTCCAATCGAAAGTACTACCTAGGGTCAAGCTCCGGGGCTCTACTCACTAACCTCATAGGGGCGTCTCCTCCAAGTGCCGAGTCGACGACTGCGGCTTTGCTGGATGACGTACAAGCCCAATACCCATCTTCCGAATGGCATGAGATATCGGCCTCAGGTCCTGACAACGTCTCGCAACAGTATAACCGTTCTCTGCATGTGTTTCTAAGACAGGTTCGTCCTTGAGCTTGTCCCTTCCACAGACAAGAACGGCGCTGATATTCATTCTCCTATAGGAGCTTCCCAGAAAGGAAGATTCTGTAAAGCTGGTTCACACCTACATCCGATGGATACATCCTGACTTCCCAGTCCTAGAGCCAAGTTCTCTACTTAGTGCTTTGGAAGCCCTTTACGCGACATATCCTTGTTCGATAGATGAAGATCCTCTACCCCATGGCTGGCCCAGTTCAGTTCAAGCCTTTCGGTGGAACGGAAGACAAAGGACACCCAATGTCCAAGGCTTTCATTCTGTACCCATGCCGGTTGTGGCATTCATCTTATTCATGGTATTCAACATTGCGGCTATTGTCAAAGTCAGGTCACGGGTCTACGAATTTCCACCCGAGAGGTTTTATCGAGCTGCGCTACACTTCTCCAGGGATTGCTTCTCGCAAATATCGCTGTCATCGATTCAGGCCCTGGTTACCCTGGTTGTCCACAGTATTCTGACACCAGCGGAAGTTAACCTCTTCACTCTCGTTCATATCGGGCTGGCCCATTGTATAGAGTTGGGCATTCACAGGGAGCCGCCACCAGCTACCGATCCGAATGACATTAAGTATCAGCAAATCAGACGCCTGGCATTCTTCACCGTTTATTCCTTGGATAGGTGAGACTACACTTGGCTCTCCGTATTGGTTTGATGTTGACAAGACCAGGTCGGTATCCTCCATCCAGGGAAGGCCTCTTGGCTTCCGAGACGAGACATTCGATGTCAAGATGCCTGAATTACAATCTCCAAGACACCTCAGTCCTACGGGCAGTCCAACACTTTCTTCTTTCTCAGCAGCGGTCCTCCGGTTTGCAAGGTTTCACTTCGAGCTCGATCGCATCGTTTCTGATGTCAAAGTACAATTCTACCATCTTCCGTGTGACTCGGCTTGCTTTGCTTTGCCAGCAGACCCGGAGACCCAGCAGACCAGAATTAGAGACGAGATTGTTCGTTGGTGGGAGAAGGTTGCAGAGGAGCCATTCAACTTTCCGGGTCTCGACAACCGCCAGCGGCGCATGTGGCGGCTGAAGCTAAAGGTCAAGCATCACACAACGATGGTTATGCTCTTCCAGCCGTCCCAGGCGATACGGAACCCACCGCCGGAATCACTCCAAGTCTGTTTCAACAACGCCGCATCTATACTCCAGGACTACCAGACGCTGCACGACCTGCAAGGTTTGCATCACGGATGGCGGACAGTCCAGAACATTTATGCCGCTGGTGCGACTCTAATATACTCCTTCTGGACATGCTCGGCCGTTAGAAATAACGCATCCATCGCGGACCTGTCAAGAAGCCTGCGCGCGTGCTCTGGCCTCTTGGCTGTCGGCGGTGAGTGGTGGCCTTCCGTCAAAAAAAGACAGAGGGGCTTTGGTGCCATCGTTGACTTAACCATCCGCAGGCTGTATTATACAGGCAATATGCCATTCAAGAATCCCCGCCTATTCACCCCTCTTTCATCAGAGGAAGGGCAAAATGGAATGGAACAGTCTGAGGGAGCGCTTTCTTATGACTCAACTGGCCAGCAGAATCTCTCGCAAGTTCCATCCAACGGAACAGGCGCATCTTGGCCGCACTTACCAGCGTCTTCCGTGGGATTGCCACACTCCCATGATTCCCTGCACTGGCATGTAACATACCCCGATGGCTCGTTTCAACCAGGAACAAACGACTACGTTCCGGAGATAGAGAATTTCCTAGCCGACTTCGACAAGTCCGAGTTCAGCTGGAGCTTTCCTGTGGCTGGTGTTGGCGACTCGTGCGAAGCGAGCAACTTTCAAACCCAGGCTACTGACTACAAAGATACCGGCCAATACGACTCTAAGTGACTAGATTCAGAAAGACTGCACACGGTTGGACAAGCTCTGAAGGAACCAATCGCGGATGGCTCCTTGCATTTGCTGCGTATTGGGTTCTTGAAGGAGTACTCTGTCTCGATCCTCCTTGACGTCAGTAGACCGACTACTCCCTCGACAACCTCGCATCAATGACTCTTTCACATGCGATCTGTGTAAGCCGCTCTCGGAGTTCAAGAAGCACGTGGTAGAGAGCTCTTGTCCATCTAGGATAAATTGTGCCATGGTCGGAAGCTGTATCAACAGCTCGTATCGAGACATCCCGACGTTTCGGGACCTTGTAGGCCAAGCAACACATGATGGCTGAGAGAGAACCGGAACACTTTTCCTGGTTAGCCCAGGCAGTGAGCAGATTCGCGCAGCGGCTGAAAAGGATGGCAATGTCGAGATCCCGAGGCAAGTTGGCGTCGTTGTGTTGGTCAATGAGCCCGCAAGATTTTCGGTGCCAAGAGTGCTGAAAAGAACTCTATCATCTCCACTTTCGGCAGAAACTTGTCCGCTCGCCATGATGTAATCCCTCGACTTACTCGTCACGTCGCATAACCTCGCTACATCATTCGCGTTCGATGGCAACCTCCCCTGGAATACATCGCTGATGATATATCTGTATCACGCAGGTCTAGTGAGGCTACAGCATTCGTATTCTCGCCGCAAAAAGCGAACGAACTTCCCCAGGCATCAACAGAGGATGACCACTTCCAGCCCCTCGTTTTGTCTGACGCGTCTAATCTCAGAGTTAATATCCGCTCGGACAACACACTCCAACTTCTGATGCCCCTTAATCCTTGGCAGACTTGACAAGCGAGCGACGTGACCATCTTGATTAAGCGCGGGAAAGGCAATACCGATCATACTTTCCCTGATGGTTGCTGGTACAAGTATCGTGTCCGTCTGGGTTACATGAGCAATAACATGGTGGTTGGTGTCACCAGCGCGTTTCTACCTGAAGCCAGCTCCTCGTAGATAATTGGCAAAGCCAAAGGCCCTGTCGACCAGTTAATAGTCAAGTCGGTGCCTCAGATTGCGCAAAGTCCGAAGAAGGCTGGTCATCCGATGGTGCATTATCAGAGACAAGTTACACGGAGGACGGATCAATTCTCCGTATTATGCGTGCCAGGATCATCTGCATCGGGGCAACTATATCGCCAACCTCACGAATACAGATCCTAGCAAAAGTCAGGAGATGCTAACAGCTTACACTTGGCAATACTTAACGAGCTTGGTTTATTTGGCTCGCTTATGGATAGCAGAATCCATTGACACTTGTCTGGAAGGCGTGAGGGTAACTATTATTGATCCCGGAATATGATCTCATCATGCAGAAGTCTTTTGCCACGTACTCCCTTTTTGTATTATCCGTAATTTGCCTACCCACTTGGCCCGACTCCAGGTTGCCTTGAGATAGACCGCCTTGGGTAAGTGCGGTCGTCTGATTCCGGTTCGGAGATATGCCCAGGATATGACGGCCTCTGGTCGAACGCTAATACCTCCTTGGTAATACCGTCTCCCCTCAAACTTCCTCATAAATAGAAACCGTTGGTCTTTTAACTTCTCGGGCCCGAGTCCATGCACTTTTACAACGCCATAGACATGCCGACGAAAAACAAGAGCTTCGAAATTGCAATTGTGGGTGGAGGTATAGCCGGCATAGTCCTCGCCATCTCCCTCATCAAGCGAAACGTGCCATGCGTCATCTACGAGCAGGCACATGCGTTCACCGAGCAAAGCGTCGGCTTGGGGGTGACGCCAAATGCAGTGTGGGCCATGCAATTGTGCGATGCTGCGATCCGCGAAGCATTTGACAAAGTGTCTGGGCCGCTGCTCCAGTGGAACATTCTTGACGGAACAGGCGAGACAGACGACAGCATCATTCAATTCTCTATTGGCGATGCGACCAGAGGATTGAGGGGTTGTCATCGCGGGCAGTTCCTGAAGGGTTTGCTTGGGCTCATTCCCGAGAGCACAATTCAGTTCAAAAAGAAGCTGGATCGGATCGAAGAACCACATGGCGCCCACGGAAAGTTACTTATGGTCTTCAGCGACGGTACTACAGCAGAAACGGACGCGGTCATCGGCTGTGATGGGATCAAGTCCCTCACCCGTGGGATTGTCGTCGGACACGACCATCCGTCTGCGAAGTGCACTTATTCGCACAAATACGCCTACCGGGGACTCATCCCAATGCCGCAGGCTATAGAGATATTGGGGGCGGAGAGGGCGACTGCTTTCGGGCTATGGGTAAGTCAGAGCCTTCAGCGAAAAGGCATTCGAATACGGAAGCGTTTTCGACATTCGAGCGCAAAGCAGTGAAGATGCTTACTCCAAAGCAGGTGTCTCACGATGTACACCTCGTCAGTTACCCGGTCGCCCACGGCACCATGTTAAATATTGCTGTCCATTGCACCGGCGCCAGGGACTGGCCTAGCGAGACACAGCTGACGCTTCCTGCAGACCTGCAAAGCTGCCTCGAAGACGTGAAAAGACTTAGCTCTCGCCTTCAGATGATCGTTAAGTCCCTGAAGGGCCTTGACAGAGTAAGTCTAGAAGAATGCCCGGAGCTGATTTCATATCAAGGTCTGACCAACTCGTGCAGTGGGGGCAATTCGACCTTGGCGAGTGCCCTCCTCCGACATATGCCAAAGGCCGCATTTGTCTCATCGGCGACGCAGCCCATGCTACCACGCCGCACCTGGGCGCTGGGGCTGGCATCTGCATAGAAGATGCCGCAGTCATGGCATCGCTACTGGCAGTTGATAGAGTCCGAGGCGGTCCAGACATCGAAGCAGCCTTTGCTACGTTCAACGCAAATCGTCGGGAGCGAGGCGAGTGGCTTATTCGAAATAGCAGGCGAGCCGGCGAGCTAGATCAGCTTCAGTCTGAGCACAAGAAAGACTTCCGAAAGTTGGAATCGGAACTCAAATCGATCACCACCAAAGCGTGGGGGTTTGATGTTGAAATGAACATTCGAGAGGCTGTGGAGGATCTGAATAAGCGACTCTCAGCGGCCTAGAGACATGGTATTACTTGCATATATGAGAAGCCTGGGGATTATGCCCAGCCCGTTTGAGTGTGCTCAAGGTAATTTCGTGATGGCCGCTTCCACATCTGGGTCTTGGCGCTCCTCGAAAATGATGGCTTTTGGAAAGAAACTGACAATGTTACACGCAGACCTTTTCAAGATTAACTGTAAGTCCCAGCCATGTAGAGACCCGAGTTTCTTTTACCTTAAGCTGTAATAGCCAGCCTTTGCTTTGCCTACTTGTCACCTCGCTTTACGTATACCCATGATTCATATCTATGGAGCTGGACGCATTGATCAAGACTAAGAACAACAAGGATCTATGTTCCCAGGACTATGATGTCACATGTTTTTTGAAGTTTACGTAAATGTGGGCTCCTGAAAACTCTTGAGCGGATCGTTTGATAAGACGATAAACCGCAGCTTTGCCTACGAATACCCTCACATCACATTTACCGATATTTTTACCGGTTGACAAAGTCCAACAATCAGATTTGTCATTGCCACTCGTAAAATAATGCCCGCCGATTTCGATAAACAGAGCTACTGGGGCGAACGGTTCGCCTCCGAGACCAACTTTGAGTGGCTCACACCGTCCGTGACCCTGATGTCGATCGCGGATCCCTACCTCGCCAATCTGAACAATTCGGCGCGCATCCTGCAGCTGGGATTCGGAACGAGCGACCTGCAGAACCATATCCGGCAACGAGGCTTCACAAATATCACCAATGTCGATTTCGAGCCGCTGGCGGTCGAACGCGGCCGGGTGCTGGAAAAGCAAGTATTCGGTGATGTCAAGATGCGCTACATCGTAGCGGACGTGACTCAACTCCACCTGGCTGACAAGTTTGACCTGATTATCGACAAGAGTACGGTGGATGCGGTATCTTGCGGCGGCGTGCAAGCATTTTTGAGAATGGCCGACGGCGTGAGGCGGCATCTGACCGACGATGGCTTTTGGATTTCGCTGAGTTATTCGTTCTGTCGGTTCGACGTCGAGAACCTACCATTCGAAGTTGAGGTGATTGCAAAGATCCCAACGCCTAAGCTGAAGCCCCATGACCCGGATGTTTACCACTGGTGCTACCTGTTAAGGCCGAGGGGATGGCAATAATGCGTGTGTTACAAGATGCTACATCACACTTGGGACGATCCACGCTGTTTCAACCATTGATACCCTCGCATAACTGATTCTGAGGCACCGGGGAACTTGTATTAGCGGCTAGTCGAGAAACGTATGTTTTTATCTTACAAAGATGACATCTTCAATGAAGATTCTGAACTCTATCTTTCTATTCATATTCATACTCTATCAGTCATGGACTGTCGTGTCTTCGTCTCAGCTAGGCCAAGGGCTGGCCGGGCTTAAAATCGGGATGAAAAGGGTAGTCGATGTATCCTTGGGGGATAGATGGAGTGTAGAAAGTCTGTCGGTCGTAGTTGTTTAACGGCAAGCCATGTTTGATGCGGAACGGCAGATCTGGGTTCGCTAAGAAGTGGCGGCCAAAGACAACGGCGACATCCCATTTTTCATACTCTTCATCCACGGCCTTCTGCGCCGACTCAGGGGTGAAGCCGCCGGCAACAAAAATGGGCGAGATGTTGTCCCAGATCTCGAGGATAAACTCGATCCCCTCCACTTTCTCGACGTCTTCCCAATTGTTGACACGGGATTCGACAACGTGCAGGTACGCAAGCTTCAACTCCTTCAGCTTCTGTGCCAGAAACGAGAACTGAGGCACAGGATCCTCCATCCTCATCCCTTGGAAGTTGCTATAGGGGCTGATGCGGAAGCCGACCTTATCGGAGCCAACGGCATCGGCGAGCGCCGTGGCGACGTCGACGGGGAATCTGGCACGGTTTTCGACGTTTCCACCCCATTGATCCGTGCGCTTATTGCACGTGTCCTGGAGGAACTGGTCGACCAGGTATCCGTTGGCACCGTGGATCTCGACCCCGTCGAAGCCTGCGGCAATCGCGTTCTTGCCGGCCTGCGGAAAGTCCTCGACGGCCGCAGCAATATCCTCGGCCGTCATCTCCTTGGGAACGGGCGATTCCGGACTGATCGGCACGGCGCTGGAGCTCAGCAGGGGGTGGCCACCCTCCTTCTCCAAGACGGGGACAACGGCTGCGCGACCGGGCGCGATAAGCTGGCAGAACATGCTGCTGCCCTTGGCGTGCACGGCGTCCGTGATCTTCTTCCACCCCGCGATCTGGCGCTCGTTCCAGATGCCCGGCGCATTGGGAAAGCCGCCGTGGGCGGGGGAGATAAGAACGGCCTCGGCGATGATGAGGGTTCCGGGAACCGAAGCGCGCTGGGTGTAGTACTCGAGGGCGATATCAAGCGGGATGTGGTCGGAGTCGAAGCGGAAGCGGGTGAGGGGCGCCATCACCACGCGGTGAGACAGCTGGGCCTGACCAACCTTGAGCGGCTGGAAAAGTTTGGAAGACATTGCTAAAGAAGAGAACACGCAGATGGTGTGATTTGAGACGAAACCGAAACGGAAGAGTTAAACCAGGTAGTCGACATACAGATACTCCCAGGGTTAGTCTTGACGTGATGTCAAGCTGGACAGAACGACGCGGCCCTCCCCTCGCAAACAATCCGAGTTTAAATCCACTCTGCCACGGTGGACTCCCTCAGAATGGAGACTCCGAGGACGTTTGAGAACTGGCAACATCCTTGGCAAAGGGTGCCCGGACGCTCAGGACCAGGGTGTCGGGAAAGAATCTGCCGCGACATCGATAAGTAGTTCTAATGGCGTTGGAGTAGTGGAAATGCCCATAGCCAATGACAAGTCTTGTTCGGGTCAAAATACTCCAACGGCTCGTTGGGGCTTAAAGATGGAGACCGAAGAGGGGGAAAATAAGGAGGGAAAAAAGACCGTGCTAAGAGTTGCTTAGAAATGATAGCACCATCGCTAAGCATTTTAGTCTCGTATTTTCAGGCGGAGCAGTCATGGTTAGTTCGGGCTTTCGCGTTGAAGACTCACGGATTCACCCACGGCATACTTACCTGGTGTAAGTTTGAAAACACGTTCCAGAAAGAACTGTTCTGGCGATGATCGATGAATGTGTCAATAAGCAAGCGTCGTTAAAGCGATGCTTGACCGACATCTGTAACTTGATTGTCTTATATTAAAGTTAATAAGATAGCCAGCCGGCGACATCTATATGCCAATCTAGATCTAGTAATCATTATAGTTATTAGTGAGGAAACGAAATTAATGTTTCTTTAAAAATGCAGAGAAACCCATGATCACAAGAGGGCCTCGAAATCCCCAAAAGTTCAAGGCGTGGGCTGGTCCGCATGCGTTTGGTGTTCGTACCATAACCCAGGCCCTAGCTATGGCTTTCAATGAACTCGAGAACGTAATTTGCAACGTCCTCCCATCCCTCCTGAAAAATTAGTCCGTGACTACGACCTTCGAGATTCTTGTACTCCACGATCGCAGGACCTTTGTAAGCTTTGTACTCCAACTTGACGGTCCTGGCGGTGACAATATGGTCTTTCGAGGCACTGATGAGCAACAAGGGTGCCCGGTCAGGCTTGTTGAAGTGGACAAAGTTCGGCGCCGCCCGTCCCGCCGTGACGTTTGTCGCCAACTGCCAGAGTACCCTGGAATCCGCCGGTATGCAGTACCGGTTCCATTGCTTCTTGCTCTCCTCGGCCGACAGGAGGTTTCCGAAGCAGTAGCGGAAGTGTCTTTCGGAGATCGGGACGGTGGCGTCGGAATGCAGGGGGTGGGTGAAGATGGGAAACGCGGCTCTGATAGTAGTCGGTGCGACGTAAATGATACCCGCCGGCTGTGCAGGACACACAGCTATGCCCAGGGCCCCTATTCCGCGCGACAGAAGGATCTGGGCAAAGAGGCCACCGAACGAGTGTCCTATGATGATGGGAGGCTCCGGTAGCTTTTGAATGAATGCCGCGTAGTGGTCTACGATGTCTTCGATACGATGGAGAGCGATAGGCTCCGGGTCTGCATGGATTTCTTCATGCGTTCGGCCGTCGACCCCTGGCCAACCGGGGGCGTGCACTTCAAACCCTCTTTTCCGAAAGAACGGGATCCAGTACTCCCAAGACACAGGGGTCACCCACAACCCGTGGATAAACACAATGGGCGGCTTGATGAAATCCATGAAGTGTTGGCCAAGATGCCAAGATGCATGCTGTGTAAGTATGATGATTATTTTTTTTTGGAATGAGAGAGAGTGAGAGGCAGAAGGGGTATGAAGTGTGTGCTTTGTACTTGGAGCTGGTTCATGACGTCAAGACTTTGAGAATGTGTAATCCAGAAAAAAGCCACGTTCTTGACTGCCTGTCAAGCACTTGAACGGGGCTTTGACCTGATTTTGACCATAAGAAGTAGAGATGAATGAAAGCGATCATCACAAAATCGCAGTGTTGGGTTGTGCTTGTGATCAGCCAGGACATTCTCACTTGGTGAAGAATTGGCATGTCTTGTGTCTTGTTGCTCGTGGTATGGTGAAAACACCTGATGGACTACCCACAACTAAAGCTATTGCAAAGGCGCCGCTGAGTGCGGGCAGCAAAAGCCCTACATGCTTGGTGGTGAGATTGAGAACACTCGGTGTCTGATTCTATCACATAAAAAGATTATAAGAGCACTTGAGATCATTCAAACTGCTCCCAGGCAAATGCGAGTTAGAGAATTGACAGGACCATCTGGCATCAAAGAGTTCCTGTCACATGGATTCGCCCTTGCAGAATGGTGCAGTGTTCCCTGACAAGCGCCACGCTGTAGATCGACTGACCCTATTTTTGCCCTGTAGCAACCCTGAACTTGTTCACATCAGGGGACTTGTTTGTAGCAGTTTTTCTCGTTGGTCGACTTTCAACAGCGAACATTTCCACTTATAAGCCAGCAGGGGAACTTGCATTGTTAATTAAGAAAAGAGGAGCGCGCACAAGCTGCTGAAATGGGTCACTGTGAAGAGCTTAGAGCCTTTATTCGCACACTATTAGATGATAAATGTTCAATGTAATCCAATTTGATGGATTCAAACGGCTAACCAACGAGATCACCCGCCATTATTCCAACCTGTTGAAGTACTGAAATTTAGCAATGTTATGAGTCTTCGAGGCATGAATATTGAGGTCAGTAACATTAAGTCTCTTCCATTGCTCAATGGTGCACCACTCACAGGCGGCACGGGTGCATGCCATCAAATATTTAGCTCGCGTACTGGAAACGACTCAAAAGCCGGCTACTAGGCATATTATAGCCTATTCAAGCTACTTTTGTTCCTTAGCCGTGTGACAACTCCATCACCTCCGGAACTCAAACACCTCGCATGAATCCATGCCTTCTGATGGGAGGCTTAGTACCCTCCGGCTTTTTCAACTCCTTTTCCCCATCCTCTGTTTCAACAACATACCGATCCTTGTCTCTTTCCGCATTTCTCTTCTCGTTTTCTGTCTTCCACCGCATAAAGTAGCAGCAAAGGGGAAACAACAGAGTATTCCCAGCGGTCCACGCAAACAGAACGCCAAAGTTGAGCCCGATCCTCGAACGCAAGTCGAACAGCAGCTGCCGACTTCCCTCGACCACGTGGTGGAGAGGCCAAGCGTAGCCCCAGTGGTAGAACCCTGGAGATAGATCGATAGCATAGAATGCCGTTGAGACATTGGTGATGACCCAAAAGATCAGCCACAGGGCAGTCCACGGCTGTCCTATGATCATGGCAACGTTCTCACAGGCAAGGCCCAGCGCCGACATGCCGACAAAATTCAGCATCCAGTAAGCCGGAAAAGTGCCCCGCCCGTACGCCGTTGCGCCCGCAGGTGGTGCCGGCTCGATTGGCGAGGCCGAGGGAGCGCTGAAAGGAATCTGGAATGCCAGGGATATCAAGCTGTAACCTAAGGAGATGAGGAAGTAGGCGACGGTAGTTGCCAGCCACCGCCATACGATGAGCTGCCAGAAGCGCAGAGGTGGGTGTCCTTGCGGTTGGATATATTTCTTTGTATGCATAAATTAGCAACAGAGTCTTGCCTCAATGCTATTGCGCAAAGTACTTACAGAGTGAATAGGTAAAAAGAAGGAAAACGAAAAGAACGCCGTGATGATGAGATAAATCAGTCCAATGCTGACCGCAGGCGTGGCTGTGGCAGGTTGGAAGGGTCGCAAGTCGATCATCAACGGTGCGATTCCCGGGTTCACAGCGCTGGATGCTCTCGCGAGGTTGTCTCGACTCAGTGATGAGTTTGACATCACTATCTGGCCCCACAGCTTTCCAAACTGTTGAGCGAATTCTTCTGTGAACTGGCTGATGTACTGTTGGATGTTGCTTTGGTAGGTTGTCTGATCTCGCGCTGTTTGTATGATGATTTGCACCGAACCTGCTGGGTTGTAATTGGCGTCACCAGTCGCGACAGCATCCTGAAGAGCCGCGGTCGCATTGGCGTGAATGATAATAGCGGCCCAACTCTCCCAATTGTATACTGCCATCCTAACGGCCATGGGGTCGTTATCGAAGCTCGAAGGGGGTAGAACCGTCCATCCCAGCGAGGGCCCCGGCTTATTTAATGACTGTTGGACGATCTGCAACACCGTGGGACCGACAATAGGCTGAACTGATTCAAAGGGAGCAACCTGGCCATCAAAGTCAACAACGTGGATGATGAGTGACCTGAGATTTGCCTCGGCCCGGTACAGGACTGCCCAGTACAGAGATAGGACGGCTAGGATGAAGAGGAATAGGATGGCGATGGTGCGCAGCCACAACCGGATGACATGAGCGCGTACTTTTCTCATCAATGGGTGCCAGAAACCAACAGCATGATGAGGTTGTTGATGCCGATCTCCGAGACCGATTTCTTCATTGTGTTGTTCATTTTCTTTCGTTTGATCGAAGTTGGCTGGCGTTGGTGAAACTGCGGCCTCTTTCTGTGGAAGAATGGCCATTGCTGCAAAATTAGGATTGACTTTTATGTAGAAAGAAACGTCCCCAAATTGACTTGTCGGTGGTTACGGTGGTTTGAAACAAGCTCAATGTGCATATCCGATGTAGTAGTAATCGTTGGGATCATCAGGGCTCTATTTGGATTATCTTGGCGTTAATATAAAGCAAATGCACCAGTCTCGAAATCGATGATGCGTGGTGGGAAGCAATCCATGATGTACACAAGTAGCCCCTAACAATATTTGTATATCAACGGCGTAATATCTAGCATTCATTGGTTTCTGACGTAGTATCCTTGGTCGAGTACAAACAGGAGTCCTACCGGCCGTGAAAATGACATCACGATTCATGAAATGCCGTTTGAAAGGAGACTGGCCCCTATTCGTCAGGCAGCGGACATGTGTCTGGATTATCCGGAGCTTGAACTATCTGGGTTACCATACTAATTTAGAATAGATCTTAGTTCTTAATTCACCCACTGACCAAGCTACAACTGTTGCCCTGTGACTATTCATATGACAGTATGTTTTCAGTAACAAAGGCAGCGTCTAGCGCAAGAGAAGGGCATGTAAATAGCATAGCTTTTAGTGTAGGCGTGGCCCACTTGGAGTTAGCCTTGAGTAAGTGACGATAAGTCGTTCTATTGAAAGCACGTAAGCCTTGCCTGATTGGTTCCACAAAGAGAGATGCACATGAATCTTTGAAACCTTTTACAACATATCGACAACTCTATAGACTGGCCTTGGGTTCCGCAGCGATTTTATTCTTCATTGGCGCAAATATGACAGCAGCATTCCGAGGTCGTCTTTTTCCGACGGTAAAGCGGTTGCAGCATGTAGAACTTTGAATGCTTTCCCAGGCGTGTAGTATTTGACGCTGTGACACTGCCTTACATCTTTTCATCCGGTTCTTTTCCTGCTACAATAACGAAGATATTGTAAAGTGAAAACAGAAGCTGGATCATGTCATGTAACGGAATGAAGGATGGCGGTGACCCAACTGATCTTTCTCCTCGTTCGTCAAGCCTTCCAGTCGGTGGTCTTTCTTTCCAGTCGCTCTACTTTTGTTTTCATACATGCAGTAAAATATTCCAAACACTGCAAGCATGGCAGTCAAGCTCTGTCCGCCAAGGTTGATCGTGTGTCCGGTGAAGTACTTTGGAGCGTCCTTATAAGTGTATGTCCATCTGTTACCCTCATCAGTTAATACTTTTTTCATCCCCCCCCAATAGCAGCAGAGTCTTTGAATGCTGGAAGTAGACTAACGTGGCGACAATACCACCCAGGGTACCAATGGATACGACGTATGCGCTAGTGACTGCTCGAACGGAAGGCCCTGCTGAGTCTGTGGTTTGCTTAGCATAGGATTCCTAACCACGGCGCAGGATGGACGCCGTTTACTTACTATTCATTGCCCAGCACAAGAACCCAGGACCACAGGGGAAACTGCCAGCTGCTACAAAGTACAACGCCATATACCTGATGGTCGCCTGCGTTTCGAATCTCAGAATAGCGAATCCAATCACAGCAAGCATCGAGCACGCCACCAAGAAGATGCCACGCTGACGTGTCTTATCGCTGTACCACGCGACGAAAATGGCGGTAATAGTGGCTACGACGTAAGGCGGTACAGAATATAGTTGTGCTTTTGTTGCCGTCCAGCCCAAGTCGGCAAGAATCGTTGGCATGAAGACGGAAATCCCCTGGGCAGTAATGTTAATCAGGAAGAAGCCAAAAGCGCACGTATATGTATGTAGGCATAAGACAGCACTCTTGATGTCCTGTATGTTAACCTTGGCTTCAGCATTGGCTTTTTGCTGGCGCTGCAGGCGCTCAACAGCAATGGATCGTTCCCGGTCGTTGAGAAAATACGCAGTGGCCGGGCCAGTAGGCATCCAAAGGGGCGCGAGACTCCCGGCGATGACGGTGAAGAGCCCTTCGAAGAAAAATATATTGCGCCACGTATGGATGGGAATACTGGACAAGCCCCATGGCGAAATGCGGGAGAGGCCAGCCGCAAGGAGCCCACCAAAGGCGCCAGAAAGAGATGCAGAGGAGATGAAGATGCCCATCCGGAGCAGCAGCTCCTCTCTTTTGTAGAAACTGCTCAGGAAAAATGAGAACCCCGGCATTGCGCCGCCTTCGAAGATACCTAAAGCGACGCGTATCCCTATAAGCCCCTCAAACGAGGTGATGAAAGCCGTGCAAAGAGAGACCAGACCGAACCCGACGACGAGGAATGGTAGGTAAAAACGGGGTCCGACACGTTGAAGTATGATATTGCTTGGCACCTCGACCAGCAGGTAGACAATGTAGAATACCGAAAGAGCCCAGTTGAACCGATAGCCTTCTATGTTGATGTCATTCCTCATGCCTTGGATCCTCGCATTCCCAATGTTGACTCGGTCGAGAAACTGTACCGATGGTCAGGAAGCCGCGTACCACAAGAAGCAGGGGCTCAATGTACACAAAGAAGATACAGAAATGTCACCAACGGAACTGTGTGCCAGTCGAGCTTGCGCCTGAGGGTCCGTTCCTCGTCTTCTGTCCATTCGAACGGCGTTGTCGACTCCTTGTAAACGGCAAGTTCGTATTTGTCATTGGCAATGGTAGGCCCCATGTAGGGCGCTGCAAACGCTCAAGTCAGTTTATGGTGATTGAAGCAATCAGGGCGGGTTGAGGCCAGTGGCTCACGATTCTTTTCAAGTTCGATCTCAGCTTCATGGATGGTGGAGAGCACCATTCTGACAGACCATCGAGCCGATGCCCGGGACCTCAATTGATAAAATTCGCTCCCAATGGCAAGAATGACGAGTACATAGGTGGGTAGCAACGAAGATGATGGAAGGTGATGGATCGTGCCAACTTGGTGCGACGATGCCACACTGTGAGATGGAACCTATCTATCTATGTGAGTGGGTTAATGTCCGGGCTTTGTCATTATCCCAGGCAATTGACCTGCACTTGGTGATTGGGGCGGACAGTCGGAAGACAGCAGAGTTTATTCGCATTGTGCCCTGCCCGACTTATGCCGCCCATCGTCCGGTGACCCACAACTCGTTTGCTAGGATGTTGCGACCGAACAGAACGCGGGGTATGGGAGGAAGGGCTCAGGCTTGGTTACAACTCACGATTGACGAGTGAATGTGAGGAGGCCGTTCAGCCAAGAAGAATGAGGTAGCAATTGTAGGGGCGGTTAGTGTGAACATGATCTTGAGGAGGGCATCTTTCTACGTGTGCCCAGTAGTGATTAATACGCGACCCTAGACGTTGCAGGAGCGTCCGCTCTTTAAAGTTTTGTCTTTCTCAGAGTCTTGAATAGGGATGAGAGCCCATGCTACTAGATGTTACCTCCTGTACCTGGCGCATTCGCTTGGTTGCTTAGTTCACCACGGTTCCTTCAAGCGCTTCGGAAGCATATATGACGGTTGGCTTATTAGACGTCTGCTGCTTCATATGAAGAAGGCTGGCGCTTTTTCTCTCGGAAGAAAGGTAAAAGCCATGATGATTAAACCCGCTGGCCAGTGCAGGTGTTGTGCACAGTAAGTGTTTGTGCGGCAAGAAACTTCAACTGAAACATGTGGCAGCAGAGTCAATTATTGCGTATGCAGCACTCAGGTGGCTGTTCTGTTACCGAACTGGACCTAGTCTATCGTTTATGGCCAAGCAACTATGATCACAAATTGGAATTTGCGTTAATTGCATGAGTATTGGTAATGTCTTATTCTAATCAAGACTATGTGCGCTAACTGAAACCAAAAAGAACAGCAGCCCTCTAAGGGATCCCAGATAAACCATTCGCTTCTCTAGAATAGCATCAAAACCAACGCCAGTGTGAATTTTAAAGCTGAAATAGGTTACAAGGCCCGCAGGAACCCTCTCTTTCTCCGGGGAGGCTCGACGCCAGGCTGCTTAGGTATCGCTTTCTCGATATCGTATCTATGAAGGTGAAAGTGAGGAAGCTTTGTCTCCTTCTTGCGGATTTCTTTCTCGTCCTTCCATCGCAAGATATAACATGCCGGTACAAACAACACCGTGTTGACGCATACCCAGGCAATTAGAACGCCAAAATTCAGGCCGATGCGTGAGTGGAGGTCAAATAGAATCTGACGACTGCCTTCAATCACGTGGTGATACGGCCAAGCGTACGCCCATTTGTAAAAGCCTGGGGCGATATCAGGAGGCCAGAATCCGGACAGGGTGTTTGTGAGAGTCCAGAAGGTCAGCCAGAGACCGACCCAGCGGGGACCAATGATCATGGCCATGTTTTCGCAAGCCACCCCCAAAGCTGCCATGCCTAAAAAGTTCAATAGCCAGAAGACGAAGAATGAAGCTTTCCCGTAGGAATTGGGATTCTTCGCCACCTCTACCGCCGATGCCGGCGGATTGGAGAAGGGTACTTGGAACACCAGCGATATCAGACAATATGTCAGTGACAGGGAGAAGTATGCCGACATGAGTGACAGCCAGCGACGGATGACATAATGCCAATAGTGCACAGGGGGGTGACCTTCAGGCACAATGCATTTCTGAAGGGAATGTCAGTTTAATCCTCTGATGATAGGCGGCACGTAGACAGGTAGAACGAAACTCACATTGTCATCGGCAAGGTAATAGGTGAACCCGAGATGGGCGATCAGAAAGCTTAGCCCGAAGGTAACGGCTGGAATCGCTGAAGGGGGACCGAACGGTCGAAGATCCAGCATAAGAGGTGATACCCCAGGGTTAACAGCACTTGCGGCCCGGCGTAGAGTTTCTTTCGTAATTGTATCGTTCGCCATCAGCATTTCTGCCCAGGTCGTCCCGAAACGTTTCATTAGATCCGATGTGAACGAGGTAATACTGGGGAGAATATAGCTGAAGGTCATGAACGAATCTCTTCCGGACAACGTGATGATTTGAACAGCGCCAGTAGGGTCATAAGAGGAGTTGCCAATTGCCACTGCTTCTTGCAAGAGGGCCGTCGCATTTGGGTTGATGATGACTGCCGACCAAGCTTCGAAGTGATACACAGCTTCACGGACTTTGAGGGGATCGAAACCGAACTCGCCTGCCGATCGGATTTGATATCCAATAGACGGGATCGGACTTCGTAGCGTGTCGGTGGCCAAGTTGGTGACAATTGGGCCAATGAGGGGCTCTATGTTGTCGTAGGGCGCAACTTGGCCGTCAAAGTCTACGACGAAGCAGACAAGCGATGGCAGGTTCTCGTTAATACGGAATACAATGCCCCAGTACAGACAGAGGATAAGAAACATTGTAAGGCAAATGATGAACGCTGGCAGCGTGTTAGCTCTTGTTTGTCAATCGAGGTTTGGGGTATAGGTTTGACGTACTGTTTCTGCACCACATTATGGAGATGTGCTTTCGTAGCTATGTTAAACACTTGTCAGTCACTCCTTTCCTCTATACACAAGTTGTGGAAGAACCAATCACATACCGATGCCAAAGTTGGATCCCACCAGCTGACTGACTGAGGGGGAAGGGGCTCGTGCTCCGGTACACGGGACTTCATCCATTCGCTAACCAGATCCGCTCGTTGTGTGTCCAGGCTGTCTAGCACACTCCTTGGTTCGTCATGTTGGTGGTTTTCTTGACGCCCATCTTGCCTACTGTCTGGTTTACTGTCATGGCGTTCGTCTCGTGAGTTCTGTCGATATGTTTCCTTTGGAGTTCGTGGTTCAGTGTCTCGCTCAGCGCGACCTCCGTCGGGCGCATGGCTCGTGTCGTTTATGGTGTTCATCGTTGCTGCCCTCGGTTGCAAGTGTACTGCTTGGCTTATTCGTCTTGGGTTTGGTATTGCTTCTTTGCTGCGAGAAGTAACGTTTTATAGTCGAGAGCTACAAAAGTCCTGGTTTTTGTCGCCGCAAAACCTCCGGACCTCATCTCCATGTGGGAACGGTGATTGACATAAGAGACAACAAGGACCCATGAAACTGTGACCTCAACGCTGCGACCTGTGGAGACAAGAAACGGACATTTTCTTCCGGGTGGACAATCAGTCCCCAATCTCGTAGCCTCAATCGCTGGTTCGGCGTGGTGGCGGTGGGTTCCGTCTCGGTATGCTAGTTTACGAGGTTATACGGCGGGTCGACCGACGGGACCTATTCATCGTACTTTTCAGCTGAAGTTACCAAGATCGACCGCTTTGGCTGAGTTAGGCGTCACCGTCGCTCGCCACCTTGAACTTGCAAAAGGAGTTTTCTGAGCTGCCAAAGTGGACTGCCTACAGAGCCATGTCTTTGCATGGGTTCTGTGGAGCTCTTTTCCCTCTTTCAGTTCAGTGTGAAGGACGACTTCTTTTGGTGGTCATCGCCACACCTTTTATATGCAAAAATTGACGTCAGGGCGATGTCAACTCTGAAAAGGTGGAGCACCAAGTCTCCTCAACACTTTTCAGAGCAGACCAGAACTGGCATCCAGTCTCGTTTGCAGCAATAAGTCGGGAATCAAAGGCTCCCGAGTTACTTTAGTAGCTAGTAGATACTGCCTGACGGTAGTGGAAATATACACGTTTGTCATTTTGAGAACGCCTCTCTGGGCATATTTTGATGGCCTTGAATGAACAGCTGCTCATCCTGAAAAAGCTGTGACGAATTCGATGCAGTTTGGAAGGAGAAAAATAATGAAGAAAATAATCCAAAAACGTAAATCAGTTAGTGCCACGGCGTAGTCATGCAGCGGGCCGAATCTATCCATGCTACGAGATCTCGATCAGACGCAGAAGCTGCGGCTATGTCCAAAACTGCCACTTTCGGGAGCATTTACTCCTCACTGCATCGAGGCAATGGACTATTTGAATGCTTTCGTCATTGCGTTTGTTTGGCTTAACGTAGAAGTTGACATTGACTCGTTACAATCAAATCTTAGGACTATATTGCATTTATACGAGATATTACATATTGATCGTCTGAGGCCGATGAGATATCCCAGGCCTGGTTGAACAAAGTTGACTGATGCAATGGCTAGTAATAAGCAGGCGGGAACTTCTATTATTCACAGGGGAAATGGTAGCCAGAAATACATCAATCAAGTAATACAAGAAATTTAGTCGCTCATCAAACTTCAACGGTCCACCGCCTAAGTATGCAAATGATGGCAAAACAATAAAACACCCAGAGGGTTCAACATCTTAGAACCTGTGATGACAAAAGCGGATCCGTAATTGCCACTGCGCAATTACGGCTTATATCACGACAGAACCCAAGAACAATCTTTTGCCAGTTGATCTTCTTCTTTTCAATAGATTGAGCTCCGTAACCCTCCTCTTGGACATCGTGTTGCCCCACAATAGCGAGAAAGACGTCGTTCAGTGTTGTGGGACTGACACTATGATGCTCGATACCGAGGACCTCCTTGTTGTCTTCCAACATTATGATGAGTTGACCTATAGCGCTAAGCTCAAAGCTCCGCTCATCTTCAGAAGTACTCCTGTTGCGGCCGTTCGCTTTAGCTCTTTGCAAGACATCCGACGCAGACACGGAAAATCGGATTTGCCCATGGTACGTCGAGTCCTCAACGCGGGCAGATGGGAACGTGTTGACGACCCATTGACGTATATGTTCCATCTCTCCCGGTGTCGAGTGCGGAGCGGAGCGACTGGCGAGGTGCACGTATAGTGAGTCACCGAAGCGACTTTGCAGTTGTTCCACCTCGCCGATCGCCAGCATACGCTGGGCAATGATGCAGGCTCGGTTCGCCAGAGCGTCAGCTTCTTCCATGCTGTGAGTGGTGAGAAGAATTGAGCGCCCTGAGACGATTGTGCTGAGAGTTCGCCACATTATTCGCTTCGCTGCTGCATCAAGACCGGATGACGGCTCGTCGAACAGAATCACGGACGGATTGCCTGTAAGCGCGATTCCGAGGGATAGCTTACGCTTGTTACCACCCGAAAGATGCTGTGCCATGACGTTGACATGGGCCTGGAGGCCAACTGCACGAACAACTGCCTGAACTTGTTGCTCAACATCGGATATCCCTCGGAGTTTGGCGTAGTGACGAAGATGTTCGACGACTGTCATGGAATCGATGGCATCGAACTGGGGGCAGACTCCAAGGTTCGATCGGGCGAGGGCTCTTTGGTTAGTGATTGAGACTTTCTCGACGAAGACATCGCCTCCGTTGCCGCTCGGTTGAATATCACCGCGAATGAGAGATACCGCTGTTGACTTGCCAGCACCGTTAGGGCCAAGTAGGGCGAATACCTCGCCATGATGCACGCCGAAAGAGACGTTATCGAGGGCTGTAAATTTGCCAATTTTCGTCCATCATTTCCAGTGAATTCTGTTGGCCGTTGCTCTCTGGCAACGTCCGGATCCTCATGGGTCTGGACCGACTCAGCTGCATGGCTCCTCTTCTGTTTGAGAAATTCTGGCATCTTATTGCCGCTGTCGCTGTATAGAAGGATACTGAAGAGGATGATGGCCTGGATGCTGAGGTACATGATAGGACCCCCATAAGCGCTTAGAGAGCCAGGGTTGCCAGACCCAGTGCCAGAGCAGGCCAAGGAAAAGGTGTTCAAGCCAATCAGAATGGCTCTACAAATCGAGGTGATAGGAAAGAAGGCAGAGATGGTGTAATGGCCGATAAGAATATTCCGCTCCGTAACGACTGCAGGCGAGAAGGTGATGATGTAGAGGAACGCAATCAGGTAGATGGCGAAACCAACACTGTTGTAGGCCATAATTGCAGCAAAGGTTGCTACCTGGCTATTGGTGAAGAGTGAAATGACGTACGACAAGAGGATAGATGTAATGCCATAAAACAGGAAAACGGGGAAGAGATAACCCGAGGCGTACCAGATATCGGAAGAAACAGCAAAGATGATGGCTGCGGCTAGAAGTGGAATGAAGAAGACTCCAAAATCGAAAATGAGGTGGGATGTCCACAAAGGCAGCGATCGAACACCGCTGGAATATTGCAGGCCACGGACGTGATTTCGCCTCTCCATGTTCGGATATAATCCGAAGAAGGAAGGGATAATATAAAGAACAATGCTGAAGTAGATTGCCAGCTGAGCCGTTGTGAGCGTTGAGCTTGGGATGACGCTGTCGAAGGGAGTGTAGGTGGCAAAGATGCTGGCGTTGCTTCTCACTACGTTGAAAAGGTTTTGAACTATCACAGCAGCTGAGATCATGTTGTCGTCTGCCCTATAGGCGATTGTCGGAGGCGTTTCTTGGCTGCCCACCCAGATACCACCAGGGGTGATGTTCTTTATGTTGTCCTCGATGAACCGGCTTACATCCTGGTAACTGTCACTCAAATAGATGTTGATCGTGCCAATAGGGTCATTTGATGTAGGATCCAAGAAAGTAGACATATCGTCAAATGATGTTGTCGAGAAATCTGACCAGGGCCCGGCAGCCACAGAGGCTTCTTCAAAAGCCTCTCTATAGCTATCCAGGTCTCCTGATCCGGTAACATCGGCGGGGTCACAACTTGTAGGGCCTTCATTAACGACCAACAACTGCATGATAGCAGCTGCAATGATCGGAGTAATGAACGCAATGACGTATGGAATCCAATTCGTCTTGAACAAGACCAGGCGTTTGTGAACAAGGACACGAGTTTGTTTGAAGAAGCCCGTTTGGTGGCCAGACTGCAGTCCCAGAGTGTCTCCTTCGCGTTGGTTAATGATGGACTTTTCTGAGAGGTTTTGCCCTGAAGCGGTTGATACACGAGGAGCTCCAGGCTGAAGGGGTTGGAGATCTTCTCCTTGTACCTTCTCGGCGACTCTGAGGAAGACATCTTCTATGTTGGGACTCGAGATCCTGTAGGGAATTTGGCGCGCTTCCAGTGCTCGGATAACATCAGCCGCTAGGCTGGATGATGGTGCAGTGTAGACGATGGTCATTGAAGACGCCGTTAAAGCGACACCGCTGACTTCTGGGGGGGCTCTGACATCCCTCACGTTAAGCACATGGATCCGATAGCCATCACCTAGGGCATTCTTGAGCGCCACCGAGGAGCCTTCGGCCTTCAAACTGCCTTTGGAGAGAATCGCAATGTTATCGGCCAGTAGATCTGCCTCATCAAGAAAGTGGGTTGTCAAGATGATGGTCCTCTTACCTCTCTCGGAGAGGAGGATATCCCATATCTTTCTTCTAGACAGAGCGTCGATTCCAGAGGAAACTTCATCGACACAACAGACAGCGCTCCCGCCCGTCAGCATCATGCCGAGCTGCAGCTTACGCTTCTGCCCCCCAGAGAGTGTTTTGGATTGAGATTTATGCTTTGTTGCGAGTCCAATGGCATCAATCAGCTGATTTTGGTCTTCCTTGCCCGCCACGCTGACTGGAGATTTGAGTTGGTTGAATATCCTGATATGTTCCGTCACAGTGAGCTCATCCCAAAGCACATTTTTCTGTGGCGCAATACCGATGCCGCCAGATGCATCAATATGGACGCTGCCCTGGTTAAATCGACTGATTCCAGAAATAGCGTCTAACGCAGTGCTTTTGCCGCTCCCGTTAGCTCCGAGAAGGGCTAGGATCTCTCCTCGCTTCACCGTTAGATCCAAGTTGTTGACGGCAACGATCGGCGGTCTTGCTTTGAAAAAGCGAGAAAAGGCGCGTCGGAAAATGCTCGGAAAGTAGACCTTGGTCAACCCATTGATGGTAACAGCATGCTGGGGCTGGACACCCTCGCCTTTGTAGATTTTGCGACTCTCGGAGCCGACCCCGTGTATCTGACGTTCAACAAAGGCTGCAAGAAGCGGATACACGACGATCTGGACGATCAGAAAGATCCAAATAATGATTCCGTACCGGGCAGAGTAGAGGGGCCGTTTGGCGGAGCCTGGAGTAGATTCATTGGTTTACCGTCCGCCTCGTATCGAGAAATCGACTTGATAAAAAAGACAAAAGCGCAAGGGGTGAACAACAAGCTCAAAACCGTAACTGCACCGGTACTTTCGTTGGGGAGAGCCTGAGCAAGGACACCTAGGAGCACGTAAACCAGAGAGTTAATGACGCCGGAAAGCTGAGCCTTCTTGAAGAAAGATGCCCCAAGAATGGCTTGGGATGTAAGGGCGAGACCAGCCAAGACGAAGAAGACCAACACGATGCCAATGCTTGACTCCTTCCAGATCATGCCCCATGAGACGACAGAAGCAACAACCCAGCCTGGGAAATAGATGGATGCGAATGAGTAGAAGCTCGATAGAATGCGCACAACTTGTGCTTCCCATTCGTAGCGGGTTGACATCATGGCGTCGATTAGTTGGGACAAGCCCTTCTCGCGCTCAGTTGCAATGTGCCCGGGAACGTGGTAGCTAACGCCGATGAGCGCGAGAACAAATGAAACGCCGAGGTAATCGATGATTGTCTGCTGGTATCTTCTCCGTACGCTAGCTTGACGTTCCTCCTCGGTCTCGCCAGTAAAGCCCCATTCTCTGACATTACTAAGAGGTGATGGGTCGGCCTCGGTAGAGTTTGTGCGCACGATAGCAGAGTCGACAGCTCTTTGAAGGGGGAGAGTGTATATCTGGACGTCATTGTTGTCGTTCTTGACCTTAAACGATGACCCGAACGCGGCGTCCCCGCGCAGAGTGTAGTTCCAGATGCCGCCGTCACCCTCGTTGGGAGAAGAATGGAAGATGACGGCGCCGTAGCAGGATGTGGTCGCCCGAAAAGAAGAGCGGCAGATGCGACTGATGTCGGACGGTTTCTCGATTTTCGTCGAATTCTTTCCTGCTCTCGTCACCTCTTCCGAGAACGAGTCTATAACCCGATCGATAGCACCACCTGAGAGTCCGTTGTTGACGAAAACAACCGCGCTGCGAGATGCACCAGCGGCGCTAAGACCATCCTGAAGCGATCGAATTGGTCGTGGCTCTGCAATTCCATAATCGTTCTGAGGATTGTTGAGATTCTTCCCGATTCAGAGATATACAGTGAGAATATTGGAAGGAGGAGAGCGGTGTAAATTGTTGAAGCAGGATGACGGGCGATTAAGATGATGAAACTTTTCCTTGCGAGAGTGCTGACTTGGCGCCATATTGCTGACCTCTGTGCCGCCATGGCGGTGCTGAAAGTGTACTATATCTTCCAGATGAAACTAAAGATCGTGGGGAGCTACTTGACAGTGTTATTGTGTGTCAATGTATCCGATCTTGACTTGGCATCAAGGAGGAGGGAAAGGATTTGGCTCACTCAAACGTGAGAGCTGCCGATGATAGGAGATGAACGGATGAATATTTAAAATGCCCACGGAAAGGGGCAACCGAGCGAATCCGAGTATTTGTACAAAAAGGTTGAGCTGTAGGCGATGTCCAGATAGATATACCAAAGGCCGGCAGAGCAAATGCCTCTCGACTGCAGACTCCATCTTGGTGCTGACGGATGCAGGGATATGCATATGGTGGCGTTTGCCCAACGCCCACTAAGATCACTCGCACTGCCTGTATGCGATTATCTCTTTTGGGTTATAGCAAGTTGCGGCGAAAACATTCAGATGTTACAGTGCTTTAGACAGGTGTGAGGGAGAGGGAGATGATCTCATTGAGCAAAACGGTGTTTGAGCGAGGGGGCCCACGCCCGCACAACTTGGCAGAATTCCCACGAACCGAGATAAGAGTTCTTTCCTTCTGGCCATTGAACACAGCTTGGCTGGTCTCGTCGACTTCTATTTGCCTAATGCGGACTAGCTCAGAGACATAGCATAGCCAAGTTAACTATCAGCCCTAATGACATGACTAGTTAGGTTAGTGCTTACACGGGAAGGGCGATTCTTGCGCTCGGTTTCTTTGAGAGCATACGGTACAGCCACATAGGTATCCGTACGCTGTGAAGTATAGACCTTGTAAGTGGAAATCGAATATGGACCTTTGGGATCTACTTCTGCTGCTTCTCTCCCCCCCTCGCTCTCTTCTTCTTTTTTTCTCCTTTGTTTTGTGACCACAGTACTAGGTCGAAAGTCTGGCTACAGCAATAAGGATAACCTATGTGTAATGAAGAGTCTAAGAGGGGTCGCAATAATATCTCGAGGTCACTTCAGAGTACACCGCCAAAGGCCCTACAGATTTTGATTGGCCATTCTTGCTGCCATAGCCAGAGTTTCAATCGAGTACTATAGTTCTGCAGCAAAAGAGCTGAAGGAAGGGGTTCTCGGAAGGTGTCAATTGTATTGAACCATGACTGAATCAAAGGTCAGAGACTTCGGTTTAAGATACATGTTGTGCAGCTATCTGCTGGTGAGGCTATATTACAATTTTTGCTCCATCATCCCCTAGTGATTGGTTGATGGCATGTTGCAGCGCGTGTCTGCCTAGTGGTAGCCGCCGAGTTGTGCATTAAGGCCGCAACAAATGTATCTGCTGTACATACAACCAAGGCGTCTTGTTACCCTACAAACTATCTAGGCCTTATAGAAATCAGCTCATAGGGCCCCAGATGGTGAGCGTTCAACCTATACAAGAGGAGATGATATTTGGACCCCAACATATGGGGCCTGTTTTCTTTCCTTTCTTGTCAGTTCTGCGGCTAAAGAGAAGAAGGGGTTGAAAACTGTGTTTGGATGACAGGCCAGAGCCTATGGTCCATGCTTTAGGATCCAACACGGTTGCTCTTGGGAAATGTATTTAATTACTGGCTGGTATTGTGCCAGAGGTTCTAACAGCAAAGTTATACTATAGGCTGCTTCCTCTTCAATCACCAAGAATAGCATGTAGATTTGGTGAAAGTTGGGCTAGGGTTGTTAACGTAGATGAGGTTAACATGGGCATGTTGAAGCAATACTGGACTCGCCATCGATCAATTCCTAAATGCGGACTCTGTTCACCGGCGGAAAAATAATCTACCTGACTCACAACTCTACCAATGCATGAATCATCTTGTGAGTCATTAGGACATAACCCAAAACAAGATCTGACATCAGGATCGAGGATCCATCAGGGAGCTCTTATTTGCACTCTTTGCTGTATACAAAACAAGAGATTGGCACGATTGATGTAAGCACAGCCGGCATGATTCATGCTATATGAATGCAACATCTTAAAGTGCTGTTCATCAGAAGATGTAACCTCGGGATTTACCTGAGCTATCACTGACAAAACAAGAGCTGTGGTGCAATATGCTAACCAGAAAGGATGCGTTCAAAATGTCTAGATTAACGATATACAAATTTGAACAACTACCTGGTGTCGTTATAACAGCATTATATGCTTGGCTTGCTGAATGGGTCAGTCTTCATGGCCTTTTCCACCTCCACGTATGCGTCATAGCCATAGAGCCATGGCTGAACTTCGGGGCAAGTCCATCTACTGGGGAACGCTCCCTTGGGCTCTTTTCCCAGCTGAGACAGAAAGATCTGGTCTCTGGCTTCCTGTTCGGGGCCATCAAATAGATGGAAGTCGTGGCGCTGAGGTGGGGAGTTTAATGAATCAGTTGGTTGCAGTCGGGGCAATGAGATTGGGAACAGTGGAGAAAGTATTACCTGTTTGAACGTTTCTCTTGCAATAGATTCACCTCTGGCTTTTCGTAACTTTTCGTACATCTTCAGAGCTTTCGGAAGCTGTGACTTGGATGTGAGGTGGCCGAGCAACAGGCCCAGTACAGCACCGTCTTCCACAGCTGAGTTGGCACCTTGGGCGAGATATGGTAGCATTGGGTGGCATGCATCCCCGCTGGATTGCAGTAAGTGAGTGTTGAAACCATGAATCCATGTTGGACAGAACTCACACAAAGACGAGATTGGACTTGTCGTTTACCCAAGAACTCATCTCCTCTCCTAAAACCGAGTGTTAGCCGGGCTATTCGCAGCTCAGAAAGACATAGATCGTACTGTGCATGAGTTTCCACTTCTCGATATTGTCGACGGCACCGATCAGCTTTCTCACAATAGGATCCCATTCTTGGAATCGAACTTTCGTTTCCTCAACATCCCCCGCTTGGCGGCTTACACCATCGGGCAAGTCATCAGGCGTTAACAGCACGAGATTGTACATCTTCTCGGCTCTCATTGAGTAGCCAACACCATGCGCTCCAGGTCCAATCCAGAAGTGTACTTGGGGGTTAGATATCCATTCTCTTATTTCAGGGTCTGTGACATCATCAATCTGGAGGACTACCCGGTACGCCAGGTCTCCCGTCGCCAGCGGGGGGTCCTCCTTTCCCAGAAAGCATGCACGCGAACGTGACCACAGCCCGTCTGCGGCAACGATGAGGTCTGCTGTAGCCTTGACCCCGGACTGTGTTGTGAGCTCCGGTATGTCGAAGTCGATATTATCGACTTTTTGGCCCAGCTGGAACTGAACCCCGAGCTCCTTGGCGCGTTGGTAGAGTGAAAGCTGCAGGTCAACGCGGTGCAGGTCGATGAAGGGTGCTTGGTACTTCGAGCGGATCTTCTTGTCAAAGTTTTCTTCCCTGGCCAAGACCTTTCCTGAGAACCTATGAACAACCAAGGCTGTCGGCTCTGATGCAGATTTCCAGAGTCTGTCGGGTAGGCCCCATTTCTGGAGGATCCGTGTCGAGTTCGGCGTCACTTGCAGTCCCGCTCCGATCTATTGCATAGTATGAACATCGCTTTTTTTCTTTCTTATTACCTGGTCTGTGATGGGGAAATACCTCAAGAAGTTCTTTGGCGGACTCGAACACCGTCACCCGGTGTCCCGATATTGCAGCTGCCACTGCGGTGGCCAGGCCACTCAAGCCCGCGCCGATAACAATAATATCCACCTGGACGGCCGGTTGTATGTGTTCTGTCACCTTTACCTAATCCGTCAGTATTTCCGAGGGGGGGGAGAGGTTTCGATGAACTTGCCGTCATGTTTCCTCTCACCACGGTGTAGTCTCGAGCCACAGAAGCCTATCTGCTGATGGACTGGATCTGGAAGGGTGTGGCCAAAGAGAAGATCTAGGACCTGGAAGGAAATTGCAAATGTCGGAGGCAAAATTCTGTTGCAAAAGAATCCTTGTGAGTAGTTGCAACTGGGTTCAGCAGTTCAACCGATGTTTTGGGTGAAGTTCCCGGCGACTCCTTGGTCCGCCCCCGCCCTCCGGAGATCCCCCACATCGAACCGGAAGAAGCGGGGGAGGATCCCACTGGGCAATCGAATGAACGCCACTGACAAGCTTGTTGGCAGGTGAATGAACGGGTCGGGATATCCGAGCACATTCGCCTTTTTCAAGACGGGTCTAGATTCAAGACAGCGCCAATCTAGCCATGACGGCGAGCAGAAGCACACAACAATGCCCAGTATAGGAAGATATCTGATGGAGCTCGAGGTTGACAGTGAATTCGGCAAAGACGGCTTATTTCCGATCGGTACCTGGGATTTGAGAATTAAGACTTGACAGTGGATTGTTTTTAGGTGGGTATTGGGTGCGATCTGTGCGCGATATGCGGCACCATCTGTCGCATATGGCCAGGATAATTATACGGTTATAATCAGTGGGCGTCGGCAGCGATGACCGGCACATCATCGAAAGGTTCACTGATACACAACCTCCTCTCCCCAAGCATCATCGAAGAGCTTTCCACTTGGCACACTCTCATCCGAAGCAGATCAGGCCCTTCGACAAGCTTCTGTCACTCCATTCCCATATCAACGGCATCATTACCCCTCACCCGGAACGCAACCCCGCACGATGGCGCCGAAGGGTCCGTACAAGCTGGTGACGGTGAATACTGCACCCGAGCGAGCGAAGCGCCTTGTTGGACGCGTTGTCGAGGAACTCAAGGATCGCTACACGATCGAGCACGTCGCGAACTGCGATAGTGAGTACCGCGGTCTCGTGCACTTCAAAGGTTGAGTCAAGGCGCTGACGCCCCCTCCCAAGAGATAGACGAAGTCGAGGGCAAGGTGAAGGAACATCAGCCCGACATCATTGTAAGCCATCTCTATTAGCTCGTGTACATGAAATATCTTTTCTGACAAACTCCTCTCAGTTCTGTGCATCAATGTGGACCTCAGAAGAGGCCGACCAGATTCTCAAAACGGCGAGGTCACTGAAGCCAGGCATCAAAACCCATGTGATCCCGCATGGCCTGCAGGTTGAAAAAGGGCCGGACGCCGTTGTTGAGCATCTTCTCGAAAAGGTTCCGCAGATCATTGATAGCTAAATTCGTGTTTGTGAAAAATACGTAGCAGTCGGCCGAGGCACACCAAGCATACGTGTTTAAAATCGTTCATGCTTGATGGACATGATGCTGTTATGCAGTAGAAACTCCACAAATCATTAAGCAATCTCCAACTACTGAACGGGATGTGCATCATGAGGTGACCCTGAACCATCAGAAAACCCAATTTTAGATTTGCTGAAAGGTTACCGCTATCACTGACCATAAGTTCTAATTGTAACGACCACGGCCATCTTCACGTTAACCTCGTTTTATTACCAACCGGAACTTGTTGACCTTCACCCAGAAACACGTTGACCGTAACATCAAGGCCAGAACCCAGAACGTGCGTCATCATCAAATGCATTAGGGTCTTCTTTTGTTGTGGTTTTCGCGCCGTTCCGTGGGTTAAATCCGAGCTTTGCCGCCTACCTAGTGATCTTGATGCATTCCTTAGTGCCCAACAGTGGTAGCACTTTCGTTTTGGAAGACGTTGATAAGTGTTCCGATGTGCGGCAGGATCTCGACCCTGAATTCGTCGCCATCCTTCAACGTTACCTTGGGCTTGCGCCCTAAGCCTACGCCAGCCGGCGTGCCGGTGATAATGACAGTGCCAGCAGGCAGGGTCGTGCTTTGGGACAGGAAGCTTATTACTCTGGGGACATTGAAGATGAGATCACTGAGTGGAAAATGTCAGCATACTATAGGAGCCCGTTCTGCAGGGATGACCTACTCGATGCCGCTTTCCTGGAGAACATCCCCGTTCTTCAGTCCTCGCATGTGAAGCTTGGCTGGGTCCGGAATGAGATCCTTAGAGACTAGAGTCGGGCCTGCATGATACCGAGTTAGACCTGATATATTTTCATAACAGCCATGTTCAAGACTCACCCAAGGGGCACGAGCCATCGAATCCCTTGGCGAAGCACCACTGGGATTGATTCAGTTGGTATGTTCTGCTAGACACATCGTTGCAAGCAGTGTAACCCAGGACATAGTCCATAGCATCAGCCTCAGACACATTCTTAGCTGTCTTTCCCAAGACAACTGCAAGCTCAGACTCGTAATCGCCGCAGTCGTCTGCTTGAGTCAGCAGAGGAAGGACTGTAGGTGCTGGCCATGGGTCCCCAAGGGCTGTGTTTGGCTTCCTGGAAGTTAAAATAATCAGTAATCTCATGGGTCAAAATCACGGGAACAGAAACCATGCTTACAGGAACACAGTAGGCACGTCAGGCAAAGCTACGCCAACTTCTTTCGCGTGCTGAACATACTACGTCTCATTAGCCGAGTTCAATATGCACATTGAAAGTGCCATCTGATCGCTGGCTACTTACGTTCAGACCAATACATCGGATAGTACCGATCTCATCGACAGAAACGGGCGACAGAATGCGGTCGATGATGGCGCACTCATCTGTTTTGGAACCCGGCTTGAGGACGCTGGATCCCGACCACACCACAACCTTAACCTCCTCGCCGTTGCGCACCGCAACACCAACGTCGACGGAGTCTGATTCAGGTTCTCCAATGAGGATCTTGTTCGGATCGGACCGCGGGACAAATCGCAGGAGGCCTTTATTGTTTCAGCGTCAAGTGTGGCGACAGACAGGGACTCGGGAGGAAGACTCACGGCCGAAGGACGATTGTAATTCCGAAGACATCTTGTCATAAGTTGGGCCAAAGGTCTGGTGTGCAGAAAAAAACTCTGGGATCCCAACTTGAACAAGTCCGTATTGAGATGGAAGCTTGGATGATATTTGCAAGCAGAAATACGGAAAGGTCGGCTTCCCGCATCATTGAATCCGACTGGAGATGATAGGGGTACCCCGCTCTGGCGCCGACCTTTCGGAGGTCCGGGTAGGTGGAGAGTTCATGCTTAGTTGTAATGTCTGAGCGCTGCCATTGGCTGTGGGGGAAATGCGAGGATGAGGGGAAGATGAAGGTGATGATGAATTGAGGGGCCGAAAAGTGAGGGGCCGAAAAGTGAGGAGCCGATGCCTGCAGATATTCGTTACTGCGGCATTTGATCGCGGTTCCGTTGATTATGGTTTGATCTGAGAAGCCATCCAACGCGAAGCTATGGTTTGATTGCGAATTTCCCCAATAAACCTTACCTTGAAAGCTGGGCTTCAATACATCCAAGACCTTGGTCAGGGTCATTGGATGTGGAACAGCTCCCAGACTCGAAACACTGCTGCACGGAAAGACTCTTGATCACTGCCACCGATATTGCGCTCAGAGTAATCCATAAGACGAGGATATCAGGCCATCCATCTCACAAGCACCGTAATGTCCGGAGTCCAGGATCCACAGCCCCATGGCGGCGAATACCGCCAACATCTGCCAGACATTACTATCCCGCGTTTCACCACAATGAGAAGTCAGAATGCTCACGAATACGCGGAAGCTTTCAAAAATAGTGGGAACCCACCGTGGCTACACGCCCTGTATCGCCACTGGCGTGAGCTCTTCAAGGACCCGTTCACCGGCATCACGTCGGATGGTCAGTCGCGGGGGTTGTAGACTGAGTAGTTGGGGAAACGGCTAACGGGTTTAGGTACCGTGAGACACGACTTATTCGAGCTGGCAGATGAAGGCGTACCAATCCAGGAGATCGTCGACACCACCAACGTCGTATTATCACAGCTTAACGACAAGCAAAAGTCTACTCTTTTATACCACGTTGACTCGCCTGAGTGGCGCTCGTGGTCGAACCCAGAATTCCTTCTGAGCGACAAAGGTCTGCGTCTCGACGAGCTTGACTCGAACCTCCGAGACAGCATCCTTAAAGTTCTTGAGGCCACACTGTCGCCGGAGGGCTACGCCAAAGCGCTTGGCGCCATGCGTATTAACGGTTTCCTGGGTGAGCTAGTCCAGGCGCCCACCATCTGCAACGAGTATTCTTACAACTTTGTGTTATTCGGTGAACCTTCAATAACTCGGCCATGGGGCTTCTGTTTTTACGGCCACCATCTATGCCTGAACATCTTCCTGTACAAGGGTCAGATCGTGTCGTCGCCGTGGTTCACTGGAGCGGAGCCGAACCTGATTGACCAAGGACCCCATCAAGGAACCCGCATATTGGAGACAGAGGAACAGCTTGGCCTGCGGCTGATGCAATCTCTTCCTGCAACCCTCCAAAATGAGGCGCAGACTTACAAGTTGCTCAAGGATCCAGCGATGCCGAAGGGAAGGTGGAATCATGACGACCAAAGACACCTTTGTGGCGCATACCGAGACAACCGCGTCGTGCCGTACGAGGGCATTCTAGTGAATGATATGGATTCCGAGCAGCAACAGCTTGTGATTGGAATCATAGAACAGTATCTCATTTACCTTCCTCGAAAGGCCAGGGAGATAAGGATCAACCAGGTCAGGTCTTGGTTTCATGAAACGTACTTCAGCTGGATAGGAGGTTTTGGTGATGCGGATCCATTTTATTATCGGATTCAGAGCCCGGTGATCCTTGTTGAGTTTGATCATCACTCCGGTGTCTTCTTAACCAACAAAGAGCCGGCCAAATTCCACATTCACACTCTCCTTCGAACGCCAAACGCTGGAGACTACGGAATGGCGCTAAGGCCACTCATTCCGGGTATCGAGCAAAGTTTTGTATGGGAGGGCTAGATAACGCGGAAATATTGAACCTATCTTGGCATATCAACCCGATATTTGTTGAAAAAGAGATGTCTTTGTTTACGAAAAGTCTGATTAATACGTGCATACAGACAGCATCTATCTGCCCTCGAGAGCAGTTTTACTGACCCTACTCACTTGATCTCACTAACTGAGATGGAAATAAACTTGTGTATTATCTTTATAGATACTGGCTGCACTTCGATCCTTAATACCGGATCCGGAAGTCAATATCCAGAAGTTCTTGGTGGGTAAGCTCGGCTGCAGCCCGCCAGTATGAGGAGGGCGTCATTTCACCAGTGCTGATCATATCTCGCTTATCACCATTGGAACACCCCTCCAGATTTTGGCGGGCTGGGGTGATACGCATGTCCCTTTTTCAAAACCTACGTGAATGAAGTTGGTCTTCCTTGATCCTATTCGTGTGTTCCAAATTTAAGGCTGTCTTTGCACGAATCTTGGAATCTTCCAGGACAATCTCGTGAGTAATCCAGACCTGGTTTTCGTCGTTGCCTGATGTAAGCTGACCGGGCTGAGCATGACAAGACAGGCATCTCTGGTAGGCACCGACCTGTGATAGCCGGCCTGATTCGGAATGTGTAAGAATTCTTTTTTTCCCTTATGTGCTGGGCGACAGGCCAACTGCGGCACAGGCCGGGCAGGCGTCCCTAAAGCGGGCAAAACGACGCCGACTTCCAACGGGTTCACGATGCTCCCCCCTGCAGAGTCGCCATGGGTCCTGCTTTGGGGGCCGTTGGAACCGTCGGGACCGTTAAGTCTGCCTTCGGTAAGCTACGCCCGGGTCAGACATACCAAAAAGAGTTAAAAGGACTCCGCGGACGTGGAACCGATAGCACACCCATTGTCTTCAAGCAAGGGCTGTTCAACGTATCATATCAAGGCTAACCGCCCCTGTTGGTAACACGTTGGAGGAAGTGGCCTATGAGAACAGGTCTTGGTGTCTGAATGAAGCTAGATGCGTGATGAGCGATGAACACCACTCCGTCACCATCTCACTTCGGATTTTGTCGTTGGGCGCACTTGCGACTATTTTCAGAAAGGCAGGGTTCTCATACGGTCTGACCGAAACCACCATCATCCGAGACCCGTACTGCATGAGCACCGACGATGTGGATGCGCCGTGGGGCTACTGGGTATTTCCGCTGATGACTCTTCACCCATGCATCGTCCTGTGAACTTCAAACCTCGTGCGGCTGCTTCATGATTTTGTATTTCAAGAGCACCACCCACTTCTCCCTAACTCTTTTCTTGTCCTCCTCCGATAACTAGAGCTCAGTTTGAGTTGAACCAGCTCAGCCCTCAAGGAAAGCACAACGGTGTTTAAAGCCCTTCTACTTGGTTCGGTGTTGTCAAACCTTCGTTCAGCCTATCCCTACTACCCAGATATCTTCTTATTCTGAGCGTTGAAGTTATTAGTCATTTACGTTTCATCTTCCGCAATGTCGAAAGAAGCCATCTTGCCGGCCTATGCGCCAGTTCCGAAGATCACTACTTCCCGCAACTCAACCTGCCGCACTATTATGGTCTCTCTGATGACTTGCATGTTGATTTTATCCCTATTCAACTACGAAATTGTCTTTTCAACGGTATGTTCATTCATAAAGCTACATTAGAGACTGTGCATCGTTGTCTAACATCTGCCCAGATCAATAAGGGCATAGTGGTCTGCAAAGGCCACGTTCAGGGGCAGAAAATCTCAGAGCCAACAAATGCCTCCCTTGAAGTGTCCAGCCAAACTTGGGCACTTCCGTCCCCCAAGATCGAGACACGTTCTACTCATGGCAAGCAAAGCTCGTTTTCTCTTCGACGCCGCAACGGTGAAGTTTCCGGAGCAGATTCTGCTCTCTCTACTGATGGCCGGTCCGGATACAGCCGACGAGAGGAATCTGGTCGTTCCGGGTACAACAGCGTTAAGGATGGACACTCTGGATCCAACAGTGTAACTGACGGACGATCCGGATATAATCGCCGTGAGGAAGAAGATGGGAGGTCCGGCTATAACGGTGTTGAAGACGGTCGCTCTGGTTACAACATTGTCGAGGATGGGCGCTCCGGGTACAACCGTGCCATTTGACGTCAAGGAATTGCGGCGACTAGTTACCGTGTGGCTAATATGCAAAGAGCCAGATGCAATGGGCTCGCGCTCTGAGTTTGAATATTTTGATGTAGAGTTTAGAAAGCCTCCTTGAAAGACGGATGGAAACTATTCATAGCGATGAAATGCTCGGGGAGCACCCCTCGCCACGATACGTTAATCCTGTAACCCAGACCAAGGTCCTTGCTGCGCTTCGTCATGAGATCGCGAGCCTCACGATAATCTCCAATGACGACATGGGCGCGTTCGAACGGACCCGGAAAAATCTGGGCAATCGGCGTTTTGTGCTTCGAAAGCAGGTCCGTGAAGAAATCCAGCCAGAAACCTCCTGATTTTTCAATCTTAATGAAGTAGTTGTAATCCCCTAAAAGTCACGTACTTGAGTCTTTGTTACATGGAATCCCTGGGATAGGCTTAGGCAGAAGGCTGAGGTATACAAGGCGTATAAATACAAAGACTGCAGCGATAAGTGCGGAAATGAAGAACAGATCGGCCATGATGATCAATTACGAGGAAGAAATGTCTTGTCCAAGCATAATACGTTGTATTCAGTTGCGAAGAAAAGTGTTGCGATCACCGTCACATAGGTATCGAATGTGCGTTAATGAGGAGGTATTTGGTTTTTGGGTATGTGGGCCAACATACTCCGTATAGTCTCTTGTATATGACACGTGAGTTATCGGACGGTAATTACTGGGCGTGTTTAACGACATCGCTGAGCCAGGGTGGCCTCGGCCCCCCTGAGGCTGGTCGTCGTCTGCAGCGGGCTTCTCGGGGCGGGATGACAGATGGAACGTTGTTTTCTCAATTGAACGCCGTATCATCACAGTTCTGTGCTTGTGTAAGCTGTAGCTTGCTGTTGATGCAAAGACGTTGAGATGAGCAATCGGATACAGAAATCAACAAAACGGCTGCCAAAGTGCGGAGCAGTTGAGCACCGCTGACGTACGATACGAGGCATATCGGTGGCCGCAGATGCATATATCAAGGCTGAAATGCGGCTCAGATGGGGTCTGATCGACCGCGGCCAACCAAGTCGTTCAGCTGCATGTTGTACAGTGAGCTGACCAGCTTCCATACCCTACACATTATGCAAAGGCGTCGTCCACCACATCAGATGACTCATTCAACTTTGGGCACGAAAATGGTTTCATGGCGAACCCTTGTGAGTTGCTGATTGGTGGAAGCTGAACCCATGGCTGCCTGTTCATTATCCTCAACAATCGGCGTTATTTTGACTGAAAAACGCTGTATCCCGGCTGGTGCTTAGCAAGTAAGCGGCACAGCTGTATGATGTAAAGCTTGACTCCTAGAAACCACCCCTTTGCACAGCGGTCAAAACAATAGACGGCTGCTTCCAGATGTCTCATCCCAGCCAACCTCTCGAAGTCTTCCCTCCGCCCCCCGGCTTCCGTAGCCCCGTTACAAGCGTCCACCGCGAGGGGACGTACGAGTTCTACGGTCCAGCCTCCACCTCCGGCCTCACCGTCTCTGCCTCTGACTTCATCCTCAAGCACTGCGCTGCCGATAAAGACGGCCTCGTCCGGGCCCTCTCCTCTTTTCTTGACGACGCGGCTGCCCACGCCCGGCAACAGGCCAGTTCTACCGACCAAGAGAGGAGCACCCACTCGACCTGGCTGTGCGTCCGTATTACCGCGCCTACTGATGCCTGGGCTATTCCCCGATGGCACCGCGATGGCCGCATGTTCGACTGCATGTGCGCGGCGCCCCGGCCGCACGCAAAATATGCCATGACGCTACTCGGCCCGCCGACGCGGATGCTCTGGCCGTCGGAGACGGTAGACGCCGCCGTGCGCAAGGTGGAGGCACAGCATAGCGGCTTGGGAATGGGCGAAAACGACTATAGTTACGAATCCGAGGAGAAGGAGCGCGCGGGCCTGGCGGAGGCGCTGGAGGAGATCCCCCTCGTCGAACTACAGACGGGCCAGGTTGTTAGGTTCACGTGGGGCGAATCCGACGCGCCGGTGCACTCGGAGCCGGATAGCAGTGCCGAGGCCAGGTTATTTTTGAGCGTCATGTTTGGCTCTGAAGCAGAGTTGAGGGATATGTGTAGTATCCGGGATGAGGTGTACGGAGAGGAGAGTACTTGGACCTCCCAAAAGTCTTTGGAGTAACTGGAACTACAGCGTTTTCATGATGAATTCGCAACTCATTGCTACATAAAGTTGATGTCTTTCAACAGTTGTATCACTTCCTTGTTATCCTTCTCTGAGAAAACGTTTAGTTGTTGTATCTGAATTGTCTTGAGCGTGTCATAGCACACCACTAAACCGGCTCCTCAACCCTAATACACATTGCGGAATATGGAAGCCCCAGTTCTGCCACCTGAATCACTGACACAGCGCCAATCATCGTACTATAGTATCGATGCACATTCCTCGCCATTGCATGTGTCACAACCTCTGTCGAGATTAGCAATCAGCTGGACAGTTGGTTCCTACGCTTTAACTCGATAATACCGCTGTTGATTGAGGCTTTTGGCTGCAAATCGTCTCGCCATGTCTCACAACAACCTGAAGCCTACCTCTACGGACCGGCCTTGGTAAGTCCAACAGCCGCCTTTGTTGGGCCCGAAACCGGGCGCAGCCCCAGTTTGGGAGACGCGGGATATTACTGTTTCCGTCATTCAGCCGCCCGCCATACATCGGTGCCACAGAACAACCGGGGTGAAAGAAACGCGCCGGGGCGATCGGGCTCCGACAAAAATGCGGAGCTACCGGCGCCAGGGCGTTGTTTACCAGTTTGGATTCGTGAGCAGTCGAGCCTGGACGCAGATCCGTACCGGAATTTGAATAGCATCTTGGAAATGGAAATTACAAGTTGGTATAGAAGTCCTGAGAGACTAGGGATATCATCGCAGAAAAAAAGAAAGAACTTTGCCCCAAAGCGCGCAAGCGCTACGATACAGTCCTCATAGCCCTGATGTACCTCGCGAACCTCGACAGCGCCGAGGCCGAGTGTTCCGTGTCGGCGGTCTCCCCAGAATCCTCGGAACATAGCGAGTACCTCCTCTCCTTGACGAATTTGGGCCACGTGTTGGTGAGGACCAGATACTTGATACTGGCCTCCGCGTCGTCAAACACCCCCGCATTGAACTCTTCCGGAATATCCCCCCAGTATTGCACGCGATCCGTGATGCGCTCTTCCCTGCCACGTTGTTCCAAGATATTTCCCTCTGGTTCGTCCGAGGCAGAACCTTGGCCCGATGGGACGTGCTCGAAGGGGACCACGGGGTCCATGAAGCGCTCCGTTCTGTAGCCGTGCAGGATTCTGGCCGCGTTCCCAAAGACTTTCTCCAAACGCTTGAGGTCTTGCGACGCGATGTTGATCTGGAACTCGGCGTGGTGGGGGCTGATGAACTCGGTGTAGATCCGGAGGGCACGGTTGAATCGCTCACGGGTGAGTTCGGACAAATTTTCCTGGGCGTCTGGAGTTCGCGGGATCGATGCCTTCCACTCCCCAACCGCCGACAAGAAGGCAATATTTTCTCCAGAAAAGTCTCGGAGGGCTGAGAATTTGCGTAGGGGCTCGGGATTCTTGTCCAATATATACTCCAGAGAGCTCATTGTATAAACACTTTCAGTTGGGCTGTTACCCCTTTCGAGCTGCAAGAGTGATGACTGCCAGGAGATGGAGTCGCGAGACCCAGCCTTAGTTGAGTCAGTGAAGATGGAATCGCCGCCGTTACGGGCCTTGTTTTTGGCTTCCCAAAGGGCGATGGCCTCGAGCGTCTCTTGTTCGAGTGACTTGTGCTTGAACACTTGCCAACACGGAATGAAGATTGTGAGTATTTCGATGAAGATGATGGAGAGACAAATCCTGGGTAGTGTGAGTATGATCAAGCTGGGTGCCCGCGCAAAGTCCATATAACTAACCATTGGGGGGCAATAAAGTATTTGTTGACAGGCGCCATGTCTGGTACGTATAAGGCAACAAGCCACATTGGAGTAGCGTGCAGACTAGACTCGTTAGTGGTGGGTGCAGGAATTTGCCTAGGGACGGGGGAACACTAGACCTACCTTGCGATGCAGCATGCAATGGTCTGGAGTCGCCACCCTTGTGTGTCTTTGATCTCGCGCGATTTCCAGAGGATGACAGGCGCTACTACCCAGGCCCAGACGAACTGCCAAAGGACTGAAGGCCACCACTCCCACCCGCGGATCATCTCGAGCTTTTGTTGCGCGGGGGTGCCTTTGACTTCCGTGCCAGGGACGCCGAACCATGGGTGATACTTGCGTGAGACGAGATACATGACGATCGTAAGGAGAAGCTAATCGTCTTGCATGTCAGCAATGTGCCAAGCTGTCAAGCACGGTCCGTTGCTCGGGCCAACGTCACATACCTGGACGGCCATGCCCGTGCTGACCACAGCCAGCATCTTGGTGGTGTAGTCTAGCCTCCGAAGCCTCCCAGCAATGGTCTTGTCTCTCCCGTTGCAGGCGGGTGACTGTGACAGTGACTTGGACCACTGATAATCGGGCTTTTCGGCGTATTTGCGCTGCGCCTTGGCAATGTAGAGGAAGCGGCTGTTGGAGGCATGGAATAGAGCAATGCCAAAGGGCAAGTAAAAGCTCATGACCCAGAACTCTAAGCCAGTGGGAATAAATTCACGGATTGATAGCGTAACCTGCACCGCGACCCAGTACAGGTGGAGCATGATGACGGCAGCAAACGATAAAGCCAGGCCACGGATCTTCAGAAAAGACATTTTGCGATGGACCAAGAGGAATGCCATGCCGCAGAACAGGGTGACTGTCCAAGCCCCAGTCCAGGCAAGAAAGAATACCGCCGCCGGCTCTGTGTTGAGAGCAGGCGCCGGCGTGGGCTCCTGCGTGCGTTCAGTTTCTGAATCCATGGTTGTTGATTTTTGATGGCCTACCACTGCTCTTTGATGCAAAACAAGAGTTGCTGGTAGGTGAGAGATGCAGGAACGTGACGAAATTCCAGGATCGTGATGATTCAGCGTCTCAGGAATTCTAGTGAGTTATATGCTGGAATATTGATGGGCCGTAAGACATGGTTCCGGAGAACGCGGAATCTCCTTAATCGACAACAATTCACGGCCCGGTCATCGCCCCGGCAGCCGTCGGTCCTTCTCACCATGCTTTTGCGTGTGCAATTCAGTCAATGGCGAAGGCGTCGTGCAGATCCTCGTCCACATCAACAATGGCGCTGTTCCTGACGTGGATCACATCTCAAAAGGTCCAGCCGACTTAGGTAAGCTATGGTGACAAGCTGAGATTGCAATCTTGATTGAATGATGCCCTTACACCTCATCGCCCAAGCCGAAGTTGTTGCGCTATGGCGTATTTAGACGCAGGAAGGCTGGTGGCTTCTCTTTAGAGGCGTTGATCTTACCGAAGAGGCGTAACTCGCTAAGACATATGCCAACTTGCCAAGTTGAATGCACCCGAGTTGAGGCGTTGTTGCATGGGCTTTTCCTTGCAGATGAAGACTAATAGCACTAGCTTCAACGTACATCTGTTTATTGGGCGCTAAGGGGAAATCGGGCGCTTGTCGAGCTTAATGGCGTCAGCCAATCGTTCATTGATATAATCTCTTTCGGTCTTGACATTTCAGCCAATTACTTGAACGAGGTAAGATACGCAATATGGCCAATGGCTGAATTAGCCCTAGACACACTGAACTCAGGTTCGCTCTCCATGACATGCTGGGGTTCTAGTCTTCTCTTCGTTAAGAAACCTCGATTAGCAGCGAAAGCGAACGGTTGAGAAACAACAGTACATGGCCTTGTCAGTGCCCAAAGGGTCCAACCCATGGTCTGTATAGCACTTTAGGTGAAACCTAGGATAACCGTCGAAACTTTTGGTTCCCGGATTTCGACAATTTGCAAGGGAGCAACCGGTCTCTATCTGACTAGTGGTCTGCTGCCTACATAGCTCACTGTTCAGCTTCTACACGTGGAACAGGCGAAAAGCTCTACCTGCATGTAGTATTTTGGGTCACGTTGCTTTTTAGATATGTGGTACGCATCGAAATTCATGAGACTACCCAAGGTATTGCCGTGTTGATCCTTCCAGCCTCATAATAGGCATGTCCGAAACGAAAAGTGACAATCCCGCACAGCGTTTTGAATTGAGTGACGTGATTCATGTGCAAAATATTGCATCGGAGCGCCTTCGGATGAATATAGACTTCATAAGACACTGAAAAGTGAAGTGGGCAACAGAATGCAATGTCCGAGATCTTGGACTGATTTCCCCAGAGGCTGATAGGTTGCAACAGAGATGGGGGAGCACCCCGGAGCACCCAAGTTTCGTCCATCGATATTACACTCAGCCTCGTGACTTTGTTTCGTTGGTCATTGTCTCATTAGACCATGGACCACTTAGGCGCCTTGGGCCAAGCCACAGCACCGTCCGTCACTATGCGCCAGTTGCCCGGGGCAAATACCTTGGCCATCGTCCGAGTGCCGGCACATCGCGTGGAGTCTGAAATCGGATAGGCAGAGCCGCTGAGGCAAGAAGCACGTCGGCCTCAAGGTTAGACACATCGACTTGTGGTGGCGGAGCGGCGTTCTCCACACCCGGCATACAGCTCGAATCATGTGATTTTACGGTATCATGAATTCTGTTTGGCGATACGAAGTAAAGCCTCATCATCCAAAGCAAAGCTTCTTTTGCCGAGGGTCATCACTTGGCTGTCGTGCTGGTGGTCTGCCGCGTTTCTTTTCGCCCCCGACCTTGGGCTTTTTCATGTCCGGCGTTGTCGATCTCGGAGCTGGGCCAGGAACATCTCCGTGAACAGCTTCACGAATCGTCTGTCGCGAAAGGCAGAAGTCGATATGCTCGTTGAAATGTCTCTCGTCTGGTGCCTGCGGACGGTTGCAAATAGGGCAATCCCACATTTCATCGTTGACCGGGGCATACTCCCGTACCGGGTTTGGCTGGATCTCTTTGCCATGTCTCCTGACCGGGCTCAACTTGTCGTCATCATGATTAGCAGGTTCCTTGAAGGCATCAAAATCTTGATCATCGTCGAGTCCCGGGAGTTCCTCTCTGGGCCATTGTTCCCAGCCGTCGTCGTTTAGCCCACTGTCAACCCCAGCGTTGACATTGTCCTTCGAAGGCTTCACTGGGGATGTACCTGACTCGGATCTACGGGATCGAAACCCGAAGAACGCCATTGTATCCGGCTTTTTGGTACTAACCAAATGAGTGCAACGTAGGCCCATCAACCGTAGCGTCATGCCCGGCATCTCTTCTTGTAGCTTTGCCAGAATCGGAAGAGCAAAGTGGTACAAGTCGTCGGCCAGAAATATCGCTCTGGGCAGCACAACTTGGCGAGTCAAAACCTCGTATGTGTGCAACTTTGCCTTGAGCACCAGTGTTCGACCTTTGACCTCTGCTCTCTTCATGTCCTTCTCTAACTCTCCTGCCGTCCACTTCAGCTTCTCTCTCAACTGCTGCGGATCTGACATGTCCCGGAACGTGCTTTCAGTGCCCACGCTCTTTCTCTCGTATTCTTCTGCAGGCTGGATCCGCGTACGGCCTAAGCCGAGGTATACATTAATCAGGAACTCGTACGCCTTTTCACCAAACAGTGGTCGGAGGAATTGCCGCTGAGGATACAGGTCCGCACACGTCTTGATTCCTATCTCGGCCAGCTGCCGTTCGAGCACGCGGCCCACACCGTTGACCTTTCGGGGCGGCAGCTTTGCCATGAATCGCAAAATCTCAGATCGATCGTTGGGCAAGATGAACTGGCCGTTCGGTTTGTTCATGTTCGAACAGATCTTTGCAAGTTTCGCATTGGCTGCGATCCCGGCCGAGACGGTAATTTTGGTCTTCTCGTAGATTTCTCGTCGCATCTGCTCGACCGCTTCTGCTGGGCCAATGCCCTTGTCTGTGCAGTACTCTGTGATATTCAAGTAGGCCTCGTCTATACTTGCGCTTTCAAATCGAGGGTCGTATTCTACGAACACTTCCCGTACTTCATGGGCTTTGGCAGTGTATTTCTCAAAGTTCAGTTTGAGCATCACCAGCTCGGGACACAACTTCTTGGCTACGAACCCAGCCATACCGCTTCGACAACCATATTTTCGTGCGACGTAGTTACACGTCGTCAGAACGCCGCCTCCGACAGCAAAGGGAACGTCTTTCAGTTCCGGCCGGTCGAGAAGCTCAACGGCAGCGTAAAATGCGTCGCAGTCAACATGAACGATGTATTGCGTCAAGTCTCGGGAAAGTTCGAGTTGAGTAATGAGCTGATCGGCAAGGCGCAGCTCGCGGCTCAGGTCTTGCTTCTCGAGATCTCGTTTCTTATTAATTATCTGTTCGATCTTGTTCGTCAGGATCTTGTCACGCTCCTCTTCTCGGTTGAAGAACTTGGAACCCTTGGATGCGTTGTATATGATCTCGGAAACCTGGGATGGCCATGTGTTAGCAGCGTTCTGGGACCCGTAGGTGATCCTCAGATTCGACTAACCTTTGACTGGTCAACGGCGTCTTGTCCAGCTTTGGTCAAGGAAGGGCCCAGCAGAGCGTATTTCAGCGTCCGGTTGTCTAGAGTTACTTTGGCATCTTCCGACAAGTCGTCGATGGGAAGCGGCGACGGAGGTGTCGTCATGACTGTCGGAGAGGGAGAGGTGCGATCCGAGAGGCGCGTTTCGAGGCCAGGAGCCGAGGAGTATGGTGCATATCTTCGTCGTCGACAGTTGTGATGCGTCTAGGGTGCGGAGGTGCGCAGGTGTGCCTGTTGGGAGAGAACGTGGATAGGGTATTAAGATAAACAATGCCCCTCATGTTCGAGTGGCGACGCGTCGTTCTCTCGGTCAGCAAAAGCACGCGATATCACATGGTATTGCACGTGATACTTTCGCCATTATTGCATACATAAATGCGGTAATAGTATTGCATTAAACACTATTGTCGCTATACCGAAATACCTACTCCTATCATTCAACCTCGCCTAAGATTTTTAACTCGATATATAGTCATAGTAATCAGCTCTTCCATTCTTAATTTTATCTTAATCTGTAGCAGAAGTGGCTTCTGGCATTAGACCCCTCACTCTTACCAATTTGCTTCTGTGTCGCCAAGTTAATATACGCCGGGCTGGTCTGTTGGTCTATATCGAAGCAAGAATGGATTCTTGCGCGACTCCTGTTTCAACATACAGCTTGACAGTCTGTAAGACATCATTAGATGATTGGTTCCCGATGTTCTGCATTGAAGGGTTCCCGCTGCGTGAGCTGCTCTGCCTAGCTCGTTCTACTACTGCACCATGACGCGTTGACGGCCTTGTTGTTGTGTCCGACACCATCGAGGAGGACGAGGCGGAACCTGCCACGAACGAGCTCGATGTCAGTGCCGAATTGCGCGGCAGCCCAGCTCCGTTAGTAATAAAAGGCAGTGGCAGAGACATGGACAGCGACCTAGCCTGAAACACATTATGTTCTTGCCGCCGAAGTTCGAGAACCACGGTGTTGGCGTCGAGTTTACCACGTTGGTATCGTTTAGTTAACCTGCGGTGGTCTCTTTGTAGTTCGACTACGCACACCCAGCATTGCTGAAGATAAAGTTCTTCATATAGCCGACAGACACCTACCTCATTAGGCTTGTTGCCTAGCGGTGCGACCTAGCTACGGCGGGCCTTGTGCCCCAAAAGCACCTAATTTTCCTCGTTGTCAAGGTCTCTGATGAACTTATTTGCTGTGGAGTTATGTTGGCCGTCTATCTATCGCAACACTAATCAATGCTGGCCAGCCGGCGCCGCCCGACAAGTCGTCGTTGTCTGCGGTAAGAGTGTTGTCATTCACTCGTGACTCAGGAAAATGAACAAGCTTGCACTGAATTGCATTCGAGACCCCACAATGAAGGAAGGTCACAGCTTAGAGACTGAGCAGCTTTGGGACGTTGTGCGGAAATGTGACATTGCCTTTCTCCCTGAAGCTGTCAGCCATATCGAGCGGCCTCATGATTGAGATGGAGTCCGTGGCATTGGTCTAATATCTCATGAGCCGTGATATGCATGGTATCGAATTTGCAGCATGACCATTGCAGAGCACCGACTATGATCGCGACGGATGCGGTCTCCTTCCTCTTGCCAAAGTTACATCTATCGTTGCACGTGGTCAAGGGGACTAGCAGGGTAGAACTTGGGGGTTCTCAAGTTGTCAAGTAGCTGCAAGGCGTACGTTTGATAACAAAAGATCAAAATCTTAGACAAAGACATAGCACAACACAAAGATCAAAGATAGAAAACATTTAATAGCCAAAAGGGGAAAAAGAAAAGAGTCTTGAAATGAAACAAGGAGATTCCTTGGCCACAGTACCACCAACTCGAAGCACTCAGCGTTTACATGAGTTCTTCCGATGGCGCGTTAAATTGTCCGATCGTGTGAAGCCCTTGGGACACTTATTACACTTGAATCGGCGTTTTTCGGAAGAATGATAAACCTGTTCGTGTCGATCCAAGTCACTCGGGTCGGCGCATCGATGTCCGCAACCTTTCGACTTGCACACCTCCGGCTTGATATGGTGTTTCATATGCCTGCTTCACAATAGAGTCAGACCACCATAGGTTTCAAAACGTTCTGCTAATGACTCTAGCTTACTTTAGCTCGTGCTTTTTGTTGTAACACTTATTGCATATCTCGCAGGCATATGGTCCTTGTACCCGGCGTTGGGGACCGTCTTTCCTCTCCTGAAAACCTATATTTGAGTTTGTCCCGACTTTATGGGTCAATGATAAACTACAAAAGGCCTCAGAATCAAGCAAAACTTCTTCCGCAACCATCCTGGCGTCATCATCGTCCCACTCTGCACCCCTGAATGTTGGCGAGACAAGAGATGGATCGCCCGAATGCAACAATTGACCTTCTGGAGCCTACAGTCCCAGAGTTGCAATTGCTGTGGCTTCAGAAGACTGAAAATATGATGTGCTTTGGTATTGATCACCTGCTCTCAGGTCGAGTTGGTGTATCAGAGCCGGGTCGACAATGGCATCGGAATATCCTCCCTGGGTGGAGGGACAGTCTTCAGGGTCACCTGTATCGGACAGGCTGTATGCCGCCTGGGTGGGCATGTGGAATCTTGTGATGTGGTCCATCCTATACATCAATTCGAGGAGATGCGAGGACTTGGAGTATGGCTTCAGAAACAACACCGGCTGAGAATCGAGTGCTGTCCCGACGTTAGAGAGGGTCTGATCACCCATTTCATCGCGTAGTAATCGACTGCCCAATAGGCAAAAATCAAAGAATAGATTCTCTCCATATGCTTTATAGAAGAAAGAGTACCTCTGGGGACCAAGAACACAGAATGGAGAGATAATTACCTCCTGTATCGACCTTGCGAAGTAATAGCTTGGATGGGTCCCTTGCTTTACCATTCGCAACGCAGGTGGCTAGAATCCGGCACACAACACTGTTGGCTGCCCCAGCTTCAATTTCCCCCAAAGATAGAATAAAAGTCGATAGAAATTATCCCTCAAAGATAAGAGTAAAAATTAGCTCAGCTTTGAATTCAAAGGGACGGCATCCGTTAGGCTGTATGTGATAAGTAGAGCGTATCTACGTACAACCATAGAGTGAAGGAGGAAATGAAAGGATTAGACACCTAAGCTCTTATTATACTCTGTTGGGCTGTCATAGCCTGCGAGCAAATCGAGTATTTCGACCTTCTTTGAGTTTCTTCCGCATTCTTAGCAGAAGGCTATTGGTCCAACGCCCAACATGCAGATTTGTTTGTCGAGGCCCAGGGCCAATGTCATATGCTATGCAGGGCAGGCAGCTAATGGCAAGCACCAACGGCCAACGTAAATAGTAATGAGCAGTCTCGCCTATGTATGGTTTGGGCTATACTCGGTGAGTCCGGATGTATTGATTGGAGGCGCAGTTGGGGAACACCGCGTCAGCATTCGGCCACATACGCAGGCCTCCAACAATCCCCAAGACTGCATGATATGAGATACGCAGTACAGCATCCTAACCGATCTATTAATAGATGACCAACTTGAAATGAAGCATTGCGGCCTTACACACGATTGCAGACGTCCTTGATCGCACGTATAACCTTGGTTTGCCCTGCAGTACGCCTCAGAGCCTTGCGTTGGGAAGGGCGATCATTGTCACCGACTCCGCCTCGGTCACAAAATTTATGGACCGCAGTCTCTGGGATTGGATAGATGTGCAGCGCATCCAATGAGGTCTCTCTATATCTCCAACGGCCTCTGACATTGCATTGCATGTCTTGGGGCCACATCAGCCGGCCAAATGTGTGACCGGGAGATAAAACGGTTGGTTAGTCAAGATGCTGGCGTTAAGATAACCGCCGTGGTAGCTGTGAGTGTGTGGTTGTGCAGATAAGTGATATCAAGAAAGCCTGCCCTTCAGGTCCCTTCTTTGATCTATTCATCAAACTGGGGTGAGAGGATTGCTGCACACCGGGAAACAGTTCTTCATATATCTCCACAGTATTCTGGTTCAATTACTGTTGTAAATCTTTGAGGAAACACTCATAAATATTGAAAGTACCCCTGGATTCCTATTTTATTCTATACTTGGTTCATTTGAGAGCCCCCGCCATCTGTTATTATGGCAAAGAAGAAGACCAAGAAACGCAACGGAGGCAAGCCCCCAGGAGCAGGTGAGGCACACAATCAAAAAAAGTTTGATCGATTGGCTTGACTAACAAGATACGATAAAAGCAATGGTTGTCTCGGATGGAATAGACCATGCCATAAGCTTGCAGCTTTGCAAGAGGCTAAATCGTTTCTTTGAGGCCTTGGCCTTCCTCACTAGCCTACAAAAGGCCTGCGGACGAGACATTCGAGAAAAGGCTCCTAGCGAGACTTCAGAGGCAGGAGACAACCACGGTGGGACATTAGAATGCTTCATCAACAAACTGGCTCAAATCAGTGATAATAAGCGCGGTGGACCTACTGTCACATCCCTAGCTATTGTCCGACCGCCTGACAAACTGCTCTATGTATTCGCATCCAACCAAAGGCGTACAGAGGATGCCCAAGCAACCAGCGAATTTATCTTTCGTCTTTTGGATTATCTGAACCGAGCATTTGTAAACCCCGGTTTGAGAGACGACGAAAGTTCCCCGATCTTTGGACATCTTCTTCGTACCATTCTCAGGTTCAACTACAAACGCATTCGGTGGTATCGAAAAAATCTTCTAGAACGCCTTTCTCAATGTTTAGTAGATTGTAAGAGATCCTTATCAGAAGATAGTAAGTTCTTTTGCTTGATATGCGTTTGGGATCACAACGAAGCCGGGCTAAAGACTACCAGGTGACTCGCTCAGGGCGGGCCTCCTTACTCTTGAACACACTGCGCTAAACCAACAAATCCATTCTGATAAAGACGATGCTTCAGGTATGAGTACCCATAGATATTTCAACAGCAAAATGTTCCTAACCTATCTATCGCAGTGGTGTCACGAAGCGATGAGGGTTTGGTACGAGCAGCCACCGACTTGCATCAGTCGCCAATCTTCGAAAAGATAGCCGATAGGGGCAAAGCAGGCAAGATTGACGAGTCCCGGCATTGGTGTGAGCTCCAACATTTCATCGGCCGTCTTTCGTCCTATTTCAGGGCTATTCAGACCATTCTCAGAGCACGCAGACGCTACCCTGAGCTATTCGACACGGAAAGTTTAGAAATCCGGTTCATAGATTCTAGCAAGCCCATCCCGAACCCCATGAACGCATTTCAAGCTGGTCTACCACTTGACCAAAGGACAACGGTTCGTTCCGCGGGTGTTATAATCTCTCGGATGACATCCGTTGCGGCCGAACATGAGATGTACCAACGTTACGCAAACGAACTTCAGCGGTGCGACCTCGACAGACTGATTGCCGATCAATGCCGCAAGCAAACCTTTCGGCCTATTGCCCACAGTGAAGTGCTGCTTCTGGAGTGGCTCCGGACAGAATTCGCAGAGGAGACACATTCAATCCCGTTCTACAACAATATCAAATACATAGGCTGCAGCAAGCCCACGTGCCGTCTTTGCGAGTACTATTTCGCAGCGCACAACAGCGGCGTAAGGGTCCGGCCTCCTCACCGGAACGTGTACGCAAACTGGGTGGTACCTGATGTGTTGGTAGAGGGGGATACCTCGCAGTACAAAGTCAAGATGATCGATGCTGTCTTGAGAAAGATTCGTGAGGATGTTTTCCTGGCGCTGAGTGAAAAGGTTTCCGAGCGCAAGAGGTTCGACTCGGACACATATTCGTTCTGGCCGACGTATCAATCCACCACGGGCGTTTCATCCAATCTTGGCGGCCTGGCGTCCCTAGTTGAGGGTCTTTCTCTTGCCAGCGCAGAAAGTGCTTCTTATTTTGAAGCCACAAGAGATGTGCGCATTGGTGATGATGCTCAGAGCGTGGTTACTCAAGGTAACAATGACAGGGATTACGGTGACGACGATGACGATGGTGGAGGAACACTCCTATTTGCGGGTCGCAACACGCGGATTCAGACGTTGTCAAGGTAGAATAAGCGGTAAGCATAGCATTTCAACTCAAACACTACAAAGTGTCCAATTAGTAAAGCTTTGAAAGGTTCGGCTGGTGTGAACACGAGGCGGTAAAGATCCGGTTCATCGATTAGCACCAAGATACAGTCCATGGCTGGCAACAGTGACCAGTGTGAAACCATCTGGGTTTCGCTGCAAAATATTGATTGCATTGCATGTCTTCTTATCAATTCTCCAGTCATGTGACTAGTTGACGCCGCGCCTGAGCAAAAAATTCTCATCATGGCTGTTGGTTATCACTTCGAAGGGATATCCCAAGTCACATATACGTATGTGAAGGATCGTGTGGTTGTTGCTTGTATTATGGTGTATCTAGACTTTTGCATCCACCTGTTGACATACCCTTGTCAGGGAAGAGTGGATACTGCCGGGGTGGCGGTGCGTCACGTGAGCATCACGTGACCCACCTTTCCCGGAGCATACCTCCCATATACCAACAATGGCCTTCATTGCATGTTCTTGCACGGACCTGAATTGGTTACACTGCTGCGCCATCCCTCTCCAAGCCATGCCTTGGCAAGACGCAACTGTACCTAGTCAGCCCGTGTCAACTCCCGTCAAGCAGTTCCTAGCAAAGCTCCAATGGGGCAACGGGGCAACGGGGCCTCAGCTCATCACGATGACGAGGGCGCACCTTGTCTGAGAATACCTATGCTTCCCCACAAGTCAATCGATCGGCGATCTCCCGCTGACAGTTTGGGGCTAGACGACCCTCCCAGGGGCCGTTCATCTCTCCTCCTGTTCTCTTTGTGTGTCTCCTTTTCATTGGTGCGCTCGAGGGCATTGCGGAGCGCATATCCCGAACAGGAAAACAGCTACCCCTTGATGATGATGAACGCCGTTGACGTCACTAACCGGTCATTGCTACCGGAGATGTCATCCCTCTCTCCCGGTCCAGGTCCGTCCGTCGTCAGATCTTGTGGTTGCTGAGGTGCAAGTCCCGGTTTTCAACTCCAGCGCATTGACGGAGTCAGCTTTGTTGGTGAGATGATGATGGCTCAACGAATCAGCTCCCCCCCCCCCCCCCCCCTTGACAGGAGTCAATTGAGCCTTGGCGTTCAGCTCCAATAGCTCGTCATCCTGACTTCAGTTGTGGGAAGCACGTGTGACGAATGTCTTCCCTGTTTGCTCGTGTGCGCCACTAGGGTTTCCGATGCATCTTAGCCTGGAAATCCCATAGCCGAGAAGGGAGAATCCCCTACTTCGTTCCTCGTTCCTCGTTGCTCCTTGCTTTCAAAATCAGCCAGCTGTCCACTTACGTATCTTTTCTCTCCTCGGCGTACCTTTCCCCCTCGACTACCACACCTTTGATACCCAAATCACCTGCTTATTCTACTTGATTTACTCATCCGAACAATCTCCACGAGAATATTCCGTTCTCATACTCTGTCGGACACCTCATTGGATTCGCCAATTGCCGACGTATCAAACCGCCAAGATGATGTCCGCTAGACCCGTCGTTCGCTCGGTTCCTAGAGCATCGCGCGCCATCCGCGTTCCCCGCCAACAGCCCATCCGCTTCCAGTCCACCACAACCTCCTCATCAACAACAGGCAGCGCAGGCTCGGGTAGCTCCCATTTTGGAGCTGGCGTCGCCGGTGGTATCGCTGGTGCCGGTCTCTTCTTCGCCATCTATTCCTTCACTCCCGCGGGTCGCGCCGCCTCCAAGGTCAACAAGGCCGCGAAGGAGGCTGAGAAGAAATACACAGCTGCCGCCCAGAAGCTGCAGGAAAACACCCCTTCCCCCGACCAGGCCATCGACTACATTAAGCAGTTTGCTTACTCCTACGTCGCCTGGATCCCCGGCGGACGTTCCTACGTCGACTCTGCCTTCAATGACTTTGAGACCGTCCGCAAGAATCACAAGGAGGAGGCCGACGAGATTGTCAACGATGCTTACAAGCAGTTCCAGGAGGTCGCCAAGGCTGGCCTGAGCCTTGACGCCGTCCACAAGGCCTACGAAGTTCTGGCCGACATTTCCAAAAAGATCGCCAGCCTCGGTGGCGACGCCATTTCCGACATTGTCGACAACCACCCTCAGCTCAAGGAGAAGCTCGGCGGCAACGTTGACCAGCTCAAGGACATGGGAGCCAAGTATGGCCCCGAAGCCAAGAAGCAGGTCGACGAGACATGGAAGCAGGTCCAAGATGTTCTGGCCGGTGGCTTCACCGCCAGCAACTTTGAGAAGGCCCGCAAGGTCATAGAGGAGAAGGTCGAGCAGGTCCGCAAGCTCGGCGATGAGGCCTGGAAGAAGGCTTTCGAGGAGGCTAAGCCCTACCTCAACAAGAACCCCAAGGTTAAGGAGCTGGTCGAGCAGAACGTTGACGCCCTCAAGCAAGGCAACGCCAAGGAACTCTTCGAAAGGGCCAAGAAGGCCGTGGAGTCGGGTGACCTGGGGGGCCTAGAGAGCTACGTCGGCGACGCCGTCGACAAGGCCAAGTCCAAGGGCTCCAAGCTCGGCGAGAGCTTCGGCCTCGACCAGTACTTTAAGATGATTCCCGACGGCGACCAGATCATGCCCAAGCTGAAGCAGCTGCGCGAGGTTGCCGACAAGCACAAGGATGAGGGCGAGAGACTCTTGAAGGAGACGATTGAGGAGATCAAGAAGGTCCTCGAGAACAAAGCCCAAAAGGCCGAGGAGATCGCCGACAAGGCGAAGAAGGAGGCCAAATAGAGTAGCACGACCACGCATGCAGCATACATCTGATAGCCCCACGCAGGCTTCTCGAGGGCGGAGTAATGCCTATACAATACCTTAAAAGCCGTTTCCTTGTTCAAAGACAAATAAATTAATTCATCACTGTGTTATAACCAGCTCTGATGTCGTACGAGTCGCTGTCCATGTGAGATTATTATCGTTACCAATGTCGGCAGGGTTCTCAGTAGGGTGGTGGTCTTGAACCCAGCCCTGGACGGTTTAACGCCAGAGTCAAAACAGGCTTGAATGTTTGGTTGCCACTACAGGGAGATACCTGCTCCTTTAAGAAAATGAGCCTAAAGTACAATATTCTTCATGCCAGCACTGGTAATTATTATTGCTAAGAGAGAAACCCTACATAATAGAACAATATGGACAAACATGTTGTCAGGACGATAGATCCAATATGTTGATCAGCCTTCTACGTTGTGCAATGTAAAGTTCTAGATTCGTCTATTGATGCCCTGGGACAGAAACCGCTTATAAACAGCTGTTGCACATAAAAACGACGCCGTTAATTGCGTCGCAGCAACTAACGCCTTATACATCACTTTGTGACAACAGCCTGTTCTATATCGTTTCCCCTAAAGTTCCAAGTCCGGCGTAGGAGTTGCGGTAACAAAACCAGCAGGGCAGACAGCGAGTGCGGCTGACAAACGCATTTTGATGATTAGGAGAGGATATAAGCATATTAATATGTCATAGATGGTAGAGGAAGTGACGAATCGAGAATATTAACCGGCCTGGATTAGAGTTGCTATTTGGGTTGTGGTGTCTAATTAGTATCGTGCATGTTGTCCGTCTCAACGTGGCTTGGGTAGCTCAAATCTTTTCTGTTTTGATGTTTATAGCTATAATAACTATTCTTCAAGGCACCACAGAGGGGAGATCATGACTCCTGACATACTAAGCTGAGACGGCGTTTTTTTCTTGGGCTATTATGCTAAAGAGAATAATGGAGATGTTTGTTACCAAGCAGTGGTCGTTCTCTGCTGAGAGCCAGTGGCCTGTCTTCGCGCATTCTCCAGACGAGAAGTCAGTTCACTGAGATTATCCCGGATGACTCTGCTCGAATTTTCTGGTCTGTGATGAAAGGTGGCAGTGCTAGAAGCCTTGGGGAGGGTACGGCGGCATCGGTCTATGCACATGAAATGGAGAGACATCAACTATGAGTTGCGTAATTTTGGCCGCCATTTGATCTCACGTCTCTTAGGTTGGAAGGTAAGACGCCAGATTAATCCGGCAGATACAATCGTCTACCGTCGACATCAGATTGTCATTAAAAGATTGTGTTGCAAAATACGACAAGACTCATTATACAAGTTCCCGAAATTCAAGGACTTTGACTTGAGCCTCTACATCTATGAAGGCAACGGGAACTGTGACTACAGGTATACGAACATATACCTGTAGTCATAGTTCGGACGGCTAGTTTATGCTATAAGTTGACTGAAGCTGGCAGATACCTCGCCCGCCTATCACTGGGATCATTATAGAACTTTGAGGGAAGAAACAAAGGCTCCTAGCAATCTCCCAAAGGGCTTCTGGGCAGTTGTTTCTTGCCTCATGGTGCAACTTGGTGTCCTCTTTCTCAAGCTCTTCCGAACCCTCCACCAAAAGGCCTCGCCCTACCCTTGCTGGTATCGTCCCGATAGCTTCATGTCGGCTCCAGAAACAAACATTTCGCAACTACGTCGCGGACATAAAAGGTCTTGCTGAGGCGCAGTTGGTAAATGACAGCCGAGTAGATCCGTAGTTAACTTCTGGCATAAGCGAAGTACAGCCTACTATGTACAGCCTCGGCAGGCCAATTGCTAGGGATCCTAGCGATTTATATGCAAAGAGGAGGTGCAAGACCCATTCTCAATCGTGTCCAATAAACCGTAAAAGGAGGTAGGTTCATTTACCTTTTCAAGATCGTAATATAAATGGGCTATATCGACGTTCTTGGCCTGTTCAAACTGAGATATCCCGAGAAGTGGTCCGGTCTACCGCCTATTCGGCATTATGACAATTCGACATTAAGCCTATGGCGCGGTGTTCTTACTTGTTGACAGGTACTTCTTCAACTTGGACCTAATTTGCAAAGGATCGTGAAAGCCTTTGCTGTAGATTCATCTTCGATTTTAAGGTAGTTCGTTGTTAGTTTCCTCTTAGACCAGGCAAACTCCGTTACCCCATCTTCAAATATTAACTAAAGGATGGAAATTGACGTTTGCCGTGTCCCGGACATAAGAACTGAAGAACACGCTCCTTTGCTTGCATTGCTATCTAAACCTTCCTAATATAAAAGGTAATGCTTCTGGCACTAATGGAGAAATGGAGAAGCCGTTTCTGAATTAGTTCTTACCTATGCATCTCATATTTTACAACGTTGACTGGGAAGTATTATTTGCCGCCTAGGAGTGGCTTGCAATTGGGGGAAGCAAAAAACATCCAGAACACAGGCGGACCAGCGTCGCTATAATACTAGCTTACTTGCTGAATTGCTTGAGAACTGAATGACTCTGTTTGTTGGTTTCCTGCGATTGTTATTATTACGTTGCCTCGAGAACCCAGGGACAAAAGGGGCTGTTACTGGAGAAAAGCAAAGGTCAGTTTGTTGCTGAGGGACTAATGGATAGCCGCCGGCAGGATGCAAAAGTTGAGGGTGAACAGAGACAGAAATAGATGGTTTACTTTTGGGATTTAGTGATTTTTGGCTAAATCAAAACTTGGGCCTGTCGCTTTGCACTCTTCACATGTTTATACGTGCAAAGCCGATGGTCTTGTGAGGTACACGACCACTTCCTCTACCGCCTAACACGGGAGCACGCGTGACTGGCAGCTACTCTTCCCCTCAATTGACGTGCATGTACCTGCCGATCTCGTCCTTATAACCGCTTGGATCCCAGGATCAGCAAGTTTTCCCACCCAAAAGGTAGGGTTCTTTGGGAGCCATCACCGCTAAGGTACCATCAATACACCGCTATGCTCGGCTCCGAGATCCCCATTCGTCTTTCTTGGCCGGAGACCTAACCGAATGTCACAACTCAGATGCTACCCTGGGTCCCTGGCTGACTTGATGATTATGCTTCTTTCGCCTGGTACTAACCCGAGGGAACAATAGTCTCATACGCGCAACAACCAGAAGACTTCCTGATACTAGTCACCTACGTAATATGCGTTGACCCTTATCTCAGTAAGGCGTGTTGTAGGAGTATATTGCCAAGACGTACCATCGCCAAGACAGTGTGATCGAGCAATAGTGACGCCCATGAGCATCGGAAGATGGTCGACTTAAAAGGGACTCTGGCCTCAAGGCTCAATCGGCAATCCTACTAACCACGACAGTTAACTTGACTTTTCGAGATCCAAAGTCGCCATGCGTCCCGCATCCCTTGCTCTAGCCGCATCACTCTCTCTGGGTAGCGTAAATGCTGCTCTGAGTATTGTTCCCGGGGCAACCTGGACAGCTGTGAGTAATTGATCGTTGGGAAAGCCAAGATAACTCAGGCCTGACAATTGGTCCGCAGACAAACACCGGAGAACACGTACAGGCCCATGGAGCCGGCATCATGTAGGTTTTCAACAAGACCTAGAACCCCTGATGCGTAGATAACGGTGGAGGAAAATACGCGTCTGTTAGATTCAATAGAGGCTGATCGTGAGTAGCGAGGAGAATGGCGTTTACTATATGATTGGCGAAGAAAAGACCGACGGCGCGTTGTTCCAGGCTGTCAACTGTTACTCATCAACCAACTTGGTCGAATGGAGCTTCGAAGGACGTCTTCTGACCCGCACTGAAGAAGCTGGCGATCTCGGCCCCAACCGTATCATCGAGCGGCCCAAGGTTACCAAGAACGATGTTACTGGCAAATACGTCCTCCATCTCCACGTTGACTCGTCAGACTACAAGGATGCGCGTGTCGGTGTCGCGACAGGCGACACTGTCTGCGGCGAGTATGAGTACATCCGGAGCTTCCGTCCCTTTGGCTTCCAGAGCCGTGACATTGGTATCTTCAAAGACGATGATGGCGCTGGTTATCTCTTATCCGAGGACGTAAGCAACAATTCGCTTGAGCAGTAGATTCGAGACACTAACGTTACGCCAGCGCGAGTACGGAACCCGTATCATCAAGCTTACAGAGGACTATCTGGATGTTGCTGAGGTGACTTTCGGTTGGGAGTATTTCGCCGAGTCGCCCGCCCTCGTCAAGCGCAATGGCACATATTTCATTTTCGGCTCTCACCTCACAGGCTGGAACCCCAACGACAACGTAAACTCTTCGTGCTTAGATTGACGAGGACTCCAGCTAATAGCTCCATAGGTCTACAGCCACGCCACATCCCTTTCCGGCCCCTGGTCTGAGTGGACCGAGTTTGCTCCCGTCGGTTCTACCACCTATAGAAGTCAAGTCAGCTTCGTCCTCCCGTTAGGCACAGACAAGGCCATCTACATGGGAGACAGATGGCACTCGACGAACCTTGCCGCAAGTACCTACATCTGGCTTCCTCTGCAGATCGACGGCACCACTGCAAAGCTCGACTGGCATGACTCTTGGAATGTGGATGTCGAGGCAGGCGCCTGGTCTGAGTCGACAGTCACAACCGAGATTGAAGGGGAGACCGCCGAGCTGACCAACGGAGCTCGCGTTGTCGCCTGCTCGCAGTGCAGCGGATCATCGGCAGCGGGATACCTGGGCGGAGATATTGATGGGACCGCCACCTTCAACTTCAGCGTTGCCCAGGCCGACCGTGTAACGCTGATTGTCAACCACAAGAACGGCGACATGGCTTCTCGATATGCTGCGGTGTCAGTCAACGGCAAGGAACAGTCTGTAGCTTTTCTGTCCACGTCTCATCTGTCTACCACGGGGAGCAGCGCTATTCATGTCGATGTCCAGCAGGGTCAGAACACCGTGATCTTCTCGAGATCTGAAGGCTGGGGCCCGGATGTTGACCAGCTCGTTGTTCCCAGTGCCTGAATGAAGAGTGAAAACATACCGCGAAGTTGATAGTTGAGGCAGTGATACATAGTATTTGAGTTAAGCTCACACCTCTTGTACCGTTTCTCCAGTGCACTGAATGAATGCTAATCAGAAATTCTGAACCGTATATTTTTGCTTGATTGGAAGTTAACACAAGTCTAAATCTTGAAAGATGAGTTGTATGCACGTCGTCCGCTTTGACAATGGCCAGCGACGATAACAGCAGCGAGTTTGACGCGAGACCAACTGAAGCCAGAAGAATTTACGGAGTCTTACCCCGTTTTGTTTTACCGATTCCAGCTTTTATTCCTCCATTGCGAGAAACTACGCAAGATACCGATAGGGAGAGCTTCCTGCGCGACTGGATGAATGTAGATTCGTCGTCTTCCAGAAACAAAATCTTCTTTGAGGGAGTCATGGAGTAGACTACTTGCCCCAGTAGTTTATCAGTGGACATCTAGATAAGAGCCTGAATAGTAATTAGACTTCTGTTAAGTTAATATATGTGATTGGGGGTGGTTGACTGTCAGAGCATCGTCAAGGACAAAGAACGATTCGTGTCTTCACGCTTAGGCTTAAGTCCACCTAACCGTGATATAGGAGCACTAGATTGAACATGGGTGAGCCCGAACCACCTGGAAAGGTGCTTTAGTATGCATCAAGAAAATAAGCCAGACCATTGAATAAGTTGTTTGTCTCATTAGCGTCATGGACCTCATGTTTTGATGGGAGAAGCGTCGTCAACACAGCCTAAGACCTTGACGAATATTCACCCAACTTTGAATTGTCACATATCAGTTGCAGAAAAAGACTAACTGCATCATGCTAGGAGCAAACTATAATCTTCCGAGAAGATTTTTGCTTCTCAATTCACCTCAAATAGCCAAACATCTTATCGCGGAGGGCACAGTCAGGTCAGTCGCTTGGATTCCGTCCGCGGGAAACGCGTTGACCTCGGGCAGCACTGTTCCCACGTAGCCCCGCCGCCCGCGGAAAAGTCCTTAAGGCCAGTCTCCCATCTAGATAAAAAGGTCTCGGACGGAGTCGTTTCAACCGAGAGCAATTCAATCACATCTCGTCTGCTGCATTCACCTACAAATTAGTATCCTTTTTGTTGATTTTCAGTGATGGGGTCCGACATCACCGCCGCCTTCTGGGCGAAAACCGACAAGTACCTGATGTCCACGGGTGTCCCCTATTCTCCCATCATCATAACAAAGGCAAAAGGCACGAAGCTCTACGATGATGGGGGACGCCAGATGTTGGATTTTACATCCGGCCAGATGAGCTCTCTTCTGGGCCACTCTCACCCGGAAATCGTCGAGGTCGTTCAGAAATACGTTGCCGAGCTGGATCATCTGCTCAGCAACATGATCACGCAGCCAGTTGCAGATCTTGCGGAGAGGTTAGGCAAACTGCTCCCCGCCCCCCTTGAGAAGGTGAGTTCTCATCCTGCGCAGCACCATCAGCGACGGAACAGCAGTTAACTCTCTTCTTGTAGTCCTTCTTCTTGAACACGGGCTCCGAGACAACAGAGGCAGCAATCAAGATGGCCAAGCTCCACACCGGGAAGTTCGAAATCGTCGCCATGTCGGCAAGCTACCACGGCCTCACCCAGGGTTCCGGCTCCGCTACCTATTCCGCCGGTCGAAAGAACGGCGGGCCGGCCATGCCCGGCCAACTCGCCTTCCCCGCGCCATACGCCTATCGCTCGGTCTTCCGGAAGCCCGATGGCTCCTACGACTGGGAGACCGAGATGGACTTCGGATGGGCCATGATTGACAGACAGAGCGTCGGATCCCTGGCGGCTTTCATAATGGAGCCCATCCTGTCCACCGGTGGAATCCTCGACCTCCCCAAAGGTTATCTCAAGCGCCTCAGCGAGGAGTGCAAGAAGCGCGGCATGCTGCTCATCCTTGACGAGGCGCAAACAGGCGTCGGCCGCACTGGTAAGATGTTCGCCTTTGAGCACGACGGCATCGTGCCCGACATCCTCGCCCTGTCAAAGACGCTCGGCTGCGGCCTGCCTTTGGCCTCGGTCAGCACCACCGCCAAAGTCGCGCAGGGATGTAAAGAGGCCGGTTTCCTGTGGCTGACGACGCATCTCAACGACCCTCTCACTGCCGCGGTCGGCAACAAAGTGCTCGAGATAGTCGTGCGCGACAATATCTGCCAAAAGGCCACGGAGTGCGGTGAGCAGCTGCGCGCCGGTCTGCTGAAGCTCCAGGAGAAGTACTGGTGCATCGGCGACGTCCGCGGACGCGGCCTTTTGCAGGGCATCGAGATCATCTCCGACGCCAAGACGAAGGCGCCTGGGCCGGACCTCGGCCAGGCCGTCTCTGATCGAGCGATGGAGTTGGGTCTCTCCTGTAACGTTGTCAACTTGCCGGGAATGGGCGGCGTGTTTCGGTTGGCGCCTCCGGTCACGGTGACTGCAGATGAGATCGAGGAGGGGCTGAGGTTACTGGATGAGGCATTCGGCTACGTTTTGGCGCAACGTGAAAAGACGGTCCCTATTGTCTGAGGAATCTTGAGGTTTTTGCCCCTATGCAAGGAAAGACATTCCCGATGTGAGTTGATGCTGTAGGGAAAAGAAGCAGGGATGCGGCCCACTTTCATCCCCCAATCGTTATGCTCTTGATCTTCTATGTCAGCAACGTGATTTTGAAAATTTCATGAAACCTACAGACACCTGACCTGGTCTTGAATTCTTATATACAAATCTTGTTGCCTATATTTGCATGACTAACTACTCTGAATTTGCCACAATGTGAGGAAGTCCCAGAATCTCTGTCCGGGGGCAGGGGTCCGGAGGGGCCGTTCCGGCGCGGAGGGTTGGAGCCCTATCTGGAAACTGACATATGGTCCAACTCTCCCCGGTACAGACATCGTCCTACAACCAGCGGCGGACATAGCTCAGTTGGGAGAGCGTCAGACTGAAGTTAACTTCAATCACTTAATCTGAAGGTCGTGTGTTCAATCCACACTGGCCGCATGGTATACCTTTTGAGGGTTTCATTACCTTATCACTTTTGCTTTTCCATTAGAGAGTTTGTTTAGAGGATGTTACTTCTCTCGCAAGCTTGACTGAACCTAACTAGGACACATACAGTGGGGGTAGCAAAAGTCCAGCCGAGTGAATTCCCAACTCACATCGCGATTTTTCACACACGTCAAGTCAGCACTTACTTACTTTTTTTTACCCCTTTACAATATCCCTCGTCAAGGCTGGTATACTAAATACTAACTAACTAAGTATATAGATTGATAAAGCTGCTTTCTCTTAATACAAATAAATCCATATCACTTTACCATTCATTCATTGTATGTTCAATACCATTGGTTTTCAAACTCAAAGAAGTTGACTTTGCAGGGCTGGATTGGGTGATTCTGGCATCTAGCGGAACTTTTGCTTACCCACTCCACTCACTGTACACACACACCACTAACTTTCGCCCATGTCACTCACTCATGCTGCCGTAGCATACATACAACATATACATACATACATACATACATACATACACTTTAAGCTTTTCCAGCACTTCCACAGATGTCGATCCACCGCTCAACTTCCTCCTGCAGAATGTTCATACCGTCTTCCATCAATTGCGAAAACGGCTTATTGACGTTCTCCTGTAGGTGGGTGTTCCAGACCTCGAGTAGTAGCTTGTTCACGTTCAGTTTGATGGCGCCATTGTCGATGCATCGCTTCATAATATCCGCACTGAAGCCATTGGTGCCGTGTAACGCCATCAAGACCCGGCTGTTGACCTGCTTATTGATGTTCACCAGCCGTTCGTAGTCCAGCTCAGGGCCCTTGGGGCCATAGCCCCCGTGGATGTTGCCGATGCTAGGCGCCAGGAGGTCGATCTCGGCGCCGATGAAGTCCTCAACCTCCTCCGGGGTTGTAAACAGAGCTGGGTTCTGTTAGGTCACCGGACGTGCGATCGCGTTTCACATATCTCACCCTCCAAGTCTCCGGTATCTGCGATACCATCCTCACCACCATTGATACGACCGCTCTCGGCCTCCACGGCGATGCCGTGGTCGTGGCAGACCCTGGTTAGCACCTTGGTCTTGGCAAGATTCTCCTCGTGATCGTAGTGACTCATGTCCACCATGATGGAGTCGAACGGCATTGTCGCTGCGATTTCCCGGATGTCCTCCTCATCTTGGGCGTGATCGAGATGCAGCGCAATGGGGACCTTGGCTGACTTGATGGCTGCGGCGACAGCCCATGGCAGAGTTGGAAGCTGCTTAACCGTTGAGGGAAAAAGGAGGATGAGCATCGGCGACTTCTTGGCTTCCGCTGCCCTTACGTAGGCAGTCAGATGCTCAATGTTATACCTGATAATTCTTTAGCCCTGGATAGCGATTGAAGCTTCCACTTACATACGCGACAGCGCCAAGAACTCCATATTTGCCTTCGGTTGCAGTCTGGAGAATCTGCAGGGTGCGATTTCGCGACTTCTTCTCGGACCAGGATGTCATTCTAGGGACTTAATCGAGCACTCGCCCGAGGGACAAGCGAGTAGATGAAAAGTATATAAAGTATTAGTTAGGTCTTATAACATATGGAAGGTTGGCCTTTTTATGTGTAGCAGCTTGTTGTTGTCGCTGTGATGAGGCTATTGTTGTATGTACCACATGCCCCGCGGCCCATCGCTGAGAACCCCGCAGCCGAAGACGTTTTCTATTACCTGAGGGGGGGGGGGGGGGGGGGGGGGGAACGGTGGAAGTATATCCGTAAATCGGAGCTACCGTCCTCTTATCTTTTCTTTTACCCTCGGGTGTTCCAAGGATGGCCGAGGATAGTAATGAACCCTGGTCCGCTACTGACGGTAACACTGAAAAGAGACCATCAACGTAGAGCCATCAACGTGCAACGACCTAGGCGGCGGTCACGCAGGCGAGGGCAGCAGTAGAACCAGATGAATCAGTAATTGGCTACATATTATGATGCATCATTCATTGAATAATACTTAGCCGCGAGAAAGGCGATTGTAAGACTCAAGAGACACAACGTGACAACCCAGCAGGGATTATAGAAGTTCGGCAAAACGGCACATTCGGGTTCAGCGCGTGTTTAGCGGGCACATACATGGCCTGGTTTTCGCATTTGAGACCGGCATTAACGATGAATGATTTTCGTGGGAGAAGCCACTCAAAACCCCGTCACCGAAGATTATTGAGGCTCAAGATTGTAGGCGCATCTCCAGGCAATCTTTGGACTGTGTAGAAAGTCATTCATGCTCTCCCTGTCACCCAAGGCGGGCGTAAGAAATACCACCCTGTCTCTTCACAGCCGCAGGTGCCTGTGGCTCATCTTGCTCAGGTGATATGGTATCTGACCAACAGATTAGCGCCGCTGATCCTCCTGCAGGCTGCCTATGCAACACCCAATCCAAGGTGATACTTCTGAAGGCTTGGTCCCGTAGCTTGTTCGCAGAAGCTAGGGGTATTGAGGCTGGTGAGCAATAATCATGCAGCCTGGTCGGCAAGTCACGCAGACACGCGCATGGGTTCGTTCGGTGACCTTAAGGGTGGCTACATAAGCAGGCAGACAGGCGGCCGACTAATGACTGCGTTGGCAATTCCATGGGCACAGCGCGTGCTCTCATGGAACCGGCCTATTTAGATGTTACTTTCTCCGCCTATGTCTGTTGTGTAAACGAGCAAAAAGTTGCCCGAGAACCCTGGAAGCAATGAGGAGCCATGTCGGAATTTAAGAACTGGACGCAGGAGACCGAGATGGCAGTGCTCAGTGAAGTAGCCGCGGCTCAGAACGATAGCCCCGAGCGCGTCGAACCGCGCCATTCGCTCCCTGCCCAGCCCTCAGAGAAGACGCACATCAACAGTCCCGAGTCTCCTCGCCCGTCAAGCCCAACGCCGCACTGGAACCGTCTTCCGGGCTTTGCACACATTGACGGTGATGTCAACGGCCGTGGGTACAACGAGACGTTGGTCGACATCGTTTGCGTGCCGTGCCCAGGTGCTGATCCTGTCGAGACATGGGCCCGCGATCCGCTGCCGGAGGGTTACTTCGGGCGGCCCAGCGATGTATCGATAAGTGCGGTAAAGGAACTTGCGGGCGCATCCATCTTGTCGCCCACGATCAACCGACACCTCCCGATGGCGACCCATCTTTGGGTAAGGCAAGGGATCCGGAAGGAAGTCAGCGAGGCGCGCGTGTTGCTCTACCGCCACCGAGAGTTGGTTGAGGGTATGACATTGGACGACCTCGCACTGGACCTCATCGAGCAGGTCTGGAACGTACGATATGGCAACGTGAGTGCCCCCCGTTTGAACCAAAGCGAGAGGAGACCCGAAACTGACTGTACTTCAGCAACGCTCGCGCCCCTTGTTCTTTATCGCGCACAGCGTTGGCGGGCTCGTTGTCAAGCTGGCGCTGCTGCATGCCTCCAGAACCGAGCGATACAAACCTTTCATGTATAACTGCCATGGCGTCTCATTCTTCGGTGAGTTGGACCTCTTTCTCGACGCCCAGCCTTGCCGATGTCTTGTCTAACTGTTAACCAGCGACTCCGCATAGGGGCTCGAGTTACCTGTCAATGAAACATTTGGAGGATAGCATCCGTCGTCTCCTTCGGCTTCAAAGGCCCTTGCCACGCTCTATCTCTGACTATCTCAGATTAGGCCATAAGCCCCTTCTAAAAATGCATGAAGAATTCTCGACCATCGCCAGTGAGCTCAGGATTTGGACCTTCTATGAGACCATCGACTCCCAGCTGTCAGGCTCCGGTTCCACAAGTCGAGGGCGCGCCAAGGAAGTCCGTTTTGGCGCCCCCCTCGCCTCCATCAAATCATCAATGGTTGGTGTGCGGCAGGAGCATGTCTTCTCCTTGGACAGCGAGCATAGCAATTGCGCTTCGTTCGGCGTGGGGAACACGGAGACTATGAATACCTATCTACAAGAGCTCGCTTTTGCTGTGCAGAGGGCAATGGAACTGAGCTCCCAGTACATTCACACGCCCTTGAATCTCAAGAAACACGTAAAAGTCGAAATCATCGGCTTCTACGAAGACCCGGATGCCGAGATGGAGTCTGCCATACGCCTTTACTTCACCAAGCTTCATCTTCAAAAGTTCCTGGAGCAAGGTCCCGAGCGATGTCTTGAACAACGACTGCAGAAGACAGCATTGAGGCCGCACTCCGACCCGGATCCACCGCACCCGACCCAAGATCCGCATAAGAGCAACAAAGGCATCGGGATCCTGTCCAGTTTCCAAGAGCTCGGACAGAAGGTTTGGCAAGGTCACTCAGACTCCCCAAGCCGGCCCAAGACCCCCGATTCAGAAAGTCAAGGCTCACCGGGAATCATGGTGACCCGTCCTTCCGCAGTGGAGGGCTCGCATTCTATGCCTGTTGAGACCATTCGAAGAATGCAAAGCCTGAAGGTGCCACCTCTCTCCCCGCCTGGGTTCAATCGTCCATCGAGCCGTAGTAGCAACGCCGGAAGCACGAGGTCAGACCCTACCGACCTGGAGTTATCACCAAAGGCCATGTATCCGGAATCGTTGCCAGTGATGGGCGTGGGGAAAAGCTATTCGGAGCCGTTTTCCAGGCGTCAAGATCGACTTTCGCGAGGATCGGCGCTCGACGACCTGACGGCGGGATTCTCGAGACCTGATCCGGCCAGCAGAAGGTTTATGTGGATTCATACGCCATTCACGAACCCATCATGGGTGAAGGTGAGATCAGTCTCCTTGGTGCGGCTGTTGGGTGTAGTAATGCTGATGTGGATCAGGATATTCTCGGAGTCCTGGCGAACCCCCATGACCCAAGCTTCATAAAGCTTTCCAACAACGACAATTGGGCTTCGAAGCATGTCATAGGGAGGCATTCTCAATCCCAGGCCCCTTTCGTCAAGCCATCCTGCAACTACATACCCCCTGGATCAAGTGAGACTTTTATGGATAAAATGAACAAATATCAAAAGCTAACTCCCCGGCCAGCTCCATCGCCTCATCCATCACCAAACCTGTCTGGCCGTACTATCTCTGGCAGTGGCTCTTCGTCGGGCTATCTCTACATGTACCTCCCGTTCCTTCATTTCGACACATATATTGATATCCTCCATCGGCGCAACTTTATCAAGCGCCGCATGCAACATGGGCGTGCTCGTCCCGTCCCTTCCGATGTGGCAGAACTGGATTCTCCAGAACTTAGGATGATATGGGAGTACATCGGATATGATCCACCACTCAACTATCGTCGTACTCTAGACCAGTTTGCCTACCCATCGTTGAGGGACACATGGGCCCGAGACGATGATCAGATGCTGTACAAGCTGACGAAGGACCGCACTCCAAACGTGATGGATCGAGATCAGCTCATGCTGCAGAGGGGACCGACGAGCGGTTCAACGTGGAGTCCTGGGGAAAAAGTGAGCCCCTCAAATACAGGCCTCTTGGAGGAGGATACCTTGGATACAGACGACGAAGAGACCGACCTGGACGAGACCATCAAGGATGGAAAGGTCTTAATGGTTGATCAGTTATGGCTATGGGCCATCGATACGAGTGAGTCCCTTTGCCCCTTGTGCAGGGAAGCATATCATGCCAACATTTATCTCCAGCAACATTGTCGACATTCTTCAACCGCAGAGAGTCGAAGCGAAAAGAAGGACCTCTATTTCAGCAATCGGACCTCAGAAATAGTGTTTACAACGAACTTAACGGAGATTTGACAGGGCGTTGCGAGAACGCGTTGGACCTAGCAGCGTTTATCGTACTCCATGCGATCACCGCTTTGCTGGATCGGGCCTCGCACCCAGACCTGGAGATATTCAGAATCTTCGAAGAGGCCATCAGCATGCTGGCGAGTAATCCCTATTCCAGCTGCTTGCGTGCCCGCGGACTAACACTGAACAGACCGAACGCATGACTTCCTCCCTGAAGCGCTTCCGTATGCAAACGTTCAAGGATGTGAGCGGCTCCGACTCGGACTCGGACGGCAACAGGCCCGAGTCCATCAAGAAGCGCCACAAGCGAGAGCTTGAGGAAGCCGAACGCGAGAATCGTGAAAACACTTCGGCTCTCATGGAGCTTCGCGACATGGAGGATGAGCTCAAGTCTCTGGTGAAGCTGTTCGAGGCCCAGGAGGTCGTCGTCCGGAACATGAAGTCCATCTTCGAGGGGGAGGATACTAAGCACTTGACCCGACACGGCCTGATGTATCTCGAAGAGGCGCTGAGCAAGGTGGACGGGTACAAGAGCCAGACGGTGGAGATGCTTAAGCGTGTTGACACGACGAGGACTGATGTGAGTTCCGATTGCAACCGGGAAAACGAACGGGTTTGTTTTTGGCTTCGAGCGACATTAACTAACAGTCACTCTCATGTCTAGTATGAAAAACTTCTCGAGATGGTCCAACGCAAGGCCCAAGTCGACGAAGTCCGCTGGTCCCGTCTCCAGACCGAGCTGGCATCCTCACAAAACCTCTCCGTCATGATCTTCACCACCTTCACCGTCATCTTCCTCCCCCTGTCCTTTTTCAGCAGCCTTTTCGGCATGAACACCGTCGAGTGGGACAGACAGCTCCCGACAATCGGGTTCATCGGCGCCGTCTCGCTGCCCGCGTCTGCCGTTATCATCTCCGCGGCCCTCGTCGCGGCATTCAGCAGCCGCGTGCAGGGCTTCGTCAGGACCGGGTACAAGGGCGGGAAGAATGTGCTCCAGGCCTTGGGATCGGCAGTCATGGAGTTCATGCCGCGCAGGAAGCAGGAGAAGAGGCGCGTCAACAAGGCGGAGAGGGAAGAGAGAAGGACGAGGAAAATGGATCGCGGGTATGACTTCTGGCAGAATGTCAGGAGGGAGAGGGCAAGTGAGTATCGTATCCCGGAGGTAAACCGTCACAGAACGAGAACATAGCATCGCGAACGTCATCCAACGAAGGCCGGTGTCAGGTCTCAACAATACATTACTATTATATCATTAAATCGTTAGAGTAAATGACCCCTCGTCTTACTCGCTGGGCACGCGCCACTCCCTATCGCTGTTGACTTGGCTATGCTAGCGCGGACATCCCAATTTTGCCGTTCCGACCTTCAGCAAGCAGACCCCAGAGGTGATCTTCCCACTCTTGAAAGTGCTGGCAGCAATGCTCTGAGTGATAGTGAACGTGTCGGTCTTTGTTTCTCCGGAATCCTTGTTTCGTTTGCAATATTGGTTCGCGTTCGGGCATTTCGCCTCTCCGAGTTGGCACTGCGGTACACAAACCGTTACCTTCTTCCCTAGATTGCCATCGGAGCACGTGAGGCGAACAGGCTTACACACGCCACCACCTGGACAGGGGTTGCCGTCGTTGAGGTCGCAGAGTGTTGGTACAACCTGCTTACTGGTCTTCCCTTGCGCATTAGGCAGTCCGTCTTGATTGTATGGATCAGGGTCAACGGTGTACGTTGTCCCTGCCTCCGGTGCAGGGACCCGGATGCCTGCGGCCCTGGGGGGCGATTTCGGCGTCGTGCCGTTGCGGGAGGTGTATCCAGTCGAGCCCTCGACGCAAAGACTCTCGTCGTCGAACGCCGCACGGGCAGCGTCTCTCCAGAGAGCTGTCATGTTGTACACGTTATCTAGAGTATAGTAGAGCCGGCAGTCTGCAGCTACGTAGCGGAACTGGAGTGGAGTCTTGGTGTCATCTTCGCGAAGCTGGTCCCGCAAGTTGAACGCGGCGAAGTTGATGAACATGCCACTCTCACGGACAGCGGGCAGACGAGACGCCGCAGTTTCGTTTTTCTCGCTAGCCCATTCGAGTTTCTCATCCAATAAGTCGCTCGAGTAAAGACGGGCGCCGCGAGTGCCGCCTACCGCTTGCATTGGGCCCGGCTTCGGCGCGCCGCCAACGACGATTGTGCGGGCTTTGGCTTCGGTCGTGGCCATCTCCACAAAGAGGGCGCACGCGGAAGAACAAGAGCCATCGGTAAGCTATGTCTTGGGTTTAGTCTCCAACCATCAAGACAACGCTGCGCATAGGTGGACTCACAATAACAACGTTGCCAGGGCTCCAAGGTGCGGGTTCCCCAACATCAGCATTGTCGATGTATCGATTCATCAGCCAGCCATCGAAAGCTGCCTCATGGAATGTGGGATTCGCAAGGTCGTAGCGTTCCTACACTTCCGAGTTAGCTCAATAGCCCTTCTTACTGCGTATGGGTAACGGGGTTGCGAACCACTCGGGTGAAGTCATCGCCGTTGTACGTTAGCGGCCCCTGGTACTCCTCCCACGAAGAGTAGTTTCTACCCGTCTCTGCGTTCAGCCGCGTGACAATGACCCATTCGTCTGCCACCAGGCTCAACTTGTCGTCTGACTCTTCGTCGGCAGACTCTTCATCGGTTCCCGTCGGCAGATCCTGCCATGCTCTCGTCGACGCCGAGCCAAGGACGTTCCCCAGCTCGTGGCTGCGCCGCCGGCTCCCGGCGAAAGGCTCAATGCCCGGAAACAATGTCCGCAGAAGGAGGAAAGCAAGGCCGCTAGAGCCGCCGTAGTTCCCCGAAAGGTCGATCACGAGGCGGGAGAGGCTTTTGTTCTGCGCGCCCGAGACGAACTCGTTCAAGGCGTCGCTGAAGTTGCCAATGTCCGCTCCGTACTGGTCGAAATGCGGGATACTCAGAACCGCGGTCGAGATGTCTTCGTAAAAGTAGCCCGTCACGACGCCGCCGTCGCCGGCGGCATCCAACCGCGCCTGCACTACATCGGGGTTGCTGGGGAAGGCATGCTGACTATCCTCGAAGAAGCTAGGGCTCCCCTCCTCTTCATCCGGGGTACTTTCAATGACCTCCGAGTCGTCTTGGGCATGACCAGCAAACGCCGGCGGCACTGGCACTTCGTCATATGAGGCGGGCAAGAGGCCGAGCACAAAGTAGTTGTAAAAGTCGCCGCCTGTCGTCAACGGCCCGCTGAACTCGGGGTTATTGTAGATGGCGAGCCAGGAGGTTTCTACGTCGTCAAGGTCTGGGTTTTCATAGGTGAAGTTGAGGGAGTCGCCCGGGTAGAATGTGGCGCTGCCGGAGAAGATGTTCAGTGCCCCCTGAATATCTTGTATAGGGCTTCCCATGATTTGATTCCAGTCTGCGTGTGGCTCGAGCATGCCTACCGAGTTAAGGGCAGCAAAACGTGTCAAGAATTCGACTGACGGCTCGCCGTTGATGTGGGAGATGGCTGAAATCTCAGTACCATTGTCTCGATGATCTATAACATCGCCTGGTGGTACCATGTCAGTGTCTTGTTTGACCAATTGAGCAACGGAAAGCTTACTCTCGAAATAGACCTTGGGGGTCTCCTTGCCATCGGTTGATGCTGTGACGAGAGAAAAGGGACTGGCAAAGGAGAATGCCGAGAGAATACCAGAGGAAAGGTCAACATGGGCGTCATGCACCGAATAAACCAGGTACTGCAGGTCAGCCTCGAAATCGTACTGGTTTTTGTAGACACCAGATGTGACGTTTTGCTTGAGATTGCTTAGCCCCTGGACAAGGTCGAATGCCGGCTGCTGATATCCTTGCGGAGGATTCTTGAGATATGCCAACGTGCTCTGGAATTGCATCGTGGTATTGTAGTATTCGATGAATCGGAGGGCGACAGCGTCGTTATAGGGCACGCTTGTCAAGCAAAGATAGGCGTCGGACGCGTAGAAAATACGATATCCTATCAAACGCGGTGCAATCAGCATGCAAAGTCATAACAGTTTTCGTTCATCCAGCTCACCCTCATTGACAGCATCGATAATCTCGCCACAAATGTTTTCCGGACGCGTAGACTCTTCTGACCCATCTTGCCGGCGCGACATGGGCTTCGCACTTCGAGATGGCCGAGCCAGAGCTCCTCCAAGCCACACACACAGCAACACGACGGAGTAACCGAATAACATCGTGTAAGTTTCGAGGGGGAAAACGATGGATCAAGCAACGGCGCACAATGACCTTGGAGGCTACTCTGAAGTCTTCGCCGAGTGGCGAGGCTGGTCTTTACATCTTGAGAAACACGCCTTCCACTCGACAACGACTAAATAAAAGCAACGAAATGCCGATACGGGTACGGCGCTTGCAGGATAAGATTGGATTCAGCCTCACTCCCTTGGCGGGCAAGCAATGGCACGAGGCCCATGTAGAGAAGCCTGATGACCAGGATTTTGGGTCGGACATTGAGGCTGCAGGAACATCGGTGCGACCCAGTTGGCGCGTACGAAGACCCAGAACTGCACGAATTCATTACTCTCTCGGGTGGGCCCCTTTTTACTTACCGGTCTGGGATACAACATCACTTGCTGGGGCAACTTGGTTGAGACTCTGGTTTCTAGTCTTTTCAGATGTCTTTCAAAAGTTGTCTCTCGTGTGACCGTTTGAATTTGTGGTATGAGCCATCCGATACGCAGCGTATTCCAGACGACAGGGCACATTCATTCCATGGCTTCGGGCCGTCGCCATAGTTTGTGGAGGACCTGCTTCTAGGGCTGGGTGGCTTGTCATGTGGTCACAACATGGCATGTCATACCATGTCTGACGACTAGGTACGAGGGCCAAGGCCTAAGACTGAAGGATGCGAGCTTGAGCTGCATGTCAGCACTCTAGCTTACTGTGGCGGTGATTTCGGCGGATGAGCGAGACAGTTGATAGGTGGGTTTGCTTTTGTTATATCGCAGCCCCTGCAAGTGCATGATTTACTCCATGAATTGCCGCTAAACACTCGGGCAATATTACTCAAGGTACCAGTAGAAGGCGATCCCTTATAGGACCGCACAGTCTGGCAATATTACGAGATTCCCGAAAGGTGAGTTATTTAAAATAGTTCATGCGGCCTCGCTAGGCAGACGTGAAAGGCCTGCACCGTTGTTGCGCCTATGGCGTTAATGAGACCAGGGTAGTGTCAGTTACGACGATAAGTGTAAGGCTCCTCGAGACAGTTAAGATTGGCCCCGGAGTGGTGGTATCGTTGCGGCTCATGCCAACCCGAGGTTGATCAATCATCAACCGTTTGTTCGATAATCCTGAGGCCGGAAGGGCGCTGTCTGGGTTGAGACTTGAGCCTCTGCGTTTCGTTTGGGCCAAGGTGCAACCGCTGCGTCATCTTTTTTGTTCTCTCGAGGACCTCAAAACATGGACGACCCCAAAGGAGAGGGAGGACGCATACCCCTGAGAGAGTTATTCGAGAAACGGTCTGATATGCATTCGGCATTGAGCGAACAGCACGAGCCAGGCGCGGATATATGGCAGCCGTTATGGGACTGGGTGTTTGCGAACGACATCTTCCGGAGCTGGCAGCGGAACGACTACACATGGACGCTGCGCTGCGTCGGGGGACCAGGGTCAGGGAAGGTAATTACGCAGTTATTTCCCCCTCCATCCACCGTGTTTGCATGGTGTTGCAGGTGTTTGTATGCTAGTCATAGGCCCTCAAGATCGTCTCATGGGGTTTCGGATGCCAAGACACTGGTTGGCGATGCATCATGCCGGTGAGAGTCATGCACTGATTCGACTTAATTCAGACGACCTTGTCCGCGATGGTAGCCGAATGGCTGAGAAGCCAATACACCGGGAACAAGGACGCCGTGGCCGCGGTATTTGTGCGGGAGGACGTGGTCGCGGCCGGTACCGCATTTGTGGAAGACGTTCTGACGAGCGTGTTCCACCAACTGTGCATCCGGTGTGCCGAGGTAGACGAGGACGAAGCGTATGTCGCAAAGTATCGACTTTACCTCGACGCTAGAAAGCACGGCCATCGCGACATGTTCCGGATCGAACTCATTCGAGATGCCCTGCTATCGCGTCTGAGCATGCTCGATCGTGCGTTCCTCGTCATTGACGACTTTGACAGGTGCAGTCCGGCAGTTGACTTGTTCCTTGAGAACGAGTTGGCCCTCTTGGCAAGGGGGTCGCGGCTCAAGGTGCTCATAACCTCTCGCGTCTCATGCCTCAAGACGGTGCCAACTTGGCAGTACTGTGACGCATGCGACGACGAGGAGGTCGCCATGTACCTCTCAGTGTACTGGCGATGTGAGAGCTGCAGGAAGAAAGCAAAGCCGGCTCACATCCTCTGCCAGCGCTGCAGAGACGCAGGCAGGACTTGCATCAACTGGTAAGCAGCAAAGCAAGCCGGTCTCTTTACATGATTCAATACCTGAGATTTTCTGTTGTAAATCAACTTTTCCTTTGTGCGTCTGGTGTCTAGCAACTATTAGTCGCGGCTCGAGTCAACCATGACTAACATGCGAGCCGAATACGAAGCGGAGAAGCCGCAGACTTCGTCCAACCTTTCGACCATGTTGACCTCGAGATCGATTCAGCTACGCAGCCTGTTGTACGATTCATCAACTGGGATTTGGAGATGGAGCACGGAGAATTGGGTTTGGGTAGTGAAAACCCCGACAAACCCCCACCATCCGCGCTTGGCAGACGGCTCCTCGACCCCCGAAACCAAGAGTCTCTCGACAGGTTGCGGGATCGAGTCAGTAGCCAGGCAAAGGGGAACATCAGTCTTGCCCGTCTCCGACTCGACAACGTGCACCAAACTCAATCAATGGGTGCTCTCTTCGCAAGGTCTGATGTGCTGCCGGCCAACATTGTAGACTTTTTCGACGTTGGCATTGGGCGCATTGAGGAGCAGCCGCCATCCCAGCGAGACCTCGGCTTGAAGGTGATTGCCGCCGTCGCGCATTATGACTATACTCTAGGCATTGAGTACGAGCATCTCCAAGCCATCATACGTCGGTCTACCAAGACGCCCGCCCGGGCCCGTGCCAAGAGAACCACCTCGACCCCGACTGTATCAACAAGAAGGAGGAGGTCGACAATGCCAGCGTCAGAAACATCACACGTGGCTCACCGCAGCCTCGAAGAGATGCTGCATGCGGCGCGCGGGTTCCTGGCCTTCAGGAACGAGGAGAACCGGCCACTTGTGGCCTTCTGCGAGTCGTTCCACACCTACGCGCGGGAGAACTACAACGAGTCACTCGTCTGGGCGCACGCCCAACTCGACTTTGGGGGGGAGAAGGGCTGTGCCGGGTTCGGCAACAGGGTGATGAGGCGTTCGCGGACGGGCGTCGTGCATGGTGTGGAGAAGAGGGACCAAGCGGCAGCGCAAAGATCTACTCTGCAGGAACACAAAGGCCGTTTAGCCGGAGGAGACTGCAGGAATCGCATCGATGGAAGGATCGGAGAAAGCCTTGCTGATTCGAGTGGACGCATTGTTCCCGATACGATTGCTGCTGGCTCTGCCTCTGCTCTCCAGATTCAGGACGATGGCACGGCAGCACATAGGCAGACCCCGACACCGTCCATACCGGCAATGGCTGATGCTTCTGCTGGTGCCAATGGGCGGAAACTAATCCGGGTCGCCGACTTTGAACGTGATCAAAGCTTCAAGTTGGAGAGGAGGGGCACAAGCTGGGCCTAATGTGGATCTATGCGGAGAAGCGGACCGGCTCCATACGGGAAACGGAAATCTGGCAAGGATGCTCGAGACGTTGAAATGTTTCTTGATTCGGGCCTGAAAAGAGAAACATTCCCTTCGAGACAAGATGTTTGGCTTATGGAGACATCTCCGGGGGTGGTCGTTAAGGACGGCGCCAGGAAACAAGCTTGAACATGTGTCAGGTTCAGTTGGACGGAACCCCCCCAACGACGTATGCCGACAGCCCGAATGGCTGGGAGACAGACGTATCTTGGTTGCATTTTTGACCTGATAAACCATTTTTTGCGCTCATGTAGAACCTGGCGTCTCCCTGCCGTTGCTACAACGTCCTGGTAGATGGTCCGGGAAACCCGGAGCACCATTCTGTCCGTTCCAAAGAGCGTCATCTAGCACAACCCCTGCAACGTAGCAGTTTGAGCAAGTGATGCCCTTTCTTCCGAAACCAGCCCTGCCTGTGGGCAGCTCTGTCGGCCCAAGACCGTTCCGTAAGACGCTTGGGTGCACGTAATCTGATGTGCCTGCGTGCTGTTGTCATTGTGTCTTTATGTAGTTAGTGTGTGTATGTGTGTGTATGTGTGTATGCGTGTATGATTAGCGTATGCTTTCTCTTCCCCCTCCCCCAAGAAAGCCGCGAGTCCACGTGCGCCAAAGGGGAAACCGGTTTCAAGCCGGACTATCGAAACCACGCTTCGAGAGTATAATACTAATACTCCGTCCCGGTCACCCTTCCATATTATGTTTTCCGTAGATATTGCTGTGCCACATCGAGCTCCCCAAGTTGAATATTTTCCTTGTGTTTTCTTCGCTTCGATTGTATAAATTGTACTAAATCGTTCGGCACTGTATATCACATCACAACGCTCGCTCAGTGACAGAAGGAGACATGCAACTCACAAATAATATCACGGCTACCGTGGCGCTGCTTGCAGGCCTTTCGGCAGCGGCACCACTCGAGCGTCGAGGCTTTTCCGCCCTTCTCCCAACCAGCCCGGAGGATATCAAGCAGGTCCAGATAGACGCTCGTGGTTCTCTACCAAACTCGCCGCCGCCGCCAAAGCTGGAGCAGAGCAGTTTGACAGCGTTTCAACTCATTCAGTTCAACGAGCAATTCGAGGTCGCCTTTTTCTCCTCCATGCTTGAAAACGTCACCAATGGAGGAAATGGTTGGGACGCTCCGGATAAGGACAAGCTGATAGACGCGCTCAAAGTCGTGGTTGCTGTAAGTGATATTTACTACACATTCCATTGGGTCTCCGCATCGATGCTGACTGCTGCCGTAGCAAGAAAAGCTTCATGCGCTCGATGCCAAAGGCGTCCTCGATCACTTCAAGGCCTTCTCGCCCCCGCCCTGCCAGTACCAGTTCCCGACAGACAGCTTGAGGGACGCCGTCTCGCTTGCCGAAACCTTCACATCCGTCGTCCTGGGCACCCTTCAAGATGCGAATCAGCTGCTAGCAAAGAACGGGGACGCTGGCCCCGTCCGGGCCGTGAGCGCAGTCATCGGCCAGGAAGGCGAGCAGAACGGCTTCTACCGCAGCTATTTGTCACACCCACCGTCGTCGCAACCGTTCCTCACGACCTCGATCGCTCCATTCGCCTACTCCGCGCTGCAAGCCTTCGTCGTCAAGGACTCGTGTCCGTTCAAGCTGACAGACATCGACATTCCCATCTTCGCCCCGTTGGTAGTCAAGCAGATGGTGGATGGTGGGGAGGTCAGGGCCATGAACCAGAAACTCAGCTTTTCGGTCGACCTGAGGCAGCTCATCACCGCCGGCAGATTCCTGGGAAAGGACACCGGAGCCCTTTTCGTCACGTATCTGAGCGGGCTCAACGTGCCGCTCAGCGTTCCCGTTCAAAACCCGCAGTGGGAAGGGTCTAAAATCACGTTTGATGCCGATTTCCCATTTGAGCAGAACAGCATGTTTGGCCTGTCGATTGCGGCTCTTACTTTTGACAATGGCTTCGCCAGCCCTGACGACGTTGCGAAATCAACGCTGGCAGGCCCTGGGTTGATTCAAGTCAACTGAGGTGAGATCGACCGGACGGGGTCGGACCATGGCATATGGGCAGGCGTAATGTAAAAGATTCGGAAGATATCCCGGGACAGGGCGTTTGGTGTTTCATGCATAGACCAACATGGACTTTCCAGTGTCGATAATTGATTCGACTCATTGTACACTCTCCATTCTTCTGTCTGAAAGTTGATCTCGGTGTAAACCTCATGTGAGCCGTGTTACTGCCAAGCAGAATGTGACTGAGAATCCGGCCCGCTGCTCCTTGTAAGTTGATGGTAACTACCACGAAACCCATCCAGATACTTCTGGTACACGACCTGCAACCCTCAATTCTCAGCCGAGATGGGCCAGTTTGGCGCAAGTAATTTTCCTATCCGGCCCTCATTAGATGTTAGTCTCTGCAATCAATCTGTTCCATGATGAGTTCTCGAAAACGGAGCAGATGGAAACCCCACTTGCCGATCTATGATGTCGCTGCCAAGTGTGGAGGAAGACCAGACGAAATGCCTCGTAGCCTCAGCACCGCTATTCGATCGATCCTCAGCCTAGATAGGAAATCAGCCGCGATTTTCATGGAACTCCCCTATTGGCGTCCAAGATCAGCAAAGTTACTCTTTACTTCTCAAGGTTCACTTCCATGTCGCTATTCCATGATGCATGCACACCGACATTACATCAACTCGGATATGATCGGCGATATGATCAGCGATATACATGTGGTCTGGACCAACCCAAAACTGCGAAGAATCTGCCACAGGTTGCCAGTAAGATTCCGGCCCTGCAACAGCATCGAATGACCGGTACAAATGTGAGAAGGGGAAGTGATTCCCGTCGTACAATTTCCACCTAATCAGAAAACATGGCCTCGGCGCACAGAGATCCCCTGTCACGCAAGTTGTCTCAGAACTTGGTGTTGGAACATCGGATTGAACAGTTCCAATTGACAGTTCGGACGTCGACTTCATTGCGTCAGGAAGAGTCGCGCAGAGAGACGGCCTGGCGAGTCCTGCCAACAAGCTCAGCACAGGGGAAGGCCGGCAGTCATGGTTACCGAGCGAAAGCGAACAGGAATGTCCCCGGAAGCGTGATCGGCAGCTGAAAACCATGGTTTACCGTTCGTTTTGATGAAGGGGGTTTGAGATCCGAACGTTGTCCCTCAAGAGATTGTGGAGTTGTGCTCCTCTCTACCAATCTTGGTTGGCTTACAGGCAGAATGTGAGGTGAAGTTTGTTGGGAATAGCGCAGCATAGCCTCGATGAGCAGCCGTGAAGGGTTTTCGGGTTGATCTCAGATCATGGCAAGCTCTTTACCCATTTACTTGCCGACGATGTGGCAGCAAATGTCTTCCTCCAATGAGGAATATGCCGATATCTCATCCGGAAATACAAGGTTCACGTCAAATAGGTCCAGGTGGTCTCTCAAGTAACCACCATGGGTGCAATGATTCATGGTCATGCCCAGGGCCGAATCACTTTACCTGGTTTGGAAATTGACCTAGAATTCCGGCACGGTAGAAGACTTGGCAATAAGCTTATCAAGAAGCCGAGGAACTCAATGGCCTTCTCCACAGTTGAGACTTCATAGGCTGACGATTGTTTCAAGGGGCTGGTAGCAGAGTCGGGACAAGAGTTGGTCTGCTTTTGTGTTTTGCTGTTCAGGGGATCCCAGACTGGTCAGGAACGATGGTCCACAGAGTACTATTAGTCCATTGGGTCTCGACGAGGGTAAAAGTGAACACAACAACGTGACCTAACTCTTTGTCAGCTTTCCTCTGGTAATTCTTTGATGACTAGCAAGCTTTTGGTTTTACCTTTTCTTTTCGCAGGCGATAGAAACACGTACATGTAACAGTCATCCGACGCAGTCATCGAGCCAGATCTTACAATCTGATGGATGTAAGTCATCACTTTGCCAAGCGACGTTGGATACACGCTGTTCAATCCTCGTAATCTGCATATCGGGACTAGGAAATAACAACAACCATATATCGCTTTCAAGTAGCCTTCGAGTAGTTACCCTTGCTGTCAGCCGTGGCGCTCGTACTGTGTCAGACTGCTTTTTATAGCGTAAGTAATATGACCATTAATCCTTATATAAAATACTATTAAGCATTTTGTCACTTTTACTTTGAGTCTCTTTTGTTTTTCTTTTTTCCGGAAAGTAAATATGTATTTATTCTGACTTTCGGATATTGTTCTCAAATAATGATTCCATAGCGGTATATTGTCTTATTTTTAGTGTATTGCGGATAGGTATCTTTTCCGATCGAGCAGTAGAGACCTGCCGGCAATGATGAAGTCCCAGAATGTACTCATTTGGCGGCACTCACATTTCTTTCGAGGCTGCATGCCCATGCCTTAATATCTCTTCTCGAGAGACCGCTGCAGTTTAGCAAATGTCAGGGATTAATGACCAATATCTGATAGTCAAACATCAATGGCCTGCATCTAGACGATGCGTTTGCTTTCCCGTTATCAATATTTCTGCTACTTTGGTAAACCTTGACCAGCTAGCAGCCGCTACATCGTACTCATCCTTCCAAAACCTCAAAGTCTCAAAATCGATGGTCCGATTAATTACACTTTCAATGACAAATTCTTAGATGATGGTCTGTTATAGAAAGTTCTAGTTCGAGGAAGACTACATCCCAGCCCGAATGAACGGTGCGAGGTGACCCATATACAAACATTCAATGTTTCACCTCTCTTCTTTGTTTCACGTCTTGCAGTATTGGATCTGCTGTGTTGAATGGTTCGTAAATGTTCCGCAGCAGCCCATCGTTATTCAGTCAGGTCACGTTTCAAGATAAGGAGAGTAAAACCCTGGTATCCTCTGAAATCCATCGGAACCATTCATTCGAAACGTCACTCACACCCGGGTAAAAGTTCAGTCCTCCGTTTGATAGTTCAGATCTTGTAAAGTCGTTTTGCCTATCAATAGACGGTATCGGCTTAGTCACGTCTAGAAGATCTCTGTTGGGTGTAGACGGTTCCAAATTAGCATTCGGGTGAAGGAACACATATGATTTCGAAGCCAGCCTCTCGCGGGCCAGTCGTTATATGGAAGTTGACGTCGAGAGCGGTTTTCTTAACCACTTTTCTCCTCATACACCATGCCATACAACTGTAGATTATTCTGTTAGCGCATTATACTTCTTTAGGCGAGGATTGTTCTCGTGTTTATCAAGCAGGAGACAAGAACGATAGACCGTACCAAGAACGGGCCTAGATATGTTAGTGGAAAACCCACTCCGGTACCCCAGTAGAGGGGAGTACCTCATCCTCTTTGTTTCGGGAATTATGGACTGTGGTGTATTGTGCTGTCACCAAATCTCCTCATACGGGTTGTAATCGAAGTTAAACTCGCAAACCGGTAGGTTAGACTAGGTGTGTGCCGTGTTAGTTGCGCGTTATCCGCGAAGCTGGTGAGCCACAGAGTCTACAATAACTCTTACAACGAAGCTCAAAGAGGTCTTTTATGTTAGATGCCTCGGTACTATTTTCCCCTTGACATGACTGCGCGTCAAAGTAGAGTTCACGCGGGGTAGTCCAGTTATTCTTGAAGCCCGCGTCAAGAATCTCTTCCATACGATCCATGCCGATGTCATTGTCATAAGGTCAGCCCAATTATCAAGAGCTTGGATGTACGGTACAGTAGCATACGGTCGGCTCTGGCAAGTCCATATGAGTCTTTTCCATCGTACCAAATCGGCCCACAGGTGCCGTGTTCGTCAAGTTTGGAACAGTCATAGGGATCGATGGAATCTTGCGCGGGTCAACGCCGGGGCTGTAGTCATGTTAGCTAGTGACAATGGTTTAATAGTAGACGACTCGAACCAACTTGTTCACCGCAAAGTAATCGTCTTGTGCAAGCGCTTGGTTAGAGGCCCACTCCGATAGGATGTGGTACATGAAGTTCGTGTTCTCTACGAGGTTGTTTAAGACTCCCTTGCAACTAGTCGTTTGTGTTATCGCGTTGACTCAATGCCGTGGACTTGAACCATCATCAACTCATCTGGCTAAATGCGCCCTTTGAAGTGAGTTCGTAGAATAGGGTGACATCTGTTCATATCTTTGGCAATACCTCGCCAACGCTCTTATGGTATTCATTGGCGTTGTCTGACAGGACAGCAGAAAGCTGCTCCCAAGAGACTTGGTACACCATGGTGACTAGAAACAAGGTACTGTAAACACTAGGTATGCTTCCAAGAGCCCCATCAGGGAAGCAAACATTATGCTTGCTCTGATAGAGCTCCCGAGAAGAAGACCAAAAGCCTCACATGTCCACGAGCTTCAGAGTCTCAACCATTGAGCTCTTTGTGCTTCGGTCTATACTTCCAACAAATTGGGCAAGCGTAGCACCGAAGATGGAGCCAAGGAGTCGAGTGTGCGCGTTCTTCTTCGTCGGCGGTGCAACGACTTTGACAATTTCGGCAACTACTCCGCTATTCAGATACATTTGGCGATGTGTAGGCCATATGAGGAACTGCATACATGTCTGTTGCCTGGCCCTGTAGAAGAGCCTGGCGAAAAGAGGTTGATGGATTGAGCGCCAGGAAGACCAGCAACGTGACAATGAAAAAAGGGGCATATTAAGATTTACTAACCGTAAATATTCCAAATAACCTTCATAAGATAAGTGGTCAGTAGCTACTCAGAACGAATGGTCCGCGAGCCCTGCTTACGTAGAATTCTTGATAAGAAGCGTACTTATCCGCACGTCCGCCGGGTGGCGAAGTGCACCGGTTGGAAGAAACAAAGTCGCAATTCCATGTGATTAGCCCCTGTGTCCGGATCAGTTCGAGAAACTAGTAGTATTACTTGGAAGCTGTATAAAGTCGTATCCAGATAGCATTGGGCGAATCCTCTATCTGCTGAATCGCACCTCGCGGAATTCTCGGACCACCAATCCTAAACCGGTTTTTAAGGAAAGTGCTTCATAGGATAAGTCCGTACGTATTATTCATTCCCAGAGTCTGCCAGCGGCCCGGCTGGATCCTGTTGGCCGCACATCAACTTACCAGGCTCTCTTTCGAGAGAGACAGAAGGTGCTGCCGTACTTATCTTGAAAGAAGGGAGAGCATTGGTCGACGTTGTCGTTTCGTGCTACCAAAGCCTCGTTCTCTGGATGGGAGTCCGAGGCCACTGGCGACGGTCCGACCGCCAAAGAAAAAAAGAGTGACAAGGTTCAAGAAGAGCATCGTGACCGCACAAGCGAGAGCTGTAATCCAAACAAGCGAAAGATCGCCGGAGAACGGGCTTGAAAATCATCGGCGGCGGAAGCAGCACGGATCTAGAACATTGCTACGTATTGGGAATCGCGCGAGCCGTATTCTTCCAGTTACTAATGGTCCCAACGAGGAGAATGTTTGCATGACACCGGGATCTCCGCAGACAGCGGCTATCGTGACCCAATCTTCAGGGACAAGGTTTGACGAAGTGCCGTTCTGCAAGTTCGATCCTTGTTCCGCGTGTAAGTTGACAGAAGGCGTGAATCAGTGCCGGGAGGGTGGGGTTCGGCAAAGGATTTTCAAAGTTAGGAATGGCAGTTTATTTGAGGTAATTTCCACACGAAAGGGGGCTATATAGGTTGAGAATGATATTAGAGGCATCGTGTGACCGTGGTGGGCGCGGTCCGATTGGGTCAATTCTTATTTTGTTTACGTTTTCTATGACCCTGGTCTTGCTTTACTAGAAGGTTTTCTAAAGCTCGCTCGATTTAGTCTTCGTAGCTGTCTCATCTTTCGGAGCGGTTCATCTAATCTTCAGTTCGTGCAAGTACCAATCCAGCGAGTACGTATGTTGCAAACTACAGCATATACAAGTGATCACCCACCACCACACCAAACATCGCCACCGAGACCTTCGAAGAGTTTGTTGCCGGGGCCCCGTTTTAACAGTCACCCCATGCGATCCGCACTTTTCATTTATATTCTCACATGTTCAGCCTTCATCGCATCTGCGGGAGCTTATAGCTGTTGCTAGGCCGACATGTGGGCTGATACCTGCTGGAGTTGTAAGACGCGGTCTCAGCAGCATGTTTCCGCCTGGCACAAAATGCACAGTCGGAAACTCGAAAGACGCAAAGGGCAACATCCAAGCTGTCACAAACGTCACCTTCGACACTAACACTCAGCCATTCAAGTTCCGCATCGGCATTGACTCCTAGGGCTATGATACTTTACCCGATGATAAAGTTGTGACTGGCTGGGAGGGATGGGGTGCATACCTGTTTAAAAACCACTTGTTCATGCCCTAGAAACTGGAGTACTGCACTCAGGATTATTCTGCTTAGCCTCAAAAGGTGGGCGCCTACTGGTGTAGGGCTTCTTCTCATGTTATTGAAGCTGTGTTCCAACACCTCAGAGCTCAGGTGCTTGCGCAGATAGTGGCGGGGACGTAGCATTAATTTGCAGATGAAGTCGGGCCCTTTTACGCCGATACTGGTGATATGTTGATAACGCACAGTCATGCAGTGACCTCATCACAATGCTCAGCAGGATGGAATGATACACCGTGAAGTCCTGAGTTGTGACAACGGGAAGGCTCCTCCAGTTGAATAGAACAGGACAGAACACCAATCAACGCTATGGCAGTGAGATAAAATGAGTCCGTTGATTTACCACCACCACCACCACCAGCAGATTTGTGCCAGTTAACCTAGCTAGCATGTACGATCATGTACCCGACAGAAAAACATCTTACGCCTCACTATCGTGAAGCTGGGATAGCTTTATGTGGCTAGGACCAGTTGTGAACGCCACAGGTGCAGCTTACCAGTATACTATTTCTACTCAGCACCGTCTTGTATAATTATTCTAGATAGAACCACTACTTTTACATTTTCTTGGACATACTCTGTGGTTCATCGCCCGCATCCATTTATACATACGCAAGTTCTTTTTCTAATGAAGTAATTTAGTCAATACTCAGCGATATGAGATGCTGCGCCCGGCGCTAGTTCAGATTTTTGGTTCTTCTCACGATAATTATAACAGTAGACGCCCGCGGCATCGAAGCCGGAATGCGTGTTGCTGTTATATGAAGAGTACTACTTTCATCATGAGCACCTTCAAGCCCTCTTCTTTTTTTCCTTTCCACCAAAGAGTTTAGGGAACACCAGCCCCTGTCTTCCGCCACGGCTTACCGCCGAGATAGTCCCTCTAGCCGCTTACGCGATCCTCGAAAGCTGGCTGACCAGTTGCAATCCCGCCGTGCTGACGCACATCCCGGTACCCAAGTCACGTACACTCGGGTCCCTGATAGGCAGCTGAGCAAGTCCTTGGTTTTCCCGTCATCAGCATGCCCGAGAGATGAATGAATGGGGGCCATCGGCGGTTGTTCCCGATCCTTCAGGGGTGGTTGGTTGGGTTGCAGGATTGCCAGAACCCCCCTACGTCAGCAACGCCCTCACGGATCGCCGCGGCGGCGCGTTATAGATAATATAGATAATCCCATACCCACCCCTCTCGCGCGGCCCATCATGAGCACCAACATCCGTTGAAACCAAAGAGCCTTGTAGCATAAGAAATACTGTCGACGATGGTCCCCCGGATGGCGGCCCAGAGCCCGCTGGCGCGGCCTCCAGAAACATCCCCCCCAACCAGCATGGCCGACGCGACGCAGGCCCTCGTCGGCGTCTACGGGTGGTGGTGGTGCCCCGAGGTCCCATCTCCCGGCCCGACGCACTGCGCCCGGACCGCCGCCGGGCTCGACTTCGGCGGCCTCGATGACGTCGTCTTCTCCATCGTGCCCTGCTCCGTCGCCATCCTCTGGGCCCTGCACCGGTGCGCGCGGCTATGGAAGCAGCCGGCGGCGGCGGCGGTGGCCCAGGGGTTCATCCTCCCCGGGCTCTTCCTCATCGGCTGCGCCGTCCTGTCCGTTCTGCTGTGCCTCACCCTGCCTGTTTCACTCTCCGTCGCGCCGGCCTCCGCCGTCCTCGCCTCCGGGCTTCTCCTGGCCTTCCGACAACTTGACCGGCCCGCGTCCTCGCCGCAGGGCTCGCATCTCTTGACGTGTAAAATGGTAAGGGCGGCACCCGTTATCTGACAAATTCTCCCCCCCCCCGGTCGTCGACCGAGCTCACCACTCCGCTTTTTTCTTTCCCACGTAGATCCTCTGGCACGCCCTCGTGGCTTACCAATTCGCCGGCCTGATCTCCTTCATCGGGATCGCCGTCGTTGTCGGCGACCGCTACCCCGACATGAGCGTCAACATCGCCTCGTGGGCCCTCTCCTTCGGCGCCAGCCTCGTGCTCCTGCTCGTCTCGGCCCTGGAGCACGGCCGGTCGCTCGCCCCGTCCGCCCTGCTGCAGACGTTCCTCCTCGTCACCGTCGTCCTGGACGCGGCCCGCATCGCCGGCGCCTGGTTCGACGGCGGCCACATCTTCGACGAGGGGCGGCTGTTAACCATCCGGCTCCTCATCGAGGTCGCCCTGCTGTTCGCCGAGTCGAGCGCCAAGGCCGCCGTCATCGCCGTCCCCGCCCGCAGGCAGGCCTCCCGGGAGGAGGTGGCGGGCATCTTCGGCAAGTGCCTCGCGCTGTGGGTGAACCCGCTGCTGGCGTCGGGATGGCGCAAGGACCTCACGCTCGACGATTTCGAGCCGCTCGACGAGCCCCTATCCGGCGACAAGGTGCTGGGGAGGCTTTCCTCGGCCTGGCAGAAAGGTTCGTCAGCTCGTCCCCCGTCTCTCCCAGGCATAAGACAAAGAGCGCTCAACAGTGTCTTCACCGGCCAGTGAACCAGGACCGGGACCACGCTCTCGGCATAGCCGTCCTGCGAACTTTCTGGGCCGAGATCCTAGTCATCCACATTCCCCGCCTCATCATGGTCGGCCTCGGCCTCGCGCAGCCGTTGCTGGTGCAGACGACGCTCACGTACATCCAGAACCACGAAAATAAACCCGCCAGCTACGGCCGTTGGCTCATCGCCGCTTTCTTCCTGAACTACGTCGGACTAGCCGTGAGTTGAAAAAGAAAAAATTCATTGCAGATGACCCGGCGCAGCCATTGATAGCGCTGACAAGGCTAGCCCAGATATCCACGCAGCAGTACGAGCAGCGCGTCAACCGACTCATCACCCGAGTGCGGGGCGCCCTCATCGCCATCATCTACCAGAACATGCTCTCCCTCCGCGCCGAGACGGGCAACGCACAGGCTGCCGTCTCCCTGATGAGCACCGAGGTGGACCGCATCACCGTGGCTGGCCAGTGGACGCTGTCCATCGTCCCAGCCCTGCTCCATCTGGGGTTCGCGTTCTGGATCCTCGGCGGCCAGCTCGGCGGCGCCAGCGTCGCGCCCGTGGTCGTCGCAGCCTGTGAGTCCGCCGTCCTCCCAGGATGGGCCGTTCAATGACCAAGGGACGGGAGATGAAACTGATCCGTGACCAGCGTGTGTGTTCGTCGGACTGAAAGTCGGCCAACGGATACCCCCGCTCCAGCGCAAATGGATGCAGGCGATCCAGAAACGCGTCGGCATCACCACCGAGATCATCGGCTCGATGAAGGGCGTCAAGATGAGCGGCCTGTCTGCCACCGCCCAGGACCAGATCCAGGGCCTCCGCGATTTCGAGCTCGACGAGTCCAAGAATTTCAGAAGGATGCAGATTCTCAATGTGACGGTCGGTAAGTCACACTGGTCGACCCCCCCCCCTTTCAACACGGTGCTTGATTATCATACCAGCTTCTCTCATTAATGGCTAACGTCGCCTAGGACAATTCCCATCCATCATGACGCCTCCCATCACCTTCGCGGCCTTCGCCATCGTCCAGAAGCTGTCCGACGGGGAGCCCCTCAACGTGGTCCAGGCCTTCACCTCCCTCAGCCTGCTCGGCATGCTAATCAACCCCGTCGGCGAGCTCGTCACGTTGCCAAACAACCTGGGGTCCGTCATCGGGTGCCTGGACCGCATCCAGGAGTTCTTGGTCAAAGAGAAGCGGGACGACTACCGCCGGTTCACACCGCAGACGCCCCGAGACCCGCCGCACGGGGTCGGCGCGTCGGAACCACCCCCGGCAGACCCCCAGCCGCTGATCAAAGTCTCGGGGGGGTCTTTCGGCTGGGACAGCGCCGCGCCGGTCCTGCAAGCCGTGGACCTCGAGATCCCCGCCTCGACCCTCACGATGCTCGTCGGCCCCGTCGGGTCCGGCAAGTCCACCCTGCTCAAGTCCATCGTCGGGGAGACCTACCGCATCGCCGGGTCCGTCGAGTACTTCACCACCGCCAGCGGCGCGGACGCGGACACGGTCGTGGCCTACTGCGACCAGGAGGCCTGGATCCTCAACCAGAGCATCAAGGACAACATCTTTGGCGGTAGCGAATACGACCCCGTCCTCTACAGCCGCGTCATCCAGGCATGCCAGCTGGATGAGGACCTCAGCCTGCTGCCCCGGGGCGACGAGACGCTCGTCGGGAGCTCGGGCGCCGCCCTCAGCGGCGGACAGAAGCAACGTATCGTAAGGCGCTCCCCCCTCCCCCCTCCCCCCTATTGACAACAACGAATGCTGTACTTTGCTGACACGGGGGTTACGCTGAGGCAGGCACTCGCCAGAGCGGTCTACAGCGGGAAGCAAGTCATCATCATGGACGACAACCTGAAGGGTCTCGACTCGAACACCGCCTCCAGGTGCTTCGACGCGCTGTTCGGCGCCGGCGGCCTCCTGCGAGAACGGAACCAAGCCGTCCTGTTCGCGACGCATAACGGTGCATATCCATCCCCTTCGTCTCTCCACCCTCGAGCTTCAGAACACTGACACTACCACCGCAGCGCAATGGCTCCCTTCCGCCAACACCATCATCGCCCTCGGCAGCGACGGCAGGGTCTCGGAAAGGGGCTCGTACGAAGAGCTGAGAAAGAGCGGGGGATACGTCGGCACGCTCCAGGTCTCGCAGCAGGGAGGGCGGCAGGCCAAGGAGAACGGCGCCGGCGAGCTGGACGACAAACCCGTCTCCTCCTCGGCCGCGGCTGCAGCCGCCGCGCCAGACGCCTCCAAGACGCCCAACGCCCCGGGAGCCGCCAACACGAGCGCCCTTGCGTACTACATCAAGTCTATGGGGGTGTCCTCGTTCGCCCTGTTCTTCGTCATGGTGCTTCTTCAGACGTCTTGCCGGACCATGCAGAGTACGACCAGAAAGCCCTTCCCCTGTCGCGGAGCATATAACTGACTTTTCTTGTTGCAATAAGGGGTCTGGGTCAAGTACTGGGTCGCGGCCAACGAGGCCGGCGGCGAGGAGAACCTGGCCCTGTGGGCGGGCATGTACGTCGGCTGGGGCTTTCTGACGGAGGCCGCCGTCGCCGCCGAGATTTTGTGAGTAAAACAAAAAAGCACACCGGAGATCCCCCTTTCGATGCGAAGCGTGTGCTGACGGGGTGGGTGTTTGTTCTCTCCAAGCTGGTTCCTCGTCGTCATCATTCCTCACTCGGCCAAGGGGCTTCACTTTCGCATTCTAAAGGCCGCATTTGCGTAAGTTTCTTCTATTCTTCTGGCGACGGTGTGTCCGCTGTTGTTTGCAAGTTATGGTTGACCCGGTACTCCAGCGCGCCGTTGTCCTTCTTCGTCAAGGCTGATACGGGCGTCATCATCAACCGGTAGGTACTCCCTTCCTGGCCTCCGCATCGCTTCGGGAACCCCCTTGAACTGATAATCCGCCACTAGATTCAGCCAGGACATGAACCTCATCGACGTGCCGCTCCCAATCGCGTTCCTCCTAACAAGCGACAGTAAGAAGTTCCCTCTCATATGCCCGGATGGCTTGTACAACAGGTCTAGCCGTAGATGCTAACCCACGCGCCAGCCCTCACCTTGACCATCGCAGACATCATCCTCACCTGCGTCGCGACGGGCTACCTTGCCCTCGCCGTGCCCTTCCTTGCTGCCGTTCTCTGGGCGATACAGCACATCTACCTCCGCACCTCGCGTCAGGTGCGCCTTCTCGACCTCGAGGCCAAGGCGCCCGTCTTCTCACACTTCGTCGCCTCCTTCTCCGGGCTCGTCACCGTCCGCGCCCTCGGTTGGGCCGGCCGTGCCCGCGACGAGAACCTCGCGCGGCTCGACCGCTCCCAGCGTGCCTTTTACGCTATGGGAAGCCTGCAGAAGTGGCTGCTCCTTGTGCTCAACCTCACCGTCGCCGGGCTCGCCGTTCTGCTCGTCAGCACGGCCGTGGCGCTGCGGGACACCGTCGACCCCGGCCTGCTCGGCGTGGCGCTCGTCAGCGTCATGGGCTTCGGGCAGCTGCTGACGGGGCTCCTGGGCAACTGGGCGATGCTTGACACGAGCCTGGGTGCCGTGGCTAGGATCAGGGAATTCGAGACGGAGACGCCCTCGGAGGAAAAGGACGACAAGACCCTGGAGGCTTTTGGGGAATGGCCGCTGAAGGGGCAGATCGACATGATCAATATCTCGGCGGCCTACGACGACCACCGGGTCCTCAGCGGCATCAACCTCTCGATCAAGTCGGGCGAGAAGGTGGCTGTCTGCGGTCGCACTGGCAGCGGCAAGTCCACCCTACTGGCGCTTCTCCTCCGGCTGCACGAGCCGTCGACGGGAGCGATCGAGATCGACGGCGTAGACATCGCGAGCGTGCCCGTCAAACAGCTCCGCGGGTCCCTCGTGGCGCTCCCTCGAGACCCGCTCTTCCTGCCCGGAACGGTGCGCCGGAACCTCGACCCATTCGGCGCCCGCGACGACGCCGCCGTCTGGGGCGCGCTGGAGAAGACGGGGCTCAAGAGCCTCTTTGAGGATAAGGGAGGGTTGGAAGCGGACCTGAACATGGACCGGCTTAGCGCGGGGCAGAAGCAGTTGTTTTGCATGGCGAGGGCCATCGTGAGGGAGAGCCGTGTTCTCTTGCTCGACGAAGCGACCAGCAGGTGAATTCTTCTCAGAATCTTGGACAGTGGGTAAGATTACAAGCTAACATTCCAATAGTCTCGACCAAGCGACGGAGCAGGTTGTCCAAGACCTCATCCGGAGCGAATTTCAAAGCTGGACCGTCGTGGTCATTGCCCATCGCCTCAAGACCGTTGTAGACTTTGATAAGATTGTGACGCTTCAGGACGGACGAGTTGCCGAGTTTGATCATCCCAAGACATTGCTCGAGAAGGGGGGCCTCTTTGCCTCCATGTGGAAGCTTCAAGAGGGATGAGCATAGCTGGTAATCCGATTGGCGACGGTGGGAAGAGTCGTGGAACGTTTCTGTTCCTCTGTTAGGAGCATATCGCCGATTCGCGGGGGAAGGATATAGATGGACTCATTATATGCGGGCATTATCTCATTATTTTCGTGTCTTGGTTGGTCGTATTTCCAGTTATTTGATTTTCTTTTTGGGGTTCCCAATGGCCTCGGTCGCTCATTTGCTCTTCATACTCTCGGCCGCCTTCGCGGCAAGACGCTTGACCTCTTCGTCCCCCAGCGAGGCGTGCGCCGACGCGAACGCCTCGGCCCATGCGTTCCACCTCTCCTCGTTCAAACCCTTCCAATCGCGGTCGGCGAACTTGGCGCCGGCCTTGCCCGACTTGGCATCGAAGTTGCGGTTCTTGGCGCTCAGCTTCTGCAGCGCATCACCGGAGTAGGTGATCCAGAGGGAGGCTTGCCTCACCGCGGCAGCGACGTCTGCGCCAGCGGGGTGCTCTTCCTCAAAGGCTGTGCGCAGGGTCCAGAGGCCGTAGAGGGAGAAGTCAAAGGGGTCCTGGGGGTTGTTGAGGTCGGCGAGAGTCGTCAGTTGGGCGGCGAGGGCGGAAAGGTTGTCCCAGGCTGCCTTCTCGTCTTTGGACGCGGATGCGTCGAGAGCGTCTGATATATAGTTAGTGCCGTCAGCTATACAATACGAGTGTGAAGCATTTCCGTCGTGTAATGGACTATCTTGAGAGACAAGTGTTAAGCGAGCGACGTACCAAAGTTCCACAAGTCACGGGCGACCCAGCCAAAGGTAGGAAGATCCTTCCAGACGACCTGGTTGCTCAGCTTGAGAGGCTGGCCGTCCGAGGCCGTGACCGTCGTATCGCGCAGACGTTGCAGAAAATGGACTAGGGGACCCTGCTTCTCGGGAGGGGTTTGCTTGGCGACAGCAAAGACGGCATTATACATGTCCCAGAGGAAGTCCTCAATTTCGGACTGAGAATTCTTTGCAAGGGTGTTGAATTCCTGGACCGTGTCGTCGATGGCCTTCTCACTGGTATCACCGGACTTGACGAAGGCGTCAAGGGTCTTGTAGGCGGGCAGCGCCGCGATGGCGGCATTTACGCTCATTCTGGGAGTATCTTGAGTGGTGAGAGAGAATGCGCAGGATAGTTGAAGTTGAGATGAGAGATTACTGGGATGGTGAAGGTGAAGGTGACAGATGTGACAGACTGACGGCGGCAGCGGTGCTAGTAGTGTCGATGGCGGCTTTATGGCGATGTCGCAAATGGAAGATGGAAACTTTGGACGAGGCCAAACGCGGCCCATGTGGATGCAGCGCTGCTTCACTGACGTCGCCAGCGTCGAGAGCCGTGTTTGGCGATGACGCACTGTGTGGGGTCGACTCCGCGCGGGGGGAAGAGGCAGTGGGGAGGAGGTGCAGACAGCAAAAGCAGGAACGATGAACACGCAAACCCCGTAGCCCCTGGCGTTCAGGTCGACGAGTATGGCTGAGGCTGAGGCTGCGGCGTTGGTGGAAATTTCCCAAGACAAGTAAGTGCCTGACTAGATAGGAAAGAAGGCATTTACCAAAGGAAGGTAGGTATCACGGTATCTACCGAGGTACGTATCCAAGGCAGGCCCACTCAAGGTCTCACATACATACTTACCTAGTACCTAGGTAATAGTACTTGCAGAAAGGAAGGGACGTGTTTCCTTCCGCCCTCGCTATTGGACACCAACAACTAGCTAGTGCTTGCCTTCAGTCGACCGGCTCCTGCCGCTGTGCTCGTCCAGAAATCCCAAGGAAAGAAGCGCTGCGAGGAAGGGGACCAAGGACCAATAAAAGCACACGCATTTGTGAGAAAGAGTGGGGGTCGGCGGCCTCTGGAAATCCAAAATGCAAGCATCACTACGGAGTACCGGTAGGTAATACTTTCCTTCGCAAGTAAGCTTATATTCCTAGTCAAGCAACGATTCAATGTGAACCTTGGTGCACGTGACAGGCTGGGTTGGGGTTCAGGTTCAGGTTCAGGTTCATGCACGGCAAATCATCAGGCCTCAGGTATCCATTCCCTCTCTGTCTTATTGCATTGCATTGCTCTGCTTGCTCCTTGAGCTCAGATTGGCTTCGCATGCGAGCATCAGGCCTTGGCCGCCTGAAATGAAAAGAATAACAGAATTTGGACCTGAAGCGGGCTTGTGTCTGGTGTGTGTTATTGAGTGTATCCGTAGAGATGTCCGGATCATCCCCCGACTTGGCGAACGGTAATTGGGCGCCGTGCCAAGCAAAGCTATTCCATTCACCCAATCCGCGCAAGTTGTCTCGAAGTCTCGTTCCATGCTCGAAACCCCCCCACCCTCTCTTGGTCAGTCAAACAAACAAGGCTGGGCTGTCGTTCTTCTTAGTCGCGGCTCGGCCCTCTTTCCCCTTGTTTCCCCCTCCGGATTGTTCCCACACTCACTCCTCGTTTGTTTGTTTGTTTCCATCGCGGCATTGACGGAGCCATTCAATCGGCAAAACCTTCTCGGACAACTTGTCGACGTTCCCCCCACGCGACCCAAGCCTCACCTTCATATCCCGGCATCTCATCCACGACGAGTCTGTCTCGCTAGTCCATTTCACCAACTTCACGAACCTCATTCTTCACTTCCTTATTCTTCACGAACCTCACTCTCACACGTCACGTACTCACATACACACACATACACACACACACAGCGCCGTCGCCCATCATGGTCTGCCTCAAGCCCGCCTTCCTCTTCTCCCTGTGTGCCATCTTCGCCGTCGCCGACCCCGTCCTCGACTCCGACCTGGCCCTCGAGAAGCGCCAGGGCGTCATCTCAATCGGCGATGCCGTCTGCGGCGACAACAGCTACAGCCGGCAACAGATCGAGGAGGCCACCGCCGAGGGCTGCCGCCTCTACTTCGCCGGAAAGCAGGTCGGCAGCAGCGAGTACCCCCACCGCTTCAACAACCGCGAGAACCTCGTCCTCGCCACCGCCGGTCCCTACCAGGAGTTCCCCATCATCCCCTCTGGAAACTACACCGGACGTACGTCTTTTGCCCCCAATCCTCTTTCGGGCACGTCGTTGTGATACCATCGCCCCCGCTGACATGCGCCCTCAGGATCTCCCGGCCCCGACCGCGTCATCCTCGACCCCAACTACCGCGGAAATTGCGTCAACGCCGGCATCATGACGCACACCGGCGCCACGGACCGCAACGGCTTCATCGCTTGTAATTCGACCGGGTCGTCGTCGGGGCCCAATGGCTCTTCCGCTGGGTCCACCCTCTCGGCCTCGGCATCACTCGGCGCAGCCGTGTGCATTCTGTCCATGCTGGCTCTCACTGCATGATGAAAATGCGTGCAAGAGGATGCCGAGAGTAAGACCCGGCCCATGCTGACCGGGAATTCGCCGCGACCCGGTCCAGTCCCCCCTGGACCTCATCCGGGCCGGTCCCCGACTGAGAGATATGACGATGATAGAGAAGTAGGAACAGCACCGCTTCCCCCCCCTTTGATTTGACTGGGAGAGAGCATCACGCAGGAAACATATACAGATGTGATGAAGAAGACCGTCTCCTGTTCTGAATATTGGTTTCATGCCCGACCCCAAAGTCGCGCGCACGCATGTTTTTTCTTTTCTTTTCTTTTTTCTCTGCTCATCGCCACGGGACACCCAATCGGCCCGTAGAGCTTCTGAAGAAATGCCTTCACCAGGTATCGATTTCAGCCAAGGCGACAGCACCGATGGGATGATTAGGACCCGGCATGTTATCGCACGTCACTTTCAGATTACTACGTAGCAAGCGAATGTGTCTTGTTCAGTGGCCAACATTGAAAACAATCCCACTGTTCTTATCCCACCGATCGTAGGCTTGCCGAACCCTCCCAATCGTACAGCATCATTCCGCTCTATGAACCCCGTGATGAGGAGGTGACAGTGTTCAAGAGAGACATCGAGGATGAAGTTAGTATCAAGCCACTCCCGCCTTATCATAGTCCTCCATCCAATTACAACCCCTGCTAGAGACTATTTATGTGACCCCACTCGGGCGTTGCTTACTTGCCTCAACACCACGTCTGCCTGCTCGTCAGCTTCGACTCAAAATCTCGTGCCATGCTGCTTCACCCCGCACCCGTAGACTCAGACACACAGCAATCCTAGTGTCTCTCCTCCCATGAGCCGCCGTTCACGACAACCCCCATCAAAGATGATCTGCGAGTTCTGCCGCTCCACTGTGCTTGAGTCCGAGCGGAGATGGGACTACCACCACCGGCACGTAGCCTCTTTCGAGGCCTCGGTGCGATCGGGGTGTCTTTTCTGCACGCGGCTCGCCAAGGGGCTCGGGAACTTGAGCTCCTGGTTTGACAGCGACCACGACATCAACGCTGTGTACCGCTGGAACATCCGTCAGGCGTACAGTAACAGAGACACGCAGAGCCACGTCTCTGTCAGGTTCAGGCCGGTGCCCGGCAGGAATGATGGCGCCAAGAGAAGCGAACATCTCCCAGACGTGCAGTTCCACATGTATCCCAAAGATGGTGAGGGGCCGGCTCAGTTCATCAAAATACAAAGGAGAGGAAGAATATATACAAAAAAGAATATGTCTCCCGGGGCCACCCAAATGCGCTAATCATAAGCATAACCCAGACTTTGTGACGGATCTTGATGAAACAAATCTCGGCACCGGCACGGACTCTGACCAGGCGCTGAGGCAAATGAGGGCGTGGATGGACGACTGCGTCAACCACCACCCCGAGTGCACCAGGCGCCACGCCAGCCGCGAGTTCGTGCCTACGCGCGTTCTGGACGTCGGGCACCCCGGGGACGACGACGACGCCGCCGCCGCCTGGCCGCCGTCCCACGTCCGCGTCATCGACACAAACAAGACCCCCATCCGCGCGCCCTACCTCACCCTGAGCCACTGCTGGGGCGACGGGGCCTTTGTCCAGCTCACCGCGGACAACCTCGGCGCCTTCACCACCCGCGGCGTCCCGTGGGAGGACGACGCCGAAGGCGGCAGTCGCGGGATCAGCAGCAACGCCACCTTTGCGCAGGCCCTGCGCGTCGTCCGCCAGCTGGGCCAGCGCTACATCTGGATCGACTCGCTCTGCATCATCCAGGGCAAGGGGTCCAAGGGCGCCCACGTCGAGGACTGGAAGGCCCAGGCGCCGCTGATGCACAAGGTCTACCGCAACTCGTTCTGCAACATCGCCGCCGCCGACTCTAGGAACCACACCGAGGGCCTGTTCCGCCCGCGGCTGCGGCACGGTTTCGCGCCCGTCTACTACGCCAGCCGCACGCCGTCGAGGGTCTTTGGCGACGCCGTCTGGAGGGTGCTGGAGCACGATCATTGGGACAGAGGCCTTCTGAGCCGCCACCTCTACACCCGCGGCTGGGTCTTTCAAGGTAAGTCGATCGACCCCTCCCTCTGTTTCTCCCCCTTTCCCACTCGGCCACTTGGGCCGCTCAAAACATCGCTCACAAACCCTCCCTCCCCCCTTCGCAGAAAGGCTCCTCTCCCCACGCCTCCTCCACTTCGGCGCGGGCCAGGTGTTCTGGGACTGCGCGGCGCTGAGCGCGTCCGAGAGCCTGCCCGACGGCCTCCCTGCTGCCCTCGACGACGCCGCCGCCGCCGCCACCCACCGCAGCTGGCGCCGTCAGCTCCAGGGCGCCGCGCTCTCCGTGCCGTCCCTGGCCAGCTCAACGGCGGACTCGATCCGCGGCTTCTGGAAGGACGCCGTGCGCGCCTACACCGGCTGCGACCTGACCTTCTCCAGCGATAGGCTGGCCGCCGTTTGGGGCGTCGCGAAGCTCGTGCGGGACGCCCTGGGCGAGGAGTACGGCGCCGGTCTGTGGACAAACGGGCTGCACGAGCAGCTCGCGTGGCGGGTGGCGGATGACCGGAGGGCCAGCGAGAAGGGAGGAAGCGCCGGCGGCGGGTTCCCGTCCTGGTCGTGGGCGTCTGTGAAAGGCGCCGTGGAGGTTGCGCCGCCGGTCCCGGACCTGCCGCGGTTTTATATCGCCTCGGGGCACGATGGGGGCGCTCTCAGGTTTCTGCTGAAGAACGGCATCTTTGGACGGTTCGAGGGGGAGCACTCGGCCTCGTGGAAGGAGGAGCTTGTGATTATGGCGAGGAAGCTGGAGGAGACGTCGACCAAGATGTCCAGGAAGGTCGCGGCGAAGGCCAGCGTCGCCTTTGCTCCGATCCTGGAGGAGTCCTCTGACGCGAAAGGCCACGAGGACCTGGATAAACAGCCTGGTCTGGGGGGAGAGGAAGACCTCAAAATCGAAGGATCGGACGCCAAAGACCCTCCCAGAGGGCCTTCACAGAACGAGACGGGAATTGGGAGAGACGAACCCAAAGACTCCGGGTCTACAAACCCAGGTCCCGGCAGCAAGGAGGTCGCGAAGAAGGGGTCCAACGCAGACATACCGTCAGAGCTTCTGTCCAACGAAATCGCCATCCAGACGCACATCTGCAAGGGCACCCTCCAGCCGGCGGCCGTCGAGGACGGGGAGTGGACGGTAGCCGTCGAGGGCGTGACACAGGACGACGCCGTCGTGGAAGCCTTCCCGGATACCCTACCCCGCGAGAGCAGCGTCCCGTGCGAGCTCCTCTTGCTGGCGGTCTCGAGGGAGGTGTGCGACGAGCTGGGCGACTGGGTCCCCGACGACGGGTACTTCGAGGAGGACGACATATTCGGCACGCAATACACGGGAAGCGCGCTCCTCGTCGAGAGGGCCGGGGAGGACCGCTTTAGAAGGGTTGGCGCCGTGCTCTTTCGTCAGCTTGATGCGGACAGTTGGCGGAGTTTCCGACGGGCTTGCGGGCAGGACGATGAGATGATGGAGGGGGAGCTCGACGTTGGCGATGGTCAGAAGGTCTGGCTGTTATGAAATCATATAGATAAGGGTTTGTGTCAACAGGCCCTTCATTGTCGCAGGTTTCGTATTGAACTATGGCAAGGAAAAGACTAATGAAGGTAACTGATGACCACGGCTGCAAGTAAGAGAAAAGTGAGGGATCGTGAATAATGTGCCTGTTTCGAAACACACATACTCGTGTCATGAGATGAGGAACAGCGAAGCTGGCTTGGCGTTGTTCCTTGTCCCAAGATATCTCGGCACTTCATCTCTTAAAAATGAAGCCATATTTCAGAAAATCCTCTCATAACTTCATCCAAGACAGCCACAGCGCTGCGTGGTCATGAGGCGTTGTTGGAAAGAAGGTGTCTCGTCCTCACCAGAACATGGGGGATTGGCGGGAAAGTGCATGAGTCATCAATGGACCCGCTCGAATGCTTGACGATGAGCCTTTTGGACCACATTTCATCACGACTTGGCATGTCACGCCCTTCGTGTCAACCGATGCAGTAGAAGCCGCTGGAACAGTCGAGATCCGTAAGAGCACACGTACTGTGGCATATATAGACATCTGCTTTTGCCTCGGAGTTTGACGACGGAGACAAGTCCAAGGGCCAGGGAAAACCACAGTATTACTCGTTGCACAAAAATGGCGTCGGCAGCGTCCCGGACATATCTGGCCTTCCAGCACAACGCCAAGCTGCACACCCTCAAGACCGTCGTCACCGCCGTCCGCCCCTTCGCCGAACTCGAGGAGGCCAACCGCCAGCTCTACAAGGACGGCGGCGAACATGACCACGTCGTCGTCACGGAACAGACCATCTTCCATCCCCAGGGCGGCGGCCAGCCCTCCGACGTCGGCGCCATGACGACGCCCGCCGGCGGCTCCTCCTTCGCCGTCGCCTCGGCCCGCATGGACGCCGTCCGCGACGCCAGGTGCTGCACTTTGGCCGCTTCCGCGACGGCGCCGCGCCCTTCCGCGCGGGCGACGAGGTCGAGCAGGCCATCGACAGGTATCCGCCGTTGCTCTACTCGCGCCTGCACACGGCGGCACGTCCTCGTGCCGCCGCTGATAAGGATGTATTCTACATTTGTAAGATTTCTTCACTAACTCATGATAAGTTAGAAAATATATGCTACAAGTCTGATCATTTTTCTAGTTGGACCCCCGCCCATATTTATGAGCTTATCTTTGTCTAGATTCATAAGTTTGCTATGATGCTCCCAGAAAATTCTGGTCCGAAATATCAGTGCATGACGCCGAAAAGGTTTGTTGGACAATTGCACTAGGCTAGTAGGGCCGTCCCTCGTGGTATTGGTAACACTTCCCAGTGGATTTCGTTAGTTCCCAGGCGTACACTAAGGGGGCCTTAGT